TTGGAATTACCAACTTTAAAGTTGGAAAAGCCAACTTTAAAGTTGGAATTTCCAACTTTAAAGTTGGAAAAGCCAAGAATAAAGTTGGAATTTCCAACTTTAAAGTTGGAAAAGCCAAGATTAAATTTGGAATTACCAACTTTAAAGTTGGAAAAGCCAAGATTAAAGTTGGAATTTCCAACTTTAAAGTTGGAATTACCAACTTTAAAGTTGGAATTTCCAAGATTAAAGTTGGAATTACCAACTTCAAAGTTGGAATTTCCAAGATTAAAGTTGGAAAACCCAACTTTAAAGTTGGAATTTCCAACATTAAAAAAAAAAATTACGTGGCACTAATACGCTTCCGTACCTAATAGATTGACATCCCTTTTTACCATCAAACATGAGAATGTAATATGAGACGTTGTCATCTTGTGTCTTTTCCAGCTCGATATTATAATTCAGTATACCCGGCTTCAGAACATAAGGAAATGCTTCACCCATGGGATATATTCCATAAAGAATATTTTCGTCAGGAAAAGCAAAATTGATTTTACACTGTTGTGGATGTAGCATATTTTGTCCAAACAAAAAGTCTGTTCCATTTTTTAGACAAAACATAAATCAAATGAATTTTCCACCAAATAAATTTTAACCTAACCAGAACGCCGGGGGGGGGGGGGGGCACTTTTTCTGAGGATAGATATTTGATATAGTAAATTTTTCTTTAAATGCACTGCCCCCTTTTTTTGATGTGAGGTCGAGCACTGGCAAATTCCAGGATTTGGACAGTAAATTAGTTTTTTTTTTTTTTTGCTTGTCAGATAATTTTGGAAAGTAGGCGCTCACTTTTGATCAGTATTCTTTTTCTTTTGAGTGTCATATTTTTTTGGGAAGCTGACCCCCCCCCCCCTTACACCCCCCCACTTTTGAAACCGTTGCTACGGGCCTGTTAACGATGCATTGGGTTTTAAAACTGAAAAATACACACACAATAATGTGATGTAAATAATTCACACAGCGAATGTTAGTGCAATTATTTTTAAAATAGTTTGTACTGATTGTAACTGAACCCCACCCCCAACAGATTTACTTCAACGATTAACAGATCTTTTTAACAAATTTTCAACTTGTTTGCAGGAAAATCCTATACTTTTATTTCTAATTTTGGAAGACTACGTTATAATTACATAAAGTTTAATTTTAATTATAAAGTTTGAAACTGTTTGTCCTTTATCTCATGCATAAGCAGCATAACCCGAAATTTCTTTCACAACTGAAGTATCGCATGCATAGGCAACGTTATTTACCTTGAATATTTGCCAAATAATACACATATCAAAGTCCAAACTTGGGTGGATAAGATGTAACTGATGCAAACTAATGGTGAGTATTGGATATTTAAGGTTAGTTGAGATTAACACGAATTCCAGTCAGCAAATACTGTTTTCAATCAGCGTTTTCGCTCTACCAGCCCTTGCTTCAAAACAAATATCGTCGTAAATCGACAAACCTTGCATTTTATAAGAGTGTAAAATAAAAGAAAAATAAATTGCTCATGGAATCACATTCTTATATTTTAATTAAAATTTCAATTATTGCCTGCATCGGGTCAACTTACCATCTGTGTATTGAAAGTATTCGTATCAAATGCATAACCGGAAATCGATCTCTTATGATTATTATACATAACTGCTGGTTATGCAACTGATCGATTAGCAGGCGTGATAGAGTTTGACCCAGTTTTGCAAAATTTTACCCAACTTTAAGCATGGCCATAACTTTTGAACAATTGGTGCTAGGGCATTCATACTGCACATGTGTATTCCTTGTGACAAGATTTTCTATTGGATACTAACAACTTTGACCCTTTGACCTTGACCTAAGAGTTTGACCTACTTTTGAAAAACTTTAACATTGGCCATAACTTTTGAACAGTTGGTGCTAGGGCTTTCATACTTCACATGTGTATTCCTTGTGACAAGACCTTTATTGAATTCCAAAAATTGTAGCCCATTGACCTTGACCTTTGAGTTTGACCTACTTTTTGGAAAACTTTAACCTTGGCCATTACTTTTGAATAGTTGGTACTAGGACTGTCATACTTCACATATGTAATCCTTGTGACAAGACTTTACTTTGGATACCAACAACTTTGACCCTTTAACCTTGACCTTGCAGTTTGACCTACATTTGAAAAATTTTAACCTTGGCCATAACTTTTGAATGGTTGGTACTAGGGCTTTCATATTTCACGTGTGTATTTCTTGTGAGAAGGCCTTTCGTAGGGCACCATTAATTTTGACTTTTTGACCTTGACTTTGATGTTTGACTTACTTTGAAAACTTTAACCATTTCCATATTTATTCAATGGTTGCTGCTAAGACTTTCATATTTCACATGTATATTTCTCGAGACTAGAACTTACCTTGGGTACCAACATATTTGATTGGCATTTGAGAAAGTTTAACCTTCGCTATAAGTTGCCATACAGGGGCATCAGTGATTCATAAACACATATTCTTTTAAAAGATATTCTCCATAACTTCCAGGTTATATTAGTCCTATTGTATGGTGGCATATTTTTGCCCCCTACATGCACGATAAATCATGTTAACATGCAACATAATTATGTAAACATGCAACTTATTTATATTTGTATGTCAACATGCAAAATAATTATGTTGACATGTAAGTTACTAATCTCACTTCAATCTCTCTAGAAAATCTTATTTTAATATCGGTAAACTTACTAACGCCATTATATGACATCATATAAGCAAGATACAACAGAATTATGTTGACATGCGACTTATTTATGTCAACATGCAAGATAATTATGTAGACATGCAACTTATTTATGTCAACATGCAAGATACTACTGTGTTAACATGCGAGTTAATTATGCCAACATGCGAGATATGTATGTTAACATGCAACTTATTATTTTGCATGTTGACAATAAATACCTTGCATGTTAAAATATAACTCGCATGTTGACATAAATAAGTCGCATATTGACATAAATAAGGTGCATGTTGACATAAATAAGTCGAATGTTAACATAAATAAGTTGCATGGTAACATAATTATCTTGCATGTTGACATAGATAAGTCGCATGTCTACATAATTATGTTGCATGTTAACATAATTTATCTTGCATGCAGGGGGCAGAAATATGCCACCATATTAGAGTGTCCATTTAAGTTTGGTTGTCATGAGCTCTTGGGAATAGGGAGGGCCACAATTTCCAAGGGAATTTAAGAGAAAATCAAACTTATGAAGGACCGCTGAACCAAGGTGACTTAAATGAGCTTTGTTGCACTTGGGTTTCTTGTTTTTGTTTAGTTTTCTCCACTGATGTGATGTTGTCGGTGTATTGCTGGTGGTATTGCTTTAGAGTAATATTTTATTTCAGGATGTTTAAGTGTGCATGTTTTCGTTTTACAGATGATCAAGCAAAACACTACCACCATAAAACAATCTCTTGGGAATGCCAATAAGGCTTTTTCAAAATTCAGAAGTAAGTTTGAGGCTAAAATTTATTTATAAAGTAAAATTTTATGGACTATTGTATTTTTCCTTATTTCAACTAGTACACTTAATTTTGTTGCAGGGGCCGTTGTTCCAGAAAAAGTTGCATTTTATGCTTACATGAGTTATCATGAAAGATCTCCAAGTACCCATCATACAATTATTTTTGATGTCATTGGAACCAACAATATGGGGTCTTACAACCGAAATACTGGTATATTTACAGCTCCCGAGCAAGGAATATACGTATTTTCATGGACTATCGTCTGTGAGGTTCACAGTGTAATATACACAGATATAATACATAATTCTGCTGTTGTTGGAAAAACGGAATGCAACACAAATCAAGTCACAGAAAACGATGCCGTCAGTTCTACTGTTGTTGTGTTAATGGACAGAAATGATGTTTCATATATTCGCACGAGTTCTATCCACTCCTCTCATGGCGAGATAATGAGTAACGATTACCATTATTCCTCATTTTTTGGTTGGCTGATGTAAATTAAAATACAGTTACTTGTGTTGATCTTTATTTGTCCGTTTGAGGAAAGACAGCCAAAAGACTCGCATTTCGTTTGGATTACAAGGGAAAATTTGCAATATTTCAATCGTCTGTAAGAAGATAATTAAAAGCTAATTTGTAGATAACAGTAGTTTGGTGATGCAGTGTTGACTAACATTTTTATTTTGGACTGATTGACATTGATTGTGATTGATTTCTACATCATTTCGGCGCAATACATATACAGAATAATAATAATAATATACAGACATACTTTGATTAATTGTTTATGATCCCAGGGCATGGTTTTCTTTGTCTTTTAAATAATATTCTCTGAATTTTCTGTCTAAGAATCTTGCTCAGTTACTAAAATTGTCCTCGACCTTACCAAATAACTTATTTTAGCAAGAAATCAGGCCCCAAGACCATAAACTGAGAATAGACTTAAATCAAAATTTTGATTCTCGGTATCTTGAGTTTTATTGTACATATATGTTTCGAAATTTGCATTTTTGTTTACTATCTTAATACAAACAAATGGTGAAAATTTTGTTAGATTATCAAAACTATTCCAGAAGTTATATTCATTTGAAATTCTGACTTAAGTCTGTTCTCAGTTTATGGTCTTGAGGCCAGGACCCCCTCTGGCATTTTCAGAGACAGAAATAACCAAAAAAAAAAATCTTGGACACACCTGGAAAACTTGGACCTCCCGGTATCAAAATATAAATAACGTTAAAATATATTGCTCTATACTCTTTTGCGACTCCCCCGCGTTACTATTTGTACATGGTGAAGTTCAAGCAAAAGAAAAAAACACAACAACAAAACAAAACACAAAAAATAAAATGGGTCATTGATTTAGGGAAAATCACTTCAATAACGTTATAACTAACTTGCATGCATTATGCATGTTTAAAAGCTTGTATAATTTCCATTCACATGATTCGATCTTGTTTCGTTTTGCAATAACGTTGGAAATAACAGAACGTTCAGTCCTAGTGAATGAAAACAAATCTTTAAGAATCGTGTTATTGTATTTTTCATTTTTTGGAAGCATGGACGTCATAGTAAGTACTTTTTTTTCTTTTTAGAAACCGATCGTTCAAAAATCTTAGTAATTTTCTTTATAGAATGTTCAGTCCTAGTCTAGGTTACATGTGATTTAAATTAGTCTGTTCATGCTAAATATGTAAAACACATGGCAGGTTTGGTTATCTAAACTACATAGTAATCATCATTGACTTACTATAACCCTAGATCATACACTTTTGATATAAAGAGTTTTAATATCAACAAAACTAAGATGTGATTAATCCAACGTATCTAAAAATATTCCAAAACAAGAAGATTCTAAAGCTAAATATAGCACGGCTAATTAATAAAAATAAGCTAGGTCAAATGTTGTCGTCTGCTGAGCATGGTTGACTGTTGTTTGTTCGTTTTCTTTGGTAGAGGAGTCGCACTTTCACACACACACACACACACACACACACACACATTACATACAATAGACATCTCTGAACACTCTTTGAAACCTAAACATTTCTTTGATTCACAAAATCATCACTCAAAATACTAGCAAAAATTTATAAACTCGGTGTTCGATTTTAAAAATCAAAAGGCATCCCATGTATTGCATGCGCTGATCTAGAGGAGGGATGGGGGAGGGGAGTCCGGACCCTCCCTCACTGGAATTTGCAAAGTCATTAAAAGTATATACTGAAGCAAGAAAAAAAATGACTTTGGACCCCCCCCCTAGAAAACGTGGACCCCACCACCATCACCACGAAATAGGTTTTTTTACGTTTGGGAATGTACTTTAGGGTTTTTTTTTATTTGTTTGTTTGTTTTTTTTTTTTTTTGTAAAGAAATTTTTGGGTTTGAGACATTTGGGAAAGGAGTTTATTTATTTATTTTTTTTTTTGTCAAGAAATTTCATACAAGAAGCCGCCCATTTTGCACCTTAAACGTTTTTGAAGATCGTATCTGTCTTTGACGAAAAGAAGAAAATTTTGATTTTTTCAAAATATCTGTGGTCAATGACTCATTTAATTTCATATTTTAATAAAGAGAGAGATTATGCTTATTTTCACTAAGAGATTTGTTCAAATTACTTTTACAGCATCTTAATAACACATGCACTGCCCATAGACTTCAATGTAAAATTTAAGGTGCAATAAATTGGACAATAATCAAAATTTTGTAAATTCCTTTGTTGGAGTATTTTATTTGATGACACCTTCAAAATGCTACCACGATTAAAAATATTTGACCATTCATTTATTAGGTACAAGATATGGTCGTTATAACTTGAATACCTAAGTTCACAATATATTTTAAAGCCATGGGGAATGGAAATCAGCGTGTTATCTATAAGCGTGCATTACATGTATTCCAAAGAAAAGTATAGATCATCGTGCAAAAATACTCTGCATTTTTTTCAATTTACCAAGAAGAAAAGGCATCCTACCCACAATTATTTTAGACCACTTATTATCTTAATATTCAAACCAAATTGATTCATGTAATTTAGCAATTTATATCTGTATGATTACTTCGGTTCCACAAAATGATAAAATATATGTGCTGAATTACCCCAGACTGAACCGATTCCAAGGTAACAACAACGTGATTTCATTTTCAGTTTCATATAAATACCTTTGTCTATTAATGTAGAAATGAAACAAGAAATGATCAAGAATTGTTTTGTTAGAAAGAAACATGGGTTTCAAGCAGAGGCATTTCAGCTTATTTATTCAGTCAAAATTTAGTTTAGTTCATTTATTTACTTAAAATTTAGTTCAGTTCATTTTTTTTCATCCAAAATTTAGTTCATTTATTCACGGGGTACAAAATACAAAAAAACCCAGACTTGCTGTTTATGGAAGAACGTCATGGAAGCAGGGTAAAATATATGGTATGTGTTTGCCTTAGCACTTACTATACATACATGTGCATATATATGTAAAAGTAAATCTACAAATTGATATATTTCAGATAAATCATGACAGTGTAGACGAAGAAGAACAAGAGGCTGTGGATAATCTGAGAAAAGTCCAAGGACAAATCAACGAACTGATCAACATACTAAATACTAATGTCCAGACATTGCAGGAGAGAGGCGGAAATTTGGAAGCACTGGAAGGCCTCTCGGATCAACTACTTGATAAGGTAAGTTTTCAAAGTTTAATATATTTTCCCTGTACAATATTACTGACATCAATAGAAATGACTGTAAATGTGATAAATGACTATGCTTACATTATAAATCACTAAATGTTCATCAACAATGATTTTTGTCATCGTCGCAAGCCAGGGGTTTGCGTCCATTCTCATTCCACAAACTTTTGTGGAAAGAGAATGGACAAAAAACCCGTAGTTTGCGACGATGGGTCTATTAAACTTGCTGGAATATCAATGATACTGCCATTTTGTATTAGAAAATGGTCATTCAAAAATTTTAATTCATACTTACAGAAAAAATTTAGCTATCTTTGCAGAAGAATTCCATTTATTTATATTTATAGATAAATCCAATTCATACTTACATAAAATATCCACTTTCACTCATAGAACATTGCCATTCATATTTACAAAGAAATTACAGTCATACTTACGGAAAATTTCTATTTATATTTACACAGAAATTCTAGTCATATTTAAAGAAAAGTTCCTTTCATACTTACAGAGAAATTTAAATAATGTTACAGAAAAAATATTAATATTTTCAGAAAAATTCCATTTAAATACTTATGAAATATTTGCATTCATGTTTACTTGAAAGTCCATTCTTACTTACAGCAAAATTCCAATCATGCTAGGAAAAAAATCCAGTCATGCAAAAAAATTCATTCCTACTAACAGAGAAATTCCAAAAAAATCATTCTTATAGAGAAATTCCTATCATACTACAAAAAAAAAACATAAAAAAAATCAAACTTACAGAAAAACTCTTTTACATGTATTGCTAACGGAGAAAAATTCCATCCATACTTTAAAAAAAAAATCAAAATGTACTTCTTAAAAAATTCCTAGCCAAGTTTTCCCTCTAATATAATGTTCTTTTGTTACAGGCCAGTGAATTCAAAGTTATCACAAGAAGTATGAGGTACAAACACCTGGCCAGGAACAACAAATGGTGCCTGTTGTCCGTTGTGCTAGCCTTCCTCCTTGTGGGAGTAATTATTGGGGTGGTGGTTTTAGGAATAAAACTATCGTCCTCTTAATGTCATGTACTTAGAAGACTGGGTGATATTTCTGTGTCAGCATGCCTATACAGTTTAACAGTATGGTGCACCAATATGTCTAAAAAACAGATTCTAGAAGACAGATTTTTTAAATAAGCACCATCTTTAATCTTAATGACCTTGTTAGCAAAATACAATCGAATGTTGATTAAATCGACATTTTTCATACAAATAATTAGACCATTATTCTCACAATAGAATTTTTTTAACGAATTTTCTGTTTATCCGAACAAACAGCAATTGTGACCGGTCAACAGGGGATGCTTACTCTTCCATCGCACTTGATCCCACCTCTGATGTTTTTAGAGGCCCAGGTTTGCTCTGCTCACCATTTGTAATTTGTTTCAATGGACTTTTAGTTTGATTACTGTTCATTATATTTATATTTCATTGTATGATTTATATGTAACGAATATCTATTTTAACTGATATCTTTCTACAAAACAATCATTATGTTCATAAATGGTTACCTACAGTTATTACAGATTTACAAGATTTTTCTACCATTTTTAACCAAACTTTACAAAATGTGTCCTTAGGTAAACGAAATGTCAATTATTTTAATAATTATTAATGAGATAATTAAGAAATGACACCTAGTTAATATAGTGTGGAATCACTCCAGTAAATATAGTGTGGGATCACTTCAGTAAATATAATGTGGGATCACTTCAGTAAATATTGTGTGGAATCACTCCAGTAAATATTGTGTGGGAACACTCCAGTAAATATTGTGTGGGATCACTTTAAAATCTTCACAAGAAAAACTGGGCTCATAGTGATGAAACATGTGCAAGTTTCCTTGTTGTGTTTAGATTAATTTGTTGATATCATTGGTCCTGGAAGAAGGGCGGGGATGCAATAAATGGTAAAAGTGTTACATACATTTAGGAATACACAACGAACAATCATTTGTATTCTTTTCTTCATTATCAGTGATATACATGTATAAGGATTTCCCATAAAGTGTGACTCTAATAAGTAAAGTCAGTGATAAACATGTACAAGAATTCCCCATGTAGTGTGACTCTAACATGTGCAAATAACGAATCATTTGATTAGTCAAATCATTAGGCAATCATCTTCAGTATTGTTGATCAGTGCAAGAGTTTTCATACATGTATTCATATTTATTTAGTTTGGAAATAAAGGGTGACTCTGGTGAGCGTTGTGGCTCGTGGGCCTCTGTACTTATACCATGCTTGCTAGTTACAGAATATGCTTTTGTACATATGATGTAGATAAAATACAAAGGTGCTTTTTTATTGTATAAGAAATATTATGTATACCAGTATATGCATATATTATAGGTACTTCTTTACCTACTACTTAATATAGCATTTTTGCCGTTGTTTTTAGAAATAAATATTGTGATGCTCTATAATCTCTTAATTTTCTTTGGGTTGACAATTAAGCTTTTTTGAAAAAAGAGAGAGATAAATAGAATGGAATGAAATAGAAATTTTACGCAATAATGATGGGTCTCCACACGTATGTACTTTCTTGACTTAGATACCATGTATTGGACTTTGATCATTATAATGAAAAAAGCAAGTTACAAGACACAATATAGTATATACCCTTTAACATACTATACTCTGTATATTTCCTTATTTAAGCCACCCCTCCCCCAACCACTGACTGCTTTGCAAGGAAGAATAACTCTATGTTCTTAACTTATGAAACCATCTAACGCCCTTAATGGTTGCTTTTTTTTAAACCAACACTTATCCCGTAAAAAATGAAGAGTACTCATATGAATCATTTGAATTATAGTTTGATGCAGATACAAAATTAAATAGAACACTGTATATCGCATGCCTGTCTCCCCCCCCCCCATAATTTCTTAGAACATAGAAAACAAAATAATTCATAAAAATGATACCTTTTTTAACCCCCCTTCCCAACTGAAATTACTTCCGACGGACCTGTCAGGTGGCTTTGGATGTTAAAATTCGACTTATTCATTATACCCCATTGTATATATATACAAAAGCTGTATTATGTAACAAAACACACAAATACATGTATATATTGTTACCTACACAGAAACATTACCTTGGTCAAGTATTTGTGGTATATTAACTCTTTTTTAATTATAATAAACAAATTTACTCCACCCCACCCCAACCCACTATCTTCTTTAACTGGATTTGCCGATAGTCAATGCATAAAAAGATAGAGTTACACTTTTCACTTTGACAAATGTTATATTTTGGATGTAATCTGTGGAGCTTACAAACCATGGCCGTAGGAACCGGGGAGGGGGGGGGGGCACGATAAATAGAATACTTTTGAAAACAAAGCTACTATATGTTTGTGCCCCCTCAATAATTTTGCCGATATATAGAATACTAGTACTATAGAAAATTGACCTTATGCTTCACTTAGAGGATAGGTAGGTATAGGTAGCACGATAGAAAACCTAGCTACTGGCAAAGACTTGAAAGGTTGGAAGAAAATGACAGAGAATTTCCTTTACTCAGAAATACATATAAACATTCTAAGAAACTATATGCTGTTAATAGATCCTCTTGGTACAGGTCACTACACACTATTCTAGAAAATATACCAGAACTGAAGGGATGTTTAAATAACTGGAAAAAAGTTAGTAAATATACAATACACAAAATTCTGAAGAAAACTTACATAAAATTATGGCATGACAATTTGGGCAGCTATATGGATGGTAAACTACGTACTTATGTCAAAATTAAGGAAGCTATAAACACTAACAAAAAGTGCTTTTTGGACTTGGAGAAAAATATATCATATAAAGGTGTGCATATTGTGACTATTTAATTCATTTTCAACATAGGGTACCTGCCTTATTTCTGCAAGAAAAAATGTTCAAAGACAATGGACTATGCGTGAACAGAAATCACTGTTGTTTACCAACATTGGGAAAATTAGTGGAAATAATGAATTCAATTACTTATTTTTGGTCTAATATAATGCTACAAATATTTAAACTATTACAAATTGCGTAATTAACTATAAATAACCATTTTTTCTATCTTTCTTCTAAGGGCAGGTCACTCTAACTGTATAAAGCTACCCAACAATTAGAACTCTTTAGTGTGCAGTGTAAAGTTTCCTTAAAGATCAATTTGGTTTCGAAAATTATCTTAATATCATTAAGGATTTTGAGTTGAGGAGATGCCTGAGTAGATTTAGAATATCTTTACATAATTTACAAATTGAAGTTGGAAGGTTCCAGGGTATCCCAGCACACATGCCATTATGTTCGAAATGTGATTTAGATGAGGTGGAGGATGAAATACATTTTCTCTTCAAATGCACTAAATTCAAAGATGAACGAGAAATTCTCTTAAAATCTGTCTCAGAATTATGTACCAAATTCCCTAATCTTGATTTTAATGAGAAGCTTATATGGCTATTTTCAAATGAAAATGAGTCAATTCATATCAAAACACTGTAAATGATTTTTAAACAATATTACTGTAAATTGTTACATTTTGTAAATTATAATTGTGCTCATTTTGCTTATCTACAGTAGACATGTGGAGGAATGCAACCTTTTATTCATGTTATATATTTGACTAGAATTCATGCATTTCCTAGAGCACTGTCCCTTGATGTCTTCTGTAGACTGGCAACCATTGATGCACCCTTTATCTTATAATCTATTTACATTTATACATCACCATGGTAAAATTGGTTTGATTTTCGATTATGTACATTTTCTCAATTTTATGTGATACATACATTATTGAATTGCTGTTCTACATTAGTTATGAGGAGGAATGCTGTCCAGACAGTTACACTTCTGAGACATGTATATCCTAGAGCACTGACTGTCCCTTGAAATATTTCGTAGTTTAGTGACTCAATTGTAATGCCATATATGGCTTCCTGGTGTAAGGGAGGTAATTCAAAGTACTCATCACCTCTGTTTTGCTAAGACTCAACATCTAGTATTTTTATGTTCTGTATTGCTGTATGTTCATGTATTTTCTTGTCCTCTTGAGTGTTACAAATTATGCTTGTATCTATGCTATGCCCCCAGTGGGACCATGATTGGCAAATAAATTCTATTCTATTCTATTCTATATGTTTGTGCTTCCTCAATAATAAAGTCTGATGACCTTTTTTAATGCTTGTCAAGGAACTTTTGGTAGCCCCCCCCCCCCCCAACTGAAAATGTTTGGTTGCGCCCCCCAAAGAGAAATTGCTTCCTACGGGCCTGCATATTTGTATATGGTACATGTGTATTAGCAATGGTATACGGAACAGGACCAATGTAGGCGGAACTATTTTCCGTTCTGTATTAGCCCTATATACTGCACTGTACTAGCCAACTATTCTGTATCTAAATTACAGAAAAGGCCTAAAAATGAATCTGATTCAATATATCAAAAGCAAGTACAAACAGTTTTCCTATTATTAACTTCGGATTAATATTTCCTTGTGAATGTAAAATGTCGAATTTTCTCAATCACTTAACAATTTATTCTGCACAGAATCTACACGTCACTTCAATACCCCCTTTTTCCCACCCTGTTCGTGCCATATTATTTTCCCAGGCGCCTGAAGTGTGGATATACCCCCCCCCCATTTTAATTTCAAAAATTGTAAGAGCTTTTAATTTCTCAAAATATATAATTTCCCCGTCAGTCACATCCATATATCGTTCTGTGTAAGCAGATTGTACTTTTTCTTACGTTTAGAGAATGACCTTGTACGGTATAATGGCCTTGTACGGTATAATGGCCTTGTATAATGGCCTTGTACGGTATAATGGCCTTGTACGGTATGTACATGTACGGTACAATGGTGTGTTCCCGTTTTGCACACATTTGATAATTAGGTATAGAACAATAGGCGTGAAATATGTTTTGATAGCAGTTATAGTTTGATCTCTATCTGGGATTTACCTGGAATTACTGTATTTTACCAATGCATTATAATATATATTTCAAAAGAATAAATTTTGAAAATTTGACTTGTCCAATCCAACTGAAGTTGATAACTTAGACAAAAATCCTTATTGCAGTTCACCTTTTTTTTTTTTTAAATTTCATAAAGATAAAATGAATGAGTTAATGAATTCAATCTTAATAAATAAAAAAAACGTGTCCGGTAAGCATCAAATGAATGTATTTATAGTTTTGATCAGTATTTATGATATTTTTTTATGTTTTAAAATATTTTTTACTTATTACGAAATTACAGAAATAAATCAAAATTTCAAATGAAAAATTAATTATTTTTTCTTTGTTTTCTTTCTATAGATTCTTTTTCTGCAAATTCACAACTATGATATAGACTATAGCAATTAAGTAATTATCTTACCTGGACAGACCGAAAAATGAACCGAACCGAAAATTAGAGATTTTGCACCGTGTATCAAACCGAGAAAAAATACCGCGGTGCATCGATACCGCGGTGAACCGTTTCACTCCTAACAAATTCCCATTTTGCACACATTTTTTTCAGTACCTGAAATTCAAATGTGTGCAAAACGGGAACAAACCGGTACACAACTTGAAGATAAGAAACAAAATTTGTAAACAAACCGGGGGGAGGGGGGCTGCTTTGAGACATATTTTCAAAGTAATAACAGTGTTACCTATCATAATTTTATTTAATTTTATTTCATTATTTTATTTAAGTACAATCTGCTTGCATAGAACGATATATGGATGTGATTGTCGGGGAAATTTTATATTTTAGAGAAATTATAAGCTCTTACAATTTTTAAAATTAAAGTGGGGGGATCCACACTGCAGTCGCCTGTGTGTTTTTTTTTATTGTATTTATTGTCTGACCTTTTAAATCTCTTTTTCTGCCACCACTTGCCAGATGTTTATGTTGACTTCTCAGAAAAAAAAAACATGGTGTCAATTGATGGCCTAAATTGGGCATGGACACATTTTCATGTTGAATTTTTAAACACGTGAATAAGTGACAAGTTAACAAAAAGATCGGACAAGTCGACATAATTATCTGACAAGTGGGGGGGGGGGGGTATGCCGCCATACCTTTTAAATCCTCATCGCTGACGACTGGTCCAAAACTTTTTCACTGAACGCTTTTAACGTCGTAATAACCAAAACAATTATACTTGAGATCCCCTGTTGGAAAAATGGATCCCTTTGGCCTTTCTTAGGAAGTATAAGAAGATTCATATACATGTACGAGGGTTGATCCAAAAGTTCGTGGAATTTCTTAATATTTTATTCATTTATTGGTGGAAGTGATTGAAAATTACAGATGGAGATATATACACTTGTTGAATTTTTTTAATAAAAATATTTTAAATATTCATAATAGTAACACTCTGGCAGTTGTCATAGAAAAACGGATGCTTGAAAATGCGGGGGGACATTTATTCGTTCATTATCATTTCAATTTTTAATACTCACTGTGAGGGGAAAAAACAAGTTAAGTAGCATATGAAACGAAAATGATGTCATTATTACGATTGCTTGACCTCTTATAAACCTTTGTGTGAAAGTTTTAACGATTTAACTGGATATTTAGTTTTTCAATTGATGATTTGTTGCTCATCATGACACCGTTAGACAACATCGAAATTCGGTCAAATAAGTTTTGTGAAAATCTCGGGAACACTCCGACTTATACGCATATACTGCTAAATACAAGCAGGACAAAAAGTGCAGTAAGCAACTGGTTTTCCAGTGGCGTAAGGACTTTAAGAAAAAATAGAACTTCCATGGAGGAGGATGAATGGTGTGGCTGCCTATTGGAAGGTCATTTTTCCTCATAGACAATTTGAGAGTGTTAATGGACGTGGACCGCCGACATACTGTGGTTGACGTTTGCTACTGAAATAGGATATGAAATGACGGAGCATATTTTGAAAAATGATCGTAATAAGAAGAAAGTGGGTGCGAGATGGGTACCCAGGCTTTTCTCGAGAGCAGAAATGGAGAAAAGAATGCAGCGTTCTTTAGAATTTCTAAGTCGATTTGAACGTAAGGTTGAGATGCTCCTACAACGTGACGTGACATACCTAACGACGTTAAGTCGAAATCTCCCCTGGATTTCACAACTGTCCATGTTGAGAAAGCTTCTGTGATCTTAATGGTAGATCTAATTGGAACGTGGTGAAATTTTCAAGAGTCCAGTATTGTTGCATAATGGCTCTATTTTATAAACATGTCTGTTATTTGCTTTAATCACATCACGATGAAATTTTAGACAGAAATTCCACGAACTTTTGGATCAACCCTCGTAAATGAAGGAAAGCGGCTTGCTCATAAGAATTACACCCCCCCCCCCTCCTAAACACGTAATAGTTTTTTCGCGTTCGATTTCTTTCTCTTTTTTTATTTTGAAAATGAATATCAGAAAACTTTTGAGTTGGATTTCTTATGCGCACGGACTCCCCTCATTCTTAATACAAAAAAAATCAAATATATTAACTCGTGTTTTCCGCACTTACCTGAGCGTTATCTGGATTGAAAATGCAAAACGGAAATGAAATTTCAATCCCATGTTTTCGAGGACGTCCGCGTGTGTAGTATATATATAAAAAGTAACCAACCTCGTGCTCGCCTTTGTGGAAACTTCAAAAGAAAGAGAGAGCAATGGCGTCTCCATCGAAATCTCCAACTAAAAAACCTGCTGCCAAAAGTACTCCAAAACTCCATCCATCCTTCCTTGACATGGCAATGGAAGCAATACAGGCCAACACAGACTTCAAAGGTGCCTCCGTGCCGTCAATTCGCAATTATATTACGGAAAAATACAAAACCGTGGACCCTACTACAGTTCGCTTCCACCTTAAACAAGCTCTTGCGAAGGCAGTGGAGAAAAACATGATAATAAAAACCAAGAAATCGGAAGAAAGACCACTCATGACCAGCAGATTCAAAGTGAACAAAGTAAAAAAGGCGGCAGAAAAAAAGAAACGGACTGAAAGCGAAGACAAAAAGAAAATGGCGGCAAAACCGAAGGAGACGAAGAAAAAGGAGCCAGCAGCAAAGAAACCTACTGCATCCAAAAAATCTACCAAAGAAAAGACGCCAAAAGCAGCAGCAAAATCGCCCAAAGCCAAAAAGTCTCCAGCTAAAGTGAAGAAAACACCTGTCAAAGTCATCAAACCTAAGGTAAATTTTAAATTTTTTGTAATTTTTATTGAAAAAAGACAAATCTGCAGGTATTTTCTGGCATTCATAACCCAATTTGAGAAATACAATTAATGAAAAAGATAAAGATAACAGTGATCGATCTAAAAGTAAACAAAAAAAAGCAAATTGGTGAACAGGGCATAAAACACTTACCCCTGGAAATTCAAGAGGTGGGATCAGGTGCCTAGGAGGAGTAAGCATCCCTTGTTGACTGATCACACCCAACGTGATCCCTGTGTAATGATCAGGTAGACAGAACTTCAGTATGAAAACAAAGGCCTAACAATGGTATGAAACTTGTCTGCCAAAAAATGGCCCAATGATAGATATTTGCTTTAAAGTCATTATAACCAACAATACACAGTTATTGACTGGGTATGAGAGCAACACATGATTTGTTGGACCTGAAGGTGAAAATGTTGCCCAAGGCCACAGGCCAAGGGCAACATTTCGCAATCAATTTATAATCAATTACTTTCTTTGGAAAATTTTGGCTTGACCAATAAAAATAAAACAATAGAGAATGAAAAAATCAAATTCTTATATCACAAAAATTATTTTTCACAAAACATACTCTTTCATATAGCAAACAACTCTTCAGCTCAAATTATTAGTGACGTTGCAGTCTAACAATTCTTACGTTGGACTGGATAGAACGTTCTATCGTTAAAATGATATTGTCTTATGGACCCGGTTTAACGATGGAATTTGTTCCGTGTATTTGCAATGTAGCAAAATAAACATGGGTGATAAATCGAACTCGGTGCTTTTACTATGATCAATCCAGAGAGTTCCGAATGTCAACATGGCATATAAATTTGAAGCGAGAAAAAAAACATTTGAGCATATACAATCTCAAAATGGTTTGTTATAATTAATTTGGTAGTTATTTTCAGTGCAACTCCTTTTGTATACTTCAAAATCATTTCGGAGTGGATCCACTCCAATTTGCGACATTGCAAGTATATGGGAAGTATTCTAACTGGTAAGGGCCTGTTGTTCATCGTCTGTCTGTAAACTTTTCACATTTTCAACTTCTCAAGAACCACTGGGCCAATGGTACAAAGTATCTGTGGGTGAAGGGAAGTTTAAATTGTTAAAATGAAGGGTCAAGTCCCTTTACTGGGGAGATAATCAAGACAAAAATAGGGTGGGGTAATATAAAATCTTCTCAAGAACCACTGGGCCAGAAAAGTTGAAACTTAAGTGGAAGCATCCTGGGGTAGTGCAGATTTTAAATTGTTCAAATCATGACCCCTAGGGTAGGATGGGGCCACAATAAGTATAACAAGGGCGAACATCTGATGAAAAACAAAGTTACTCAGGTGAGTGTTGTGGCCCATGGGCCTCTTGTTTTTAAATAGGTCATGGTACAAATGAGTAGTCACATACTTGCAACTTTTCGTCCATTTCTTAATTTAAAAAAAAGAAAGAAAGAAAGAAAAACATCTGTGTAAAACTGATGAAATTTCTTTATCAAACTATTTTGAATAGCTTAATAAACCCATGTATAGCTAATTTAAGACGGAGCTAAATCCAGGGTTTGGGCTGGACCTAATCAAATGCCTGCACTAGAATGCGGGTTTGCCAAGGCATCAGAAGCAAAAATGAGCTGTGGTCTGAGAGTTTTTGTATCATGCCAAGTATAATGTATTGTTCAGAACAAAATAACTTAGTGTTGTTTTAATATTTTCAGACTCCAAAGAGACCACAAAGTGTGAAGAAAATGAAGAAGGCAAAGTAGGAATTGTCAGAACCAAATTGTGTTACTGTAAATAGGAATTGACAGGAGAATGACTGCGCAAGGAAGTGTTTGAATGGATGCATATTGCTACTGGTGCTTTAAATTATTACAAGTGTGGGAGAAGACATTGGATGATTGTTGCTGAGAATTTTTATTGTGTTTTGTTTTAAATTGTGACTGCAAATGGCTACATTACACAAGTATGCTTTTTAGATAAAGATTTCTTAAATTTTGCTTCTTTTTATCTCTTAGAATGGGTTGGACATAGCAAAGAAAAAAAAAACTTGTGCAAGATAACTTAAATTCTTCAATGGTAATTTGACAAATTGGTACTTGCTTTGAAATTTGTTTAAAACTGAAATCGGAAGTACACTACTAAAGCTGATAATTCTGTGTATCTGTTTTTGATTTTGACATGGTGTTGCCATGGTTGCTAAAAAGTAGAAATATTGAAATTCTTAAAACACTACTTCAACAGTTCTGGACCATTTTTCAATAAGTGCACCATGCTATGATACACCAAGTACACACCAGTAGAGCTTGCTTCTTGTCAGACTTCTGATTATTTTTTAAAGAAAGACGAGCCAGTTAAGATAATTGTAGTTGCCCCCGTTGTCAGGGTCTTGTTGGCTATAAAGGGGGTGCAATGATAACGTGGTATTTTAACTCTCTTGTCTATCACATGTGCAAAAATGGTTTAATTATAAAAGTAAAATGTTCTAGTGCAGAAGTTTGGCCAAGATTGTATGGAATGCCAAATAAATATATGTTCAGTTCAAATCTTTAAACATATCTTCAAATTATACCTATCTTCAATTCTTGGTATTTGTACCTTTCTTCAATTTAATTATACCTATTGTCAATTAAACCTATCTTCAATTCATGTGGAAATGGGTAAAATTGATTTAAAGATAGGTGCAACTTAAACAAGCAAATTCAAAGAATTGTGGTCAGCCACATTCGATGTCTTAGAGGATGGAATGCTATTATTTATGGTGGCAGCAGGGAGCTATTTATTTGTAGTTGTTAGAAAGTGCTCATGGAGAAATCGGGCGTTATTTGATAGAAGTCCTTATTGATAGAATGTACCAAAGTTTTGAATAAATAATTCAATTAAAAATTTTTATATCGTCTTAATTATAGTTAATAATGCATTTCAATTTTTGTTAATTTTAATCAGATGAATAATTTATGATTTTTATATATTTTTTTAAAGAGGTGTTCCCCAGCATAGGAGTGTATAATGTATAAAAGTAACTCGATACGCGATCGCGAGTTTCTGAAAAATTACAATACTTGAAAAGAAGATGGGTGAACATGACGAGCGAAAAGCGGCTAGCCTATAGTGTGACAAACATGAAGGTGAAAAATTAAATTTTAAATGCATCAAAAATTTCCTTGATATTTCCTCTAATATTAATATGTACTTTATGTAAAATCTCGTACAATTTGCAAAAAATCTCACAAAGATTGAAATTGTTTGCTTATGAAATATACACACACTAAAGAGGACAAAAAGAGTCATTTTCTCACATTATAAAACTACATGTATTTTTCGATATGAGTGGGTCTTCGCTCCATTTTTTTGAAAGTTAATCCTCAAAGTTTTCATAAAAATATACATTTTTTGGTTTCCAAAAATTTGGAGCAAAGACCCACTATACCTTAAAAATATACTTTTTTGATATAACATTCGCATCTTCGAGAAATACATGAAGTCCATTGAGTCAAGGGTCATGTCACAAACATGATTTAAATGCCACTATTCATCAGGACTTCTGTAGTAGTCTAGTGGTTAGCGCGCTAGTCTCGAAAGGAAGTGATGCTCCGGATTTTTATTGCAAGGGTTCGAACCCCACGAATACCGCTTTTTTTTTAAATAAAAGAATATATTTTGCCGAGAAAATTTTCCTCACAAAAGTTTTGTTTATCATAATTTCATAAATTTCAATAATGAGAACTTTAAATACTAAATTCACAAATTGAAATGATTTTTACATCTTTAAAGCTATAGGCTTTCTGCACACTATGTTCACCCATCTCCTTTGTACAGAATTTATTTTTGTTTAGAATTGCTACAGGTGCCGATGACAAAACACTTCACATTTATTGCGATTACTGGCGGATTTAGAGGCCCCCCTTTGTGTCCAAATATATACATATTTAATAAATCATTTTTTTTTGCTGTGGCCTCTGGGCCCCCACACCAACCTGCAATTGGCCGGGCCCCCCTTCTCAAGAATCCTGGATCCACCACTATCATCACGCCTGAAGAAATCAAATCATCGGTATCATCGCGTGACATAGATCCAGAGTAAAATATGATCAGAACGTGTAACATTTGCGGCCAATTTGATGCTTTGCTTCAATATATTGTATTAACTAGAAATGCCGTATAGTCTTCAGGCTATCATATTTCTGATAAAGTTAGGTAACTCTAATGATGTCGACTATTTAACCCAAATGTTGTATCAAGAGTTATGTTTCTTAAATTTCCTGTAAAATGAGATTGCCAAGCATTATATACATTTGTAGTACAAATTTCATTCCAAGGTAATTGTACCATTAAAAAGTGAGGGGGAGTTCCTATATCCTGCGGGGAGGATGTAATTTTAAAACATCGACAATATCATGATTTTGAATAATTCAGTAATGCAAAAAATTGAACGCCTTTTACCCAAGAGCAATACTTGTGCACGGAAAAGAATGATGTTAAACTAATGAAATCCGGGGCGGTCACAACGAACAATTTTTGTTCACATTTTTTTCCCCTTTTCTCAGGCTAGATTAAATTTTAACACCATAAATCCACATATTTCATGACTACAAATTTTTTTCCGTATGAATGATGACGGATCTTGCATCCATTTAATTTACGTTATTATGAAAGACATTATCACTCGTAAGACTTGTATATTAAGTCTCATAAGAATTCTTACAGGTTTCAAAAAGGGGGGCCAACTTCTAAAATCTGACAAGCAAAAAAAAAAAAATTATAAAAAAAAAAATTAAAAAAAAAAACCTCAACTGACCAAGGAGGGGGGGACTTCCCAAAATTATCTGACAAGCGAAAAAAACTAAATTACTGTCCAAATCCTGGAATTTGCCAGTGCTCGACCAGACGGCATCAAAAAGTGGTGGTTGGGGGGGGGGGGGGGGCAACCAGCATCTAAAGGAAAATTTACTATAGCAAAATACTATGCTCAGAAAAAAAGTGGTGGGGCCGCCCCTCCTCCCCCCCCCCCCTTGCGTTCTTCGGGCCTGTGTCATTATCAAATTATTTTTGAGTCCAATGTATGTCTACTAACTTTTAGCATTTATCTCCAGGATTATCGTATATTACTATAGTGTTCTTTTTGTATGAACTCAGAAAATATTTACGGCAAATGTCGACAATTTTGGGGGTGGGGCGCAGCCAATATATCTACCGTGAAGTGATTTTACTCCATCCGTCACTAGTTTTGACAGTTATAGATTCACACCCTTTAAAGTTCGGATTTTAGGATTAAATCTAAATCATAATGCAAAAAATCGATTTAGAAAGGTTTTAAATATTTTCATGCATTCGCAACATCAGTTGTATATGAACATTCATAGGATTACTGTAATGCATACTTTAACTTCATCCTTGCGTCGTTTACAAAGGTTCTGTCGCCTTATATTTTGAGAAAAGAATCGAACTTGTTTATGGAGTGTTTGAATTAAATACTTCTGCCTAGTGGCACTAAATCTTCAAACATAATCAGATATTGTTTTAGATTGATTTAATGTCATTGTTTAAAACTTCATTTCAACCTCTTACACGATTTCTTATTTTTATAATTTGAATGAAGAACAAAGTCAATCTAAAAGTATCAGTCTGCAAGCGCATTTATTTCGAATGATCGTGAACTTGCTAAAGGTCTTCTTCAACTCATACTTTGTTCTAAAATTATGCAAATAAGTTACAAAAATGTTTTCTGCCTTGAAAAATTGGTTATGTCACACAGTAACTGGATCTAAGTTGCTAAAATGTATATCGGCACCAAATCTGTTTTTCATGTATTTATACATTGTGAGGGAAGTGAAGGAATAAGTGCCGTCACAATTTTGTTTATGTACATATACGTCTAATAAATACTGGCAACCAAGCGCATATATTTCATTATACAAGTCGTTAACATTATTATAATTAATGTAAGTTCGTTTGAATGAGACAAATAAGAACATTATCCTTGTCTCATTTGAATTCATTTTCACAAGAATTACCCGAGTATCTATCCACGATGTCAAAATCTTCAGCTGACTTTGAGTAAAAATTTTCATTTAACTTTTATTGTACTCAATCTCTCCTCAAACTGCTGTTTTGTGGCAATTCTTAAATGTGATCTAGAATACTTGAAAGCAAAATATATAAATATATATATATATATATATATATATATATATATATATATATATATATATATATATATATATATATATATATATATATATATATAGATAGATAGATAGATAGATTTAAAAAGTATAAAATAACCTAAATAGTTATACAAAAATCTTATGCGTAATTTCATTGACAATTGTTTCATAACGAAATTAATTGCCTTGTCAAATAAAGCATGGCGTTATCAATCAGTCAGTATTTTTATTCGGAATAATTAGCGAATCTAAGTACCGAATGGCAATCTTTCATAACGTTGGAACTCTGATAAGTTAACAGTTCAAAAATATATGTTTTTATTTCTAACAATAATGTTATAAGTCTCTCAGCAGATGTCTCTCAAATATATAATGAAGCTTTAGATCAAGGGAATGTTATAGTGAAGTGACCTAAAAAGTTCTTGACAAGTTAATACTTTTACTTCAGAAAAGGTCGAAAATATTTTCTGTAGCGATTACCCGGGTATAAGCATGTTAACGGTATCATTAGACCATTTGTACATAAATTACTCCCCCTTCTCTCTCTCTGAATCTGACCCTCTGTATGAAAGATAGTGTGTTCACCTTTGACGAGTTATCAGTCTTAAATATCTGCAGCCTCAGTATCATCAGGAAAGACAATATCAATTAATTAATTGCGCAGTTTATTAAAGAATATATTAATGGATCTTCTGAAGAAAAGCACGCACTCTCTCACTGAGAGAAAATGTGTGTTGTCTCTTGTTTACTTTCAAAAGAAAGAAAAAAAAATGTTGTGGTTAAATTTAAACCGATTTACATATTGTTGACTTGATCGAAGGAGAAAGGATGAAGCTTGTATTCCAAACACGCAGAGAGTTAGAGCTTCGTGAATTCCATGAATTATTTTTTGGATCATTTTCAACTTAGCATATTTAGTAATGACATTATATATCAAAGTATGAACGCATGGGTATATACTGGGCTAATTTATGTTACTAGAGTTTTCTTTACATAATTTACACGAAGTATTGGAGTATTTGTATGTCCCTTACTTTATATTGCATGTACATTATAATTAAAAAAAAAATTGGTGAGAGTCATTTTTTTTAATTTTATTTTATTATTATTATTATTTTCAATTTATGTGTTTGTTTATTTATTTTTGTTTTCTTTTCTTTTAATTGATTATATTCTTTGCCAAGAAACAGTACTTTATTATAATTGCCATTTTTGCTCATTCAAGGATAAAAATAGAATTGTGCAGACCAAAAAAAAGGTAAAATTTATTAACGAAAGGTGTTATAGTTCTCAGGAAAAAGAAAAAAAATGACATAGCGCTTATGTGTTTCAATATCCACACGTTAATCGGCGATATACGCGGTCACACTATCATCGACACGGGAGGTCAATAGGTGTTTTATCCTCGTAAAATAAATACTCTCTGTAACCTGCTACGCCCTTCCATCATACAGCCGCTATCATAAACATAGATTAACGATCTACACTCCACTGTCGAATAATTATGAATTTATTAATTCTTGTTTGAAAAGTTTCTGTGGCCTTTCTCGATCGATTTCGCGATTCAATTATTGAATTATATAACGGTGTAAATCGAGGGAGGGTGCCCTCGGAATTCGATAAATAAAACATTTTCAGTTGACCGCACGGTCATAAATCATACACATTTCTTCAGCTAAGACCCCCGAGGACTGAATGATAGGTTCCCGAATCCATAAATGATGCAAATTATCCCCAAATAAGCAACCACACCCATCGCATACAACAGCTGATATTGTTTGGTTTTAGGTCAGCCATAGTCTGTTTCAGGGATTCCCCGCCTTCGCCTTGTTTATTCTCTTGCTTTCTTCTCACAGCTTCATTTCGCCGTTCGTCCACATATCTGCATTATTTAAACACATATGAAGAGTTCTGGCTAAATTTTCTGTATATTTCGCATTTTATTCCACCAAAGCGCTGTTCTTGGGTGGGTATGAATGAACATTTATGTGACTTCCCATTGGGCGCTGTTATAGTCTTAGCGCAATATAAGCAGTTATACTACAAATGAGGTTATTTAAGGGTCATTATTGACATAATTTGTTGATAAAAATTGTAAAAATTCATAGTTTATATCAGAAAAAAAATGTATGCCCTATTTTCCAAGAATTGTGCTGATATACATATTATGTATGCGATGATTTATGACCATTAAATCTGGATGATCAGCTGAAAGGCGGATGTGTATTTGGAATGTGCGTTTCCCTGTCGAAGGCCCCTTGTGATCTCGTATTACGATAGAGCGACACGGTATTATTATCATTCCACGCCGGTATTATGACAAAGTTAGATTGAAATTATTATATATATTGATGATTGAAAAAAATGGATTATAAGTTAATTCTCGGAGTATTTGGGAATCTTTCCTTTTGACTGGGAATACAATACTGAATGGAATTTGTTTCTGTGGAACGCTATGTTATTGTCGTGGTCTCTAAACATAGATGCTGAGAAGCCGCTCGTCGTACTGTTACATGCAGGGGATTAAATGAGTGTACTCTTTGTACAGAATAAAAATAAAATAATTGGATACTCTTGGTGGTCTAGTTTCCCTACTTTCCCGATGCCCGCGCCGGACTCGGAGTGTGTGCTTTTTTCCCATTCTACAAGCAAATGGTCCGGTCATATCGGCTGATGTCCAAACCGCAACACCTTCTAACTCTTGTTGTTCTCTGGTCAGTGTTCAACTCTGTCTGTGTCTACTCTCAGGTGAGTTAATTAGGTCACGACAGGGTCAACATCCATTACCCCATGACCCATATATTTGATTAAATGTAGTGTGTACTCTTAAACTTATGGTGTATATAGTCAGTGCAAGTCGGAAGTGCAAAGGGAAAGTGGTTTGAAAAGTTTCACGATACGTTTAATGGCTTAAAAGACTTGCATTCTTAATTAGAAAGTAACTAATTTATGGAAATATTATTCTTCTAGCTTTTAATGATATAAAGAAATCCCTAATTTGAATGTACGTAATGTATGTTTATCATTCATGTAACATGCATTTTATTTTCGACAAATAAAAGGTTATTCCTTTGTCACTTCAACTGTCAAAAAGAAAGAAAAATCACTACATCATTTATTTAACAGTATATCAAATTGATGTGTTTCTGCATGTAGGTCATAGAAGAAAAAAAAAAATCTCCAAACACTACAATAAAAATTCTGAAAAATTTATTGAACTGAGATAGCATTTGAATCCGCCACTTTCCTTTTGAATTGATTATGTTCCGCGTCATTGCATGCGATCAGAAAAAAAAATTCTGAGTCACTTTTGGTGGTTATGTTTTTTTTTTTTCCTGCTATCGTTAACGCGAGCATTAATTATTTTTGATCACACAGTAACAATCAATAATTTACTATCATTTTAACACTGTCAAAAAGACAGGAACTATATCATAATTAGAACAGGTCGTGACGTTCTTGTTTTTCATTTATTTAATTTTATCAACATCAAAGACGAGTTTGATATTTTACAATTCGTGACGAAAATGTAAGGTTGTCACTGAGACACGGGCTTATGACATATGAAGATATTGTGGTACATTGTAAATTCCTATAAAGAACCCATCAACACGTATTTCTTTTATCTTTTAAATAATTTTAATATAATGATAATAATACATTATTTGATAATTTATACGTCACTTTAACTCTATACCTTCTTTAAATATTCTTCATTTATAATTTAATTGAATACTTCAATATTTTCAAATTTACGCTTTATCTCGTAAGTTTTAGAAAGAAAAAAATGGCGCGAACATAATCAAATATATGCTTGAAGCATAATCTGCAGTCATATACCTAAGCATGCGAAAGAAACAAGTCATATGGTTGTTGAAATTGACAAGCTACAGATTGGGTGGACGTTTAATATCCTAACAAGAAATAACGCGGAAGTTCTGGAGTTTTAATGTACCAAATAAACTACAGGTCCCCATATGCTTTGTATTAGTCAGTTGTGAACAGGGCTGCAGAATATAGAAGCCAAGGAATCTGCACAGGATTCAAAGAAAACTATTTAATTTTCAAAAAAATCTCGGTGGTTAAATTGAGCCAAATTTAATCTGAATTCCCTCAGCACGGTTGATTTGTAAAATCTGATTTTGAATTGTGACTGATATTTTTTAGGCTAGCGAAAAATGATGTAATAGTCTGGCAATGACATCGAACGGATCTGACGATATAAATAAAATGCAAATGTAAACACACCATAACGTAATTATCATTAAAGAATGCTAACATACACCGTACATATGATAAGTATATTTGATAAAAGTAGATACATTGTAAAACATCTTGCAACCATGCATGTACGCAATGTCATCAAAACTGAGAATCCCGGTATCTTATCCCAAGTATTGAGCATGTTGAGTGCTTCTTTTAATTTGCGTCAATCGTAAAACATTCAACGTATATAGCATCAGTTTAGAGCCTGTAGGCGGATTGAGGCTTAGCTTGTTGCGGGGCATGTCGGGGGTAGTAAGTACACGATTGACCCCGTTATATTGCAGCGCGATAAATCCTATTGTTGCATGTTGCACATGTTGTTTATCAGCTTGAAGCAAAGAACAAATCTGATAAATGTGCTTATATACAAACAGTTGCACTTAAAAACTGCAACCTTGTAAAAACGATATCGGTTTTCAGTTGACAGAAAAGGGTAAACGAGAGAGAGAGAGTCAGAGAAAGAGGGAGAGGCAATTTACATTTTCACTTCAAAAAATATCCTTATATACATGATAGCTTTGCTTATGATATATCAGTTAAAATCTGGAAGATTTCAAAAACTCAACTTGCGAAAATTGATGGAAGTTCAGTCCGTGATTTTCATAATCTCGTTAATCACTACACCACACCCTAGTGTCGACAACACATGAAATTAAGATGTTCGAAATCTTTAAATTGAAGCCAAACACGTGATCAAATGTATGTGCATTCTGTTCACCAGCAAATACGGGCGCATTAAGTCTGCACAGTGCACAGTTAGTGATCAAAGAGCCACGATTGTTCTGTATAGGTGAAGTTTTATCAAAAGTACTCGTATCGCATGCTCATAAGAATTCCATGTCCATAAAAGTGTTTGTACATTGAGAACTGGCTAAATGTGTATATCGTCAAGGCTATTAAGAGTACATTACACGTGTGTTATAAATGTATCTGATGCATGTAGGTATAAAGCAATAGATAACAACTGATAAATAATCCATTAATATTGAAATATTGTGTAATAGACATCATCCCGGATGATAAGCTAAAATGAAAAAAAATCACTGCCGAGTCAGAAAATGAATATAGAGGGATCGAATGCATTTATTTGCTAAAAAAAATAAAAACATGTAAAAATTGCTCTCTTAATAGAAAAGAAAGGGGGGGGGGTATTTTTTGCTCTATATACATTCTTACCCTTCGAAAAGATTTGAAATAGATCTCAGCAAGATTGTACATCTATTTTTCTACATAGTTATTTATAAGGTATATATTGAATTATTTATGTATACATTTATATATTTTTATATGATCATATTATACAATAGATTCAAAAAAAAAAAAAAAAAAAAAGAAAAAAAAAAAAGATCTTTACATGAAAATGAATTACGCTGGAGAGGTGAGAAGTTAATATTTTTATTTAAGGAATCTCTAGGCTATATACAGTAAAGCTTAATGATTTTGGAACATTGAGAAAACGTATATGGAGATGTAAATATTGAGCTTATTTCATATTCAACATAGGGTTGCTGGCATTTATCCCCAAGAAAAATTTTCAAGGATAATAAAGTATTTAAAGGAACAGAAATTTTATCTTTTACTTTTGTGGGGAAAATGTATGGAAATAAAGTGTTCAGTTAATTTATCTTGATCTATGAAAATGTTAAGAATGCCTGAATTGATTACAAATTGAGTTAAAAACTGTAATTACAATTTCTTCTATTTTAAATCTAGGGGCAGATTTTTCTTATAGAGGGTTCTTGATTAAACTATATTACTCACATTATTACACAAGTAATAGAATACAATCTATAATAGATACAATATAAATTTTACAAAGTATCCCTATGTTTGGTGAATGACAGATCATTCAGTTTATTTTATTTTTTATATTAAACTTTATAAATGTATTGCATCGGGTCTGTGCTCAGATGCTCTTCTCCGCCGATACTGAGATGTCATCAAAGTTCCTGTACACGTAAATGTACAAGGACTTTTTCCCTTTTGGTTTTTTTTACTTCAAAATTCGGAATAAAAACGACCATTAGATTTTTTTTCTAAATTTTAAAGTAGATATAAAAACTTTTGATATTCCTTCTGCGTTTCTTTGCTACGTAACATGCTGCATTTATAACTCACGTGGAGGACCAGGTCACAAGAACCCGATACCCTGCACCCCCTCCCCCTCCATGTCTGCATTTTGTGTGGTTAAGGGATAAAAAAAAATCCTGAACATTTTCATCAATATTTTCAATTTGTAACATTTGTTGAAAAAATTGAATCAATGATCGAGCATTTCACAATTCCATGTTTGTATAAAAAAATATATAATAAAATATTTCAAAGTTGGGGCATTTCAAGATGTTCAAGATATGGCGGTGAAAAGGCTAATTCATTTTATAAATCAGGATCTGCCAAAACTGTTCTTATGGTTCGTTATTATTTTTTTTCATAAATTAAATGTAAATAAAATATGGTCGTCAAAATTTCTTTATCAATAGGTACCTGCACATCTTGAAAAAATACAACGTTTGATATCAAATGTCTGTAGTAAGCTATAGTCAGCGAAACAACTGGACGCGAGGGAAAAGGTTTACACAAAAGTATTGTACAGAACTGTAGGTTCATTTTTATAAGATTACAAAAAAATAAATGAATAAATGAAAAAAATTGAAAAAGCAGCGAAATCTATTTGAAATAGGGATATATTTAAATACTTTAAATGCGATCCGGCAGAAATTAAAGCCTTTATTCAATAGAAAAGATTTAACTTGAATATCTCTTTTCAACCAATTGACGCATTTTTAATCATAATCATTAAAGCCCAACTTTTAATGTCTTTATTAATTATATAAAGCATATTCAGTATGTAAACTCTGTATGTAAAAATACACACACATTATAACACCGGGCATCCCCGTCGCTTATGTTTAAACTGGAACATCGTTTACTTGTGTTTGCAGCAGAGCTTCGCAGTTCTAAAACAATAATAATTGGATTTTTGGTGATATACTTGGGAAAAGAACCAAACCTAGCGGACAAAAGTGTAGTTTACTGTATAGGTCTTTTGTCTGGTGACTTTCAGTTTATTTCAGGTTTTACCAATGTACAATACAACAATCGATCTCCATAATCACCCATTAATTAGTAAAATTTCTCTTGTTAGCAAACCAATACAGAGGTGCCAATTTTTTCACGAAAAGAAAGATGTTCTGTCGTTGATATCTGTTTTCTAGTGCCAAGCAATAAATTCCGAACGGTGTAGAAAAACTTTGTACCTGATGGGTGGACCCGATTCTTCGTCGAGTTTCGTGCGATAGAATATGAATATATACATTACCACAAATCTTGTTCATCTGTCAGAAACATCTTCCCCACCCAGTGAAATACTAGAATATTGTTTAGCGTTTATCGCTCCGTTAATTCTAGCTCCTCTCTAAATTAGCAATATATATGCTGGATCTGTCCATGATTTAGTTTGTGTAGCACAAGTACTGACATGTATATATTTAATATGAACTTTCAAAGAGGTTATATATCAAGTAGGTTGAGGACGAGTTCAAAATATAAGACGTGGTATATTAACAGAGGGTGCATTGGTCAAGGTTAAAGGTCAAGGCAGGTGCGAACACTGTAGATCGCTAAACAATCATTATTTTAAGGACATACGCAACGTACCTTACCTACTGATAATTTTTCGAGATATTCTTAATTTAAGATTATAGTGCTATCAGATGTTTGTAGACAAAAAATCAGCATGCGTTACCAGAGGTTTTGAAAAGATATCAATTGATGAAAATTCTTGTATAATTCAAAGAAAAATATACAAAAATTACTAAGCATATATTCTAGATGTTTTGTTTATCAAAACTTGTTTTAGAAGAAGTGTACAATAGCATATATAGACATTAAAATGTAGCACACAGTTCCTTTTAGTATTGGAACTCTTCAACTCCAAGGAAAAAGACAATAAAGTTCAAACTACGTTGCGTATGTCCTTAAGGAGGTGTGTTTCGTTGATTTTTCTAAAAGATAAATAGAGATGGGTTTTCTAACCACGCGTCATATTCAATTTTTTTTTTAATTTAGTGTTATTTATTTACCATACATATGATATAAAGTATTCCTTATCCCATCGTCTCAAGCCATTGTCCGGAGTCCGTATATAGCTCTCCCCTAGAATGGGAGAGGATCGTATGTTTTGGCCGTGGTTTGCGACGATGTCCTAATCCTTCTGTAGATATATTTCTGAATGTGCTTTAGAAAGTGAAGTTCTAAACTGTGGGTTTTTTTGTAGTTAATCAGAATGGTGGGTTAAATATAAAGGACTACTCGGAAATGGCCCTTTGTTTGATTCGGTTTATCTTTCCGCTGGAGTCGGGCGTGTCACATCCCGATTCGAACGAGCCGCTTCCTTAAACAGTCATGGTTTAACATGGGGGTGTTTGCTGCACACCATTTCAGTGTTTGATTTACGCTCTACGTGTGTCATGCACATGACAGATTTTCCCAGCGTTCTTTACTAGTTGGAGTAATTATGGGTTTTTCTTTTAAATTCTTTTTTAAAGGACAGATGCTACAAACAAACTTTCTTCAAAAACCATTAAAATAACACCTTTAATCTTTTATATAAACAAAATGAAAAAAGTTAAACGGCGTAGTTTTATATTTTTCATTCAAAATTTCACGATAATGTCCTATAAAGTGAATAAAAAATACATGTAGTTATATTAGTATAGATTTATAAGGGTGACTGCAGAAAGGTGGAATTTTGATATATCATAGAAAGTTTACAATTTCTTAATATTATAGAAATTGAGGATAGGTCCAAAAATATAAACCAGTCCAGGCATTTTTTTAAAAATTTGGTTCGTATCATCTGTCCCTAGGTTTACCTCCTCTTGTTTGACATGACTATTAGATTGAGGAATGGGGAAGTCTTATAATGACAGCCCATTGCTATACACCACAGTTTTGAGACCAAAAGCTTGAGTTGATCATGTAAAATCTTGCGGCAAAAATAACTGTTTCGGTTTAAAATTACTTGTATAAAATTAATTTTGTAAATTCCTTTAAAAAAGATTAAATTCATGTTCATATTTGTGTAAAAAAAGAAAGTGGCAAACTTACATTTTGGTAGTAGTCGTAAGTTCTTTTGTAAAACGGGGTCCAAGTTACCCATGAAGTCTTTCATCTGGGAATCTACTGTACGTGACACTTTCATGCAAAACTGTTTTAAACTAATAACAGGCCTATATTCTGGTAGCATTTATGTCGTAAGAAAAATATTTTTAAAAAAATAAAATAAAAATAAAATAATAAAAATAAAACACACAATGACTTTAAAACAGTGTCACCCGACAGGGCCTACTTTGGTGATGATTTTGAAATATTCCATCTTTTAATGAGTTCAAGTTTTATTTGATTAATATAATATAATGATTTGTATTTATTTTTTAATTTAATGTGTTTATGTTATAATTTTATCTTTTTAAAGAATAATCTTATTTATATTTTGTCTGTACCAATTCCATTTTTAACCGGATATAGGAGATTTAGCTATTTTAGACCGAAAGAGATGCAGACGGTAGGGTTTATTGCAACGTCCGGCGGTAAATATAAAGTTTATGGAATAAACTAAAATTAACATGTAGATGGTGGACGGTTGCAGCGATCTGTCTATGTAGAGATAGACTTTGTCAATTACTACTGTAATTGGCTTGGACTTACCACAGAAAATTACCAGTTTTGTCTAGAATGGAATTTTCTGGCTTGTATAAGCCGTAATCATTATAGTTTCTGTTCAGCAGTTGTGTTTTGAATTACGATAGACAGATAGTATTTAAAAGTAAATCATCATTCTGTTAACCAGTTATTAATAAAGTCAGTACAGTAAAACTTGTCTAATCTGGATGCTGTATATTCCAAAATGTTAGTCTATTACGAAGTAAACTCTAGTCCTTTTCAGTTAGACCTAATTCAATTGATTAAAAATATTGTCTAATCCGGAATATTGTCTAATCTTGCAAATTTTTATGGAACCAGTGGTTTCTGGATTAGACAAGATTCACTGTACAATTAGCATCATTGTGAATCATTGAATGCCACCTCTTCTAACTCATTGGATTGTACTTCAGGTTTCTGATCAAAAGTTCGCAATCCAGTTATATGAGAGAAACTTACCATGGCTAACTTGTCCTGAAGGTAAGTAAATCTAAATCCACACACATAGGAGCCTACCATATGCAGGGCTATCCGTATACAGGGCTCAGTGGCCCCATTCCCAATGCAATTTTCCTAACTAAAATAATGAAAGAAAGTGTTATTTTCCAAATTGTCATAGCTAATGTTAAAAAATTGGTAACAAAACTATAAACAACATGTTGATTTTCCCAATGTCCCTCAAGAATGTCACTAATTGACCCAATTTTAAAGGCTTTTATGGTTCTACTGGTCCCCGACTCCCCGTATCAAGAAAGTGGTGTGAGAGCTCTGAATGATGGGGAATACATCTGACTTTAACAGGTCTGGGCGGCCTCCGTTTTTGGAGGATAGCTAGATTCAATATGGCGGCCAAAATTTTTACCATATATGGAAACCGCATTGCATTGTGGGATAGTTTATCCTCCGATTTCAGAGGATAACACAGGTAATTTTCAAACACCTCGTGCCTACCTTTAATCAAAAAGTGCAAGCACCAGAGTACGTGTAAATAAAAGTTCAAACATTAAACTATCGATTGTGTGTGGCGATTTGAGATTCTATGTCTAGATATTTTGCAATTTATTTTCAAAGTTGGGCCATTTTGCACTCCATTATTACTGAATATTTCTTGTTATTTTGTTTCATTTTTTATGATTTTTCCCTATTTAGACAAATAAAAAAGGACTTTAATATTTCTTTCATATTTTCTTTTAATTCAAAAAAGGAGGACAAAGGGAAACACCCAAGGAAACACATTTTAAGCGTATTTAAAATGCAAAATATACTCTGCCTTATAATTAAAGCAAATAAAACTATAAATGGATTGAATGAATAATTATGAAAATAAATAAATAATTTGAATAGCATTAATAAATAAAGTAATAATCTAACATGTTTACTAAGAAATTAACATATATTCATACAGCCATCATGGCAATGTGTATACATTTATAAACAAAATATTACAAAGTATTGTGCTTAAGAATTATTAAATGAAAGAAATAATAAATGATTAAACTTATTTTGTTCAAATCTGTTTATCAAAAGTTCTAAACTGCTTATCACATAATTATGGTACTGGAAAATCAGCATGGGTATAATTAAATGCAGTCACAGGCACTGCCAGGTAAGTGCAATATTTATGTTCCAAGCTGTATACGGAATAACTGATGACGACAATTACAAAAATAAAGTTAATATATTGATTTAGTATCTGGAATTACCCATCATCATATTAAATTGTACCTTTTATTTGTTTTGATTTCGAAATCAGCATACGGTTCATAAATGCAAGAGTTGCTGTTATTTGTTTGGTTAAGAGTTAACTGCCCTTGGTTTTGAAAATTCCGGTAGGTGGCAAGACTGCTATCCTCTGTTTTCAGAGGATAAAATCTATCCTCCAAAAACAGAGGCCGCCTAGACCTGTTTAAAAGTCAATGATTTTTCTTTCTAACAGTGCAGCAGTTCTCAGGATAAACATCGTACATAGAGGGTAAAATAAAACGGAGAGAAACATGACAGAATATTTATTTCTAATTCAGAGTCCAAAACAGTTATAAGATTAAAATAGCAAGGAAAAGACATGTTGATGCTAAAAGATAGATTAACAATATATGTGTGTAACATTGCTCATTTAAAATGATGAGCCTATATTTCAATATTAATAATGAAGGTTCATAGTTTACAATGTGTGAAAATATATAAATACTATAACATATTGTCCTTAATATTTACTATTTACACACAAAATTAAAGATTTTCCCTTTATTCAAAGTTGAACAGCAATACCAAAGTCTAAGATTTTCTTTGGGGGGGGGGGGGGGGTCCCAATTTACTTATAAGTACTGTAACAGATGGGTACATTAGTTTCAAAACTTAATGTTATACTAGTGATAGACAAATTTGAAATGCAATATTTTGACCCAATTAATTTTTTTTATTAGAAAAAAAAGAATCGGTGTTGAAAAGTTTAACAGTTTAAATTAGAATAGACAAGGGGATCTTTTCCCTAATTGAATGAAGGATATTGTTTTTATGTTTTTATTGTTTTTCCCTTCAATATGGTTATGCCAGACATAACTGCAGCATTCCATTAAATAAATTTAGCAGACAAATATCAGCTGATACTTGGTTATAAAGTAAGTGAACCACTTACCCTTTTAGTGACATGCTTCAAAAAGCATGAAGTAATTACATGTTTTATATGGTGGAGTGTAGCTAATTGTATCTGTTGAATTTAGCCTGTCAGACTTTCATTGATAATTAGGTAAATTTAAGTGCTGGTGTTTTGCAGGGTGGAGTAAAATCGGAAGCACGTGTGTCCTGGTTTTGGCAGAATTAGCAACATTTACTCAAGCAGAATCATTATGTCAAAGGTAAATAGAAAGAATAAGGATGTATTGATCCTCATGAGTACAGATTGTGTGTCTTCTAATACATGTGGTGGCATGTATTTTTATCCCTTATGCTAGATGGTGTAACCTTCAATTAATGTAATATTGTCACAAGTCAGATATTTACTTGTTTCTTACTTTGATATCAAAAGATTCAAACTAAAAGAATTAACAGTTGTAAATGATGCTTGAGTATATAAAATTGCCGTGAAATCGGATGTGGTATGTGTTTATAGAAAAACTATCAATGTGGCAGTACCAGTGCGTATTTTCTTTAAAAAAAAAAAGCAGCAGTGCAAATGGGACATAATCAAAGCATATTTATCTCCTTTCATATTTCATAAGTCACAAACTGGCTACAATTTATTTTTAAAACATTGCTTTTTACATTTAGGAATGTTCAAAATTCTATATTTTACATATATTGATTTTCAAGAGAGGAGTGGATGAGAAATCAAACCAATAGCTGATCAGATATTGATATAAATTGACATTAATCTTGTTATTTCCTTCTTGTGCTGTTTTATATTCTGACAAAAATATTCAATCATATCAATAGGCCACCCAAATCCAAAGACTTCCCATCCTCCTGTTAATGAATTGGAACCTTTCAGACTTGGAATGAGAAATGAAATGCCATCTGGTGGTCATGGGTTGTCAGAGATATTGACTTTATGATAGAGCCCTCTTATTAATGATGTTAAAACATCTTGAAGATTTGTTCAAGTGGATTTTGTTATCAACATTTCTTCCCTCTGTTTAGTTTTATCTTTGATCAGGTGTTTTATGCTCATATTTTCCCTTTATGACACTTTAAAGATAATTACACCCCACCCCAAATTACATATATCCATACAAATGGGAAAAGATTATCATTTTACTTTCTCTATCAATTGCTTTGTTTATGGGGGGGGGGGGGGGGGGTCTGGATTTAAAAAAAAAATAAATTTCATACATAAGACCATATCTTTGTTAACTGAATCTCTCTAAAAGAACACTTGTTTTCTGAGTCTTTAACACTACACTGTTAGAATTTGTAATTAATGTAAGTATGTCAGACTTCCCATCAAGGATTGATGACTTTATAACAGGATTTCTTCAGCATAATAAGTTTACACATTGTTTTGGGCGTTATCTGTTAAAGTTAATTGTTTCAATGACCCTTAAATGTATTCCGCTATTTTCTTCCATGTGATATAGCAGGCTTGGAGTGAAAAAGTGTGAGCACTCTCATTTACAAGCAGTCTATTAAAAAAAAAAATGAAAAAAAAATAAAAAGCAAAGTGAGGCAGCTTACATTTACATGTTTAAAGGTTCTTATTCATTAGTGCAAGTATATGTACTGCAAATTTTACTTTAATATGATTTAATAATGACTTGGTTTTTTTTCCCCATAAATTGATGCCTGAAGGAAAGATAGAATACCTATTTAGTTTATTGGAAAACTCAAATGAACATTATATTGCAATTTTATGTGTATGCACTTAAATAGTACGTGAAATATATGATTCTTTCTGCAGTTATGGAGGCTGGTTGCTGAAAATAAAAGGATTTAATCAAAATCAGCAACTTGGAAATTTCATAGAAAATGTGCAATTTCAGCAGAGTGACACGTTTGTATCCCTTGAAGGATGGGATAACGGCTCATTCTGGATTGGTAAGTGACAAGAAACATCTGATAATTAGCTGATAGGGGATTTTTTTTTTTATAATTGACATTCAGAGAGTGCTACTGCTGAATGTAGATCTGTAGTACAGTTGACTGAGAGAATAAAAACTAGGTCTTATATATAGCAACTGACAAATCTTTTTGTAAATGTGTCAAAACTTGCAGTTGTAAATTTTACTATATTTTTTTTCAATAAATGTTATCAGTATATTGTTTTTATTTTGATTCCCTACTTAAAAGTAAAGTGTATGCTTTTTTATTGAATTTTTTAAAAATAATTTAAAATTGATGGTTGCTATTTTTTCAAGAAGTAATTTCAATTTAAATTAGAAGTTGACACCCTAATATGGTTTCTCTACTAGAAATATAGTAATTTTTTTTTAATGTTCTTACAAGTGAAAATTTATCTTAGGTTTGACTTAATTGATACTTTAAAGCTCAAAGGTTATGGAATGTCATTTGATTTTCATGAATTCAAACAAAGGGAAATGTCTCTTTTTATTTGTCACTATAAAGGTGATTCTTGGACATTTTGCAAAGTAGCTAGTGCATTAAACGGATTTCCTTCAGAGATTTCAGGAATATTTTTAAAGGTCTTCAGCCTGAGTTTTAATTACTTTCCCTAAAACAACCACTAAAAGAAATCTCTTTATCTGTAAACATGATAGAGTATCAAAAACTCTTTTTAAACATGTATGTACTTATTGTGTGTATCTACAGGTTTGTTCAGAGATGAAAATGGTCAGTATCAATGGAATGATGGACAGGTGACAAATATAGAACAGGGTTTCTGGACCCTGAATCAACCACTGGGCTTTCAAAATGGTAAGGATTTTGATGGTTGCTCTGTCACTAGATAAACACACGGAGTGGAATGGTCAATAAAAATTAAAGTTTGCATAAAACTGAAATACATGTACAGTCAAATGCCTCAACAACCCATGGCCCACTATATGTGACTTCCTCATTTGTCAGGAGTACAGTTGTATATACATTTTTTTTTAATACTTTATTTGTTTTCTTTTGTCATCTTATGATTCTCTAAGTGTACCATATAAAAAACTTTTGAATTTTAAACATGTTGAAGAGATTATTGTGTTTATATACCTATACAAGTTTAAGAACTTCATATATATATATATATATATATATATATATATATATATATATATATATATATATATATATATATATATATATATATATATATATTGATATTTATATGTGAAAAAGTTCTTTCCAAGTGTACGCTACCGGACATGATATCCTAACAAAATGTTGTGCTTTGTAGGTCACAAGCAGTGTTCTTCTATAAATGTACATAGTGTAAGTGACTTTGGTAAATATCGCTGGTCATTGGGACCATGTGAAATGAAATTGCCATTTGTGTGCCAAACAGTACCATGTGCTAGGCAGCAATACCGCTGCCAAGATGGAAGCAAATGCATCAGCTCTGATTGGTTGTGTGATGGAGTTGCCGATTGTCTTGACCAATCAGATGAAAAAAATTGTTCAGGTAAGTTTGAATGAAACTTTGCATTTTTGATGTGTTCACTTTGAAAAGTCATAGGCTTGTTTCTTCAAAGTATTTCATTTCTGTAAATGCCTCATTTGAAATAACCTAACTTAAAGCTGGTTCCTGAGTCTTGCTTGGATAGATTAAGTGCATTTTGTAATCTAAATCTGGTTCATGAGTACTCTTAGATAGATAAGTACATATAATAATCTAAAGCTGGTTCCTGAGTCCTGCTTGGATAGTTTTACATGTAATAATCTAAATCTGGTTCATAAGTCCTGCTTGGATAGATTAAGTACATGTAATTTTAAGCAGAGTCAGAATCAACTACTTTACTTGAAAGTTGGTTATGACTGCAAGACTAGTTCTTTAGGACTTATGCTAAGTTTGATGATATATATCTGTATATAAATAAGTATTTTGAATTTTTTTTCTGGCTTAATAAAGAAGCTTTCAGAAAAGTAAGTTTGGCTTTGTTTACAATCTAACAACCTCAGTCAATCTAATATAGGAGTAAGCAGGGCTCTCATACCTTGTTATGGGACTGGGGCTGTAAAAAATGGGAAAATTACTGTAAAAGCAGAAATATTCATTGGGGATTTTATTTCAGTTAACAATTGCGATACAGAGAAATATGAGTAGCAAGTTTAGTTTTTATATGTCCAACTATTGGGAAAAGAAAAGGCAGTGTTTGAATCTCATCGTAAAATAAGCTAGACATGTAGGGCTGACTGCTGGTAAAAGTTGTCAGCCCTGCCAAAAATCGAGAGCCTGAGAAAATTTATGTCTTTTATAAATTTGTTTTAGCAATAATGTGAATGGGGCCAGATCACTATATCTTCAATCCCAATCCCAAACCTGTAGAATGCAAATTCTACCCGTTTGCTTGTACATGTATACACTTTGCTGCCGATACAATTGGTTGATGTAAGAGAGATTTATCAAAGATCTAAATTCTAATTTATGAAAAATCTTTACACTTCTAGCCGGGCATCAACACATGCAAATCTATTTGCCCGCAACAAAATTTGTGTGTCTCGGGCGGTCGAGTGGGTATTTCAAACACTGGAAAAGGTACCAATTATAGAAAATCGAGAGCCCTTGTTAGACTGTTTAATACCTGTTTTTATTGAAGCAATAGAGATACAGGGTAATATGATTTATGTTAAACTTAAAAAAAAGTTATTAATGAACAAATTATAGGTATGATTTAGAGAATTTTTTTTTAAATTTCATTTATAACTTCTGTATTTACACTGGACAATTTTCCTGTTTAGTACTTCATTAATCATGATAAAGCTTTTTCATTGATTTTTAAAGATTATGTAACCTGCTCAACACTTTGTTGATACCAATTTTTCTCTGTCACACACTATTGGGGTGATATTTAATTCGTTGATAAATGAATGACCAGGATGTACATGGATCTGTTTGTATTTTTTCGAGTTAATCTGAGAAAGAAACTCAATATCCTATAGCAGTTTAAAGTCTTGCTTCAGCCCTATCTGTAGTATCTATATCTTGTGAAAGGTAAACATGTCAAATGGAAGCTTGTCAATGGCCTTTGTCTAAACTTGGAGCCGAGAGGAGGGCGTGGGCCCAAATTTGTTCTTTGTGAAAAGCTATATTCTGTCTATATGTTATTCTTATGGAAATTGTGTACCTCGCTAAAATTGTAGAATGTAAACCATGAAACAAGTGTCAGAAAATTCCTGATTTTCGTATTTGTGACTTTATGTTGTTTTAAAATTTTTGAAAGAACATTTTAGTTAGAAAAGAAAAATGAAAAATAAGAATCCTATTGGAGGTAAAAAGAAGGGGTTAAATGTGTAATTGTGTGAGCTAATTGTAAGAAATGTCATTATGTCAGCTGTGAATTGTAGATGAAGGTCATAATTTCCATACAGTTAGAGAAACATGTCTGTGTAGTCATGCTCGTGAACTACAACATCAGATACACTATGCTACCATTACAGTTTTTGTTGATATAGTTAGGTTGGAAAAGGTATTCTGTCAGAGAAATTAATTGAAATGAATAAAGCTTGTTTGCATAATCTAGTACATCTTTATATATTTGGAATAAAAATGGAACAGAGGGTAGCATTAGGTGAAAGTTTTAGTTCTTGGGATGAGATTAATTCACTTTTTTTTTTTTTTTTTTTTTTTTTTTTGAAGACTAACTTTGGGGGGATGTTCAGGTAGTTACTTCACAAATGGAGCAGATAAAGAGAGGTTTTTTATTTTAAGTATGACTGTTTGAGGCATTATGCTAGTTTGATAATTAGATACTTTTCAAAGTTCTCACTACCTAGTACATTTTTTTTTTCTTTTCACAGAGATTCAAAATTGGACAGGTCCAGAATTAAACTTGACATGCTTAGTTATGTTTATAACCTATTTTGTTTGGAAAACATTAGACCTCCCATGCAATTTATACATGCAAATGCATTAATTAAGTCATTATAATTTATTAGCACTGGGAAGTTTGCAGGTATTTATTCCTAAATGTGACATTATTAATCATGGTCTTTTGTAAGCATGTTCACCGTCCTGTTCAAGAGAATTATAATTATTTCTGTAACTTCTAAGAGAAATCTTTGAATGAAACTAATAGAATAGTTTACTGTGAAATGAGTTCAAATTTTATTATGATTTTTGGAGCGACACTATTGCAAGTCTATATACTATCTAGTTTTTACAGTGAAATAAAATAAATTGTTAAGTAAATTTGCAGTCTAAGTATTGACAAAAAGGAAAGCTGAATCACTGTGATATTGCTAGAAATGAGGCAGAATTGGATAGGAATAAAAATAAAAAGGGAATTGAGTTTGTGAAGAAAAAGTGCAACAAATTGCGGTACATTAGGTGCCTAGACATCTTAACCTGACAGGTTTTATTAAAAATCCTTGAAGGGAAAAAAATTAGACTGCATTTAAATTTTTAAAGTGCAGCATATCAATTATTTTGAATTGATTAATGTTTTTGAAGTTGACAGTAAAAACTATATTTTCCAAAATGCAATACCTTTTATCAGAAATGAAGATTTTAGTTATTTTTTGATTTTACAATAATTTCTGGTTTTTTATTTTAATTAATTTATTTTTTTTTGCAGGTTATTGTGGCAATACATATCAGGGAAACACTGGAACATTCCAATCACCCTATTCCCCTCATCCTTACCCACCCTTCTCATCATGTCAATGGGATATTCATACTCCGCTCGGGACAAGAATTTATATACAAGTAAGACAGTTAATGTTACAAATTTCAATCAACATACAGTAAAACTTGGTACATAGGAACACAGATATAGCATATTTATAGATATAGCAAAGTTTTTTTATGATCCTCAGCAAAATTCTTAACGATTCCTTGCAAATTCAATGGTTATAACAAAGTCTGATATAACAAATTGATTTTTTTGTGTCCCATAGAGGTTAAAATAACAAAATTTACATTTTTATGGCAATTTTTTTAAGATCTCAAAATTCAGAATATTGCACTGACATTATTTTTCATAAGTATTTATATTTGAAGTTTAATTCATTTGAAAACTTAATTTAAGTCAGCAAGCTATTTTTGGTATTTAGTACTTCCCTGAACATATTTGGTAGTCATCTTGAAGCAAAACATGTTCCAGTATATATATAAATAATCATATATAGTTTAAGGAATTCATAATATAGATATAACGAATTATGGATAAAGTGAAGTAAATTCACAGGTCCCCAGGATTTCACTATATATAACTGCATTTTACTATATTAACAAAAACAAGCAATAGATCTTGTTGAAATTTTGTATAGACTTAGAATTCGACCTGCCTGTTTATGGAAGAACAATGAGACTGAAATATGTTTAACATTGTCTGATTGAACATTAATTTTCTACTTTTAGTTTGAAGCTTTTGACTTAGAACATGGCTATGATGTTATCAGCATTTATGACGGCCGCTCCACGTTAGATCCGCTGGTCGGAAACTACAGTGGAAGCAGCATTCCCATAATTCCCCTCTCCTCCTCCAACAGCCTCGTAGTCAAGTTTCACTCGGACCAGGACAATCAGACCACTGGCTTCAATGCCACCTGGTTTGCAGGTGAGTTTAAAAAAAAACAATAAAATGACAATCAGAACATTTTTTTGTATTTATAATTGTCCTTTTGACTTCCTGTACAGCAATAGCCATTGCTTAAACCCTTATTCCATGAATGAATAAAAGACTTATATACATGTATTCTCAAGTTAAGGTTTATGTTAAAGATATATTTGAAGTTCAAATACGAAATAGGAATTTGTCAGTGTTGGCTTTAAGCTTCTATTAATGGTTATCACAAATTCATACTAGTTTAAAACACAGTTAAGATAGTGTGATGAGAATTGCTCATTGTCAACAACAACATTAGTCAACCATTCCTCGGGTTTTTGGGTTTTTGTCACAGGTGTAATTATGATCCAATATATCTTAATATCCTGTAACATTAATCCTTTTCTAGATGACATATATTCTTAAGTATAATGGAATTTTATTTTTACAAAAGAATTTCTTATCATGGATGATATATTTGTGACATATATATCTCTCAATATTTAATTTGATGTATTATCATCAATCATTCGCTTTGATATTGAAGGTGCCCTTCAGTCTTCAATAGAATCTTTTGTTTCAATAAAAATGGTTTTAATTAATAGTTTGAACTAGGACAGAAACTTAATTGTTACAACAACAAAATTGACTTCCCTAGAATCTATTCATTTCTCTTTGTTGACCTTTAGTGATTGCTTGGGTGTTATAACCATATTCAGGTTTCAGATTTGCAAATATATGCAAGAAAAACCACACCTATTTACCTTCATCTTATTCTTAACAGTTTAGTGGTATAATTTATTTGTATAGATCTCATATCCTTTGAGAAGAATGCATTGCAAATGATACTCATTTTCAAATAGGAGTTATTTTCAAAAATTGAAATTTTAATTGTATTTATAAAGTTTGGGAAAAGGCTAATGATTACGGTAATCTATACTGTCTCTTAAAGCTTCCAAGAAATAGTAGGGTTATTTTATTTCTATTTGTTTTTGTTTTTGTTTTGTTTTTTTTTTTTTTTTTAATGATAAAGTTATTACAAATTACCAAACATTGACCAGGGATGCACCCTTTATTAAAATATTTAGAACTTCTAGTAGGTCTAGATAAACCACTTTTAATGTGTATTCTTAATGCACAAGTTGATGTGAACTTGACAACAAATGATTTATGTTTTTCCAAAAAGTTGCAGCATACCAATGCATTTGGTTTCAGTTCAGCTCTTTCAACTGGTGCTTCGTTCTCTGCTATTTTTATGCAATGATTTATTATATATCTGGGCATGATGAAACACCCTTTGGTTAATTCACATTATGTACTTTATAAACAAAAGACTGCATTTAATTAGAGGGAGTAAACTTATTCTGCAGTAAGCTTTTTCCCCCTTGTCTTTGGGGAGATATTTATTTACAGAGGGCTGTGGATCAGGTTTGATGTGGAGAGATTTAATTGTGTTGGATATCTCCTGGTATCAATAAAACAAGGGTGTGTCTGATGTAATATTCTGATGAAGTGAAATGACAAAGCTACTGACTGCAACAGAAGCCTAGCATCTGGAGATTTAATGGAGATTGCTTCATAAAATGTTCATTAGTTCCAAGTTTATAGAGTTTGATTGAGGTATATGTCTGATGAAAAATTATGTGATTAACAGTTTCAGCAAGTCTTCAAGCAAAAAATTAAAGAGAAAAAATCCTTAATAAATGCAAAAAATAAGCATGTGCATAAAAATAGTTTACTCTGGTATGCACTGAAAGTCCAAAGATTCAAACTGAATTATGAAGAACTTGCATATAACTTTTGTGAGAGTAGAACTGTTGTTTACATGTACATACACTAGGAAAAATAATTTACTATGCATCAGCTATAAACCAGGATTCCAGAGTGAAAGTATATGAATCATGTGTATAAAAAAGCATCTGTCTCTTTCTAGATAGTCTGACACTTGTTAGTTACTGGAAGAATGTTTAGGGAAACACCTAGCTATCATCACTAAAATGTATTACCTATTTCCTAGGTTTTAGCAGATAACAACTTTTTTCAATAGTTGAAAAGAGATGGTCTATTTAAGTAATTAGATTGATAGGGGCTAGTTTTTATATGGGGCCCAAAGTCAAAGTCACTAAAATTTGTCCTAAAATTGTGCACAGAATTCAAAGTGTGCTTTATAATGTGTTTAAGATATTAAACGACTTACATATTATGTCGAGCCTTCTTGAGGTCCCAGATTGAGTGAGGAAAAATTATCCTTGATTGTGAGGTACAGTGTATATATTTCTTTAACAATCCCAGTCTTTGTTACATACAAAATTCTGTCCTTTATTTTATGAGGTCTAGTACATTAATGTACAAAGTGTAACTTTCTTTTTGAGATTCCAGATTTTCCTTAGTATGATAGTTTGTAAAGGTGTTAATTTAACTTGTACATTTTGCGAATTGAAGTGTTCCTCAAGCCCTATTGAGATATCACATTATTTCAGGAACCAAATGTAACTTTACCCTGTTTAGGTCCCACATTGTATGAGGTACAAAGTGTACCTGTGATTTTCTTAAGGTTTCATATTGCGCAAGTTAGTAAATGTGTATCTTGGCCAGTTCTGTTCAGGTTCCAGACTTTTAGATAAAAGTTGTATCATCAGTTCTGTTGAAGTCTCTGTGTCTCTACAAAGTGAACCCTTGGTTCTCTTGATGTTTCATATTGTGTGAAATAAACTTTGTATCTCGGGTCCAGAGGTCCCATATTGTGTGTCTTAGGCCTTGTTGAGGTTCCACATTATTGAGGTCCCACATAAGGTTCTAATTTGTGTGATTCGTTATGTACTCTTGAGACAGTTGAGGTGAGGAAGTAATCATGTTCTTACTGATATTCTGAAATGTGTGTGTTATTCTCAATAGATTTGTTATTGCTTTTTTAACACACTACATAACTGTTAATTTTTCAAAAAATAACAGTTTCTTTCAAGAAATAAAAGTTCATCTTGGTAGGAATTTTTTTTAAAGATATTCCAATTTGCATGAATGAGGCTATTGACCTTTATTTAAAAAAAAAAATGAAGAAAAAAAAATATAAAGCCATTTTCAGGAAAACAGCAAAACTTGCTTTGAAAAGCAGTACATCATGCTTAGGGTGATTGTTCTAAAATTAATAGTTTTCACACTTAAATTGAAATGTATACAATGTAAGATTTTTAGTGCTGTTAATGATCAAGGACAGAATATAAAGTGTTTTCACTACATGGATGTAATATGTGGCAGTTGCAAAACAACATTCCTTTGATTGCCTTGGAGTTTACCATGGAAACCTATAGTGCTATCTGTACCCCACCCTTTCCTTATTTACTGCATCTATTGGCTGAGTTTCTGTACATACCACCTTAATTTGGGTCCCTGTTCAAATTGTTTTGGCAAGGGATATTTCATGATTACAATATAACTTTTAGAAGCAATCTTTAGTAAAATTGTGAATCTTGGCATATTTGATCATTCCCATGCACTTAGCTTTCAATAACAATGGGTGTGAGAAATTTCTTCAACGTCATGAAATACTTTGAGGGGAATAAAGTATTTTAATTGATGACAGTATATTTTTCCCATCAATCTGAATGTGTACCCCAAGTCCTTTCAGTATTTTTTTGCCTTTCTTATCAAAAGAGTTTGTTAGAGATACCGGCAACAAATGACATTTTACTGATGATTCTCCAGTGATATGGCAGCTTCTGGGGTGTTTATCTTGTCGAAGACCCCACTAATGTCAGGACTGACAAGGGCATTCCATTGCTGAAGAACGTGCCTGATATAGTGCTTTTGGGAGATCAGATGTGTTCCAGAAAAAGAGAACTATGAAGGGTCCCTCTAAATGGGTTCCTGTTATGTTATCTTTTAAATGTGATGGGTAACCTCCCTCAAGTGATTGAAATTCTACTTGGCAAGGGAAATAACTCTGTCAAGATGCACAGAATATACAGTAAATATTTCTCTTCCATGAGAAAAGGTTATGGAAAAATTGTTGAAAAATTCTTGACATTACAATCAAACCTCGTTATCTCGAACTCAATGGGACCAAGAGAAAACTTTGAGATATCGGAGGGTTCAAGACACCAACGATAAAATACTTAACAAGTTCAACTGTGTATAAAATTGAATCATAGATTCACTGTATTGATGGGAATTATACTGTACTTTTATGTATATTGTTTCTCTTGTACAGAAAGTGTAACAAATGAATACAAAAGACTGCAACTTCTTAAAATAGAAGATTTCCCATGTAGAAGTCAGAGGGGGTAGTTTAAATTGAAATTTGCGTCAACACTTGGGAGTTTTTCTGTGACATTGATTCAGCATAACAAAGACTCCTGTTATTGTTGTCAATGATCGATTACCAAGGCATGCAAGAAATAGCAGCTCCACCCAAAAAAATCACAAGCCTGTATAAATATTCTCCAAGTACATCTCTGTTGGAGAGATGAATCTACAGGGGATCTGTTTTGGAATTGATTGAACAATAGCAGGCTAGGCTGAATAGAGAATATTGTGGAAAATTTGATAGAACGCTTTTATAAATACTACCATAAATTTTGATATTTCATAAGATTTGATTTGAAAATCTTAACGACAACAAAAAAAAAATCTGTTACTTAGGTGAACAGTTTCAAAGAATACTTAAGGGGAAAAAATGATGACATCATGCAGAATCTAATGTGTAGCTTGACATTTAAATCTTTATCAGGAAATGAAAGATTGATATCAATTTTAGAGCATTATCAATTTCTGGATTCTCGGTCCACCCAAAACAGCACAGATAAGATGAAAAAACAGTTTGACTGTTATAAATCTCTTAAAATAACAGGCAGCTTTTCTTGGAGAGAGGTGGAGATGTTTGTACAAAAGTGAAAATAGGATTTGTCTTCATCTAGTCCCATCTTGGTGAATTCTGACAGTTAGAGTTTCCCTGTTGGTGAAAACTTTAGGTTTATGAATTAAAACAGAAAAGTCTTTATGTAATGGTTCGTGTTTATTTTCTCTGCAAAGATAAAAAATGTTGGGGGGTTTTTATTTGTGAAAAAGTGCACAACAAGATGATTAGTGTGGTAAAATAAATGGATTTTGTACATGATGAGAATTTTTGTTTGTGTAGATGGTGAACCTGAACGATTCCTTGTAAATTTCTCACTAATGGTGGCTATTAATGACACAGGGAAAAAGAGATTATTTGCATATTTTTAGACACACCCGAATTTCTACGTTCATTTTCTGTGGATGTTGATTTAATGGTTGTTATTAATGAACAATGTTCAAAATTGCAGAGAAATAATCAGGCTGATAAAATTTACCTATAATTTGATTTTTGCAGAACAGGTGCAGACTTCATTCAGTAACTTTCTATTAGAGTTTGATATAGGCTAGTTGGTACCAGCACCTGATAATTTGACGGTCTTGTCAAATATTTCATAAGGTTTCACTATTTCTTATTTTGAGATTCTCATCAGCTGTAAAGCCTTTTTTAGTTAGGTGTTTTCTTCGCTCCTATCAAATTTCTGCTCCAGGTCTTCAAACCCTTGAGATAATCCTTTCAAGAAGTAGATAGAACAATTATAATTTTGGGCGTCAACATTACTTTGATGCTCTCTTAGTTTGAACTTGTTGGAGTGAGAATTGGCTCTGTTAATCCTCCTGCAGAGAATTACATGGCATCTGTGTTCACTGCACTAAGAGCCAAGGGAGTGTCACAACACTGAAAATCTAAGAGCATGCTGTGCATTTATTTATAAACAGTTTTGATCTTCTGTGCAAAGAAAGTGAAAATAGCTGTTTAAGTTATATACATTTTTAAAGCAATGGAATAAAGTTAGAGTTAAAATGTTTTATACAGTTCTGGTTTATATCTAAAATATTAAAAGGAAAGTTAGCAAGACATGTGAATTTGAAGAGGGGAAAAATCTGAATGATCATGGGTGTAAATTGAGTGGAACAGTAGATTAATATATCTTATACATGTCTAGTTACCAAGGGCTTTTTTTTTCATTGTCATGTGTCAAATAAGTATTTAAAAAAAATAAAATAGAATTATACGAATAAATGAAGATAGAAAAGATTAAGCTGAGATATATATATTTTTTAAATGGATGAGGCTGCATGATCCCTGTGATACATTTTAACAGAATGTTACCTAAAAACTTGATTTAAGTTTGAAGTTTTGTGTAACAGCAAAAGCTGGTTGATTTAATGTGTGTATAACATGGTCCTCTGTACAGCCGTGACAGGCCTGGAGTTGACACACCTCATGTTCCCGGCTTGTTACAGTCCATGTAATGCTGTTGTGACTGATGTCTCTGTTTGTTATTACAAGGCTTTTTGTACAGAATCTACAACCCCTCCAGTTGTCTCAGAAAGTTCTTACTTGTGTCGTAATTATTGTGAGCAGTAATTAGTGTTGTCAAAAGCAGATTGATTTCAGGTGCAGTACATTAGTGGTATCTGTTAAGCAGGTTATCCGGATAGTGGCCTTTGGAGGAAATAATATTCTAATATGTAATATCCGTTTGATTTCCCACTTATTTCTCTAACATTTTCTGTAAAAGTTTGTGAGTTTGATTCCTGACAAAGTTAGACTTTTATATATACTCTAAAATAGGTACACTTGTATAGTGATTGTACTATTGTCAAAACACTTAACATTATAAATGGGAAAGCCATGGATCATTCTGATGAAACCAATGCATTAGCCCAAAGTTAAAATTGGTGCTGGCATAATAAAGACCCTACCTAATATAATGACATGACCTAAAGACGGTTATGTGTCAATGTTCAATATGAAGCTTTAAGAACTTCAGTCTCTTTGAAATGTGAAACAATACAAACAATCCATCAAGCAGTCCTTCACATCTTGCACCTAAACTCGCGATTGGTTTTTACATGTTGGGGAATAAATTATTACTTGCATTACAGTTTCTGAAGATTTAATTTAGATTAATTTTACTTGATATTGTGTATTATTTTGTAGTTGCAATTGAGGGCTGTGGTGGCACATTGAATGCTACATCCCAGTCCGAGTGGGTTACTTCCCCTGGTTATAAGAAATCTCAGTATGTCAACAACCTTATCTGTGAGTGGACGCTCACTGCTCAACAAAATCTGATCTCACTGCAGGTAGGTGTGGCTCATCATCTCGTGCAGCAATTTCACAGACTGTAAATTATGTCAAAAGACAAGCCTGTGAACTATATACGTAGAGTTAATACAATATAGATCACCTTTTAAAACCCATGTAATCTTATATTATAAAAAGCACAAAAAGTGATTTCACAAGTTCAGCCAGTGAGAAAAAGAGATTATGTTAAGTGGAAAATTGCTTTTTGGAACCTTTACATTGAAGTGTTGAAGTTTGCATTAATTTTCAGGTTTAATTAACATGACTTGAATCCAATAGATGATGACGTGAAAGAGTTTGAATGAGTGTTTAAATGCAAGCTTATGTATTGTGTTCAAAAATAAGAGAAAAATAGCAAAACATGCTCCATTTGTAAAGGTTAAGAAGTAAAATATGCAAATAATAAAAGATAACTGGGAAGGGAGATAGGATATCCAAAAGCATTCATTACATTGTTGGTACCTTACTTCCAGTACACAAGATCATCTCATTGTACCATATAGCGGGTGTAAAATTTGGCATTTTGCTTGCTCAAAGGTAAGGCAATATTTTGGGTGGAACTTACTGTAGCAGACACAAGTTCAGTAACATTGCAGAAAGTAGAAGTTCATCTTCAAGATGAGTATCCAGTACATTTAAATACTTGTTAGGGTAACCAAACGAAAAATGTACCATTTTACAACAGACTAATCAAATTATATTTCGGATTTTCCTGTGTCCTGTGCTTATATGCAAGGGTAAAAATTCAGCAATTAAAATTTTAGCGTACTAATACCAAATCCCTAAAATTAGCCAAAATTAGCACCCTGTGAAAAAATTCTCGCTAAATGGTATTGACACTGTATATGAAATACTGGAAAGAGCATTGTAGCACATGCTACAGTTAACTCCCCAAAAGTTATGGGAACTATGTATTATATTGCAAAAAGCAAGGAATAAAACTGTTTTTATTTGGCTGTTTGATAGAATTAATTCATTAAACAGAAAAGTCATTCAAATAAAGTTGTATGTTGTAGTTTGAGGATCTTTCCCTGGGGTCAGGGGATTGGGTTGAGGTTAGAGATGGGAATACTGAAAACTCGGCTCTGTTTGGGAGGTACACCGGTGAAACTTTACCCCCCATTATCATCTCCACCAGTCACAGTCTCTTTATCCGGCTCCAGGCAGACAGGGAGGAAGTCGGGAGAGGATTCAACATTTCATATAAAGCAGGTACAGATCCCAGATTGTAGGCTTCTGTTAATGTTGAGGTGTATTTTAACCATGTCCTGAATTATCTGATGGATAAGACAAAAACTCAACTAATGAAGCTGTTCTGTAGTGTGTAATATCTAGTCTTGTCTGGCCAAGGTTATATTCTGTAGTGTGTAATATCTAGTCTTGTCTGGCCAAGGTTATATTCTGTAGTATGTAATATCTAGTCTTGTCTGGCCAAGGTTATGTTCTGTAGTATGTAATATCTAGTCTTGTCTGGCCAAGGTTATGTTCTGTAGTATGTAATATCTAGTCTTGTCTGGCCAAGGTTATGTTCTGTAGTATGTAATATCTAGTCTTGTCTGGCCAAGGTTATGTTCTGTAGTGTGTAATATCTAGTCTTGTCTGGCCAAGGTTATATTCTGTAGTGTGTAATATCTAGTCTTGTCTGGCCAAGGTTTTATTCTGTAGTGTGTAATATCTAGTCTTGTCTGGCCAAGGTTATATTCTGTAGTATGTAATATCTAGTCTTGTCTGGCCAAGGTTATATTCTGTAGTGTGTAATATCTAGTCTTGTCTGGCCAAGGTTATGTTCTGTAGTGTGTAATATCTAGTCTTGTCTGGCCAAGGTTATATTCTGTAGTGTGTAATATCTAGTCTTGTCTGGCCAAGGTTATATTCTGTAGTGTGTAATATCTAGTCTTGTCTGGCCAAGGTTATATTCTGTAGTGTGTAATATCTAGTCTTGTCTGGCCAAGGTTATGTTCTGTAGTATGTAATATCTAGTCTTGTCTGGCCAAGGTTATATTCTGTAGTATGTAATATCTAGTCTTGTCTGGCCAAGGTTATATTCTGTAGTGTGTAATATCTAGTCTTGTCTGGCCAAGGTTATATTCTGTAGTATGTAATATCTAGTCTTGTCTGGCCAAGGTTATATTCTGTAGTATGTAATATCTAGTCTTGTCTGGCCAAGGCTATATTCTGTAGTGTGTAATATCTAGTCTTGTCTGGCCAAGGCTATATTCTGTAGTATGTAATATCTAGTCTTGTCTGGCCAAGGCTATATTCTGTAGTATGTAATATCTAGTCTTGTCTGGCCAAGGCTATATTCTGTAGTGTGTAATATCTAGTCTTGTCTGGCCAAGGTTATATTCTGTAGTATGTAATATCTAGTCTTGTCTGGCCAAGGTTATATTCTGTAGTGTGTAATATCTAGTCTTGTCTGGCCAAGGTTATATTCTGTAGTATGTAATATCTAGTCTTGTCTGGCCAAGGTTATATTCTGTAGTATGTAATATCTAGTCTTGTCTGGCCAAGGTTATATTCTGTAGTGTGTAATATCTAGTCTTGTCTGGCCAAGGTTATATCAGAAGATTATAGATCGGGTATTTAAAAGCATCAAAAAGTCTGATAATAATTTTCATTGTTATATTACCATTAAATTATAAACTATAAGATTAAATATAAAATCTTAATTGTTAGATGCTTTTAAAGAAATTAACATGACTTCCCTATTTTTTATTATTATATATAATACAGTGATGGGGGTGTCCATTTGTCTGTTACACTTTGGGGTAACCATTCTCTTAGCAGCAACTCCTCCTATTCACTAAATGAGACTTTCACAGAATCTTTATTACATAGTGTCATTGTGATCCTCCTATTTTACATTTTGATAAGACACATATTTGGGCTTTCTCATAGCAAAACATGGACTTAGCCATTATTCTCACATGGGAGCAGGGGGTATGATTATGTGAGCTCATTGCTCGCAGTACCTTTATTTCTTTTAATTTCAGGGTGCAATAATATAATAAACAAGGAAGCTGCCATTATTTCATCTCCTGGCTACAAACTGGGAGCCTCATATCCACCTAGTCTTCAGTGTTCATGGCTTATCACCAACCCACGTAACACAGAACTCACCATCGTATTTGACGACAACTTCGACACCGAAGTGGACTTTGATGTTTTAACAGTAATAATTTGCTTAAAAAATTACTTACTCTACTTTTTAAGTTTAGAATTTAGTAGTTTCCAAACATTTGAAAATGTTTGATTTATGGCAAAGCATTTGCTATTTTCTATGAGTGCAGTTTAACCCAATTATGATAATTTTAATCAGTTAAGTTTTCTTTTACTGTATGTGTACATAAATTAATGTATTCAAAATTTAGCGCAATCGCCGGGTATGGAGTGGTTGGCGTAGTCATGAATTAGCGCTACACATGTAGCGCTAAAAATAAAAATTAAAAAAGTTGTACGTATTGTATATGAGTTAAAGTAAAATTTTAATATCTTACTCTAAATAATTTTTAAACATTGTATTAGATTATTGACATTCAATTATCGTGTCCATCTGGCTGAAAATAGCCTTAAGGTATTTATTTTGCGGTCGTAGTTTTATTGTTGAGCATTTAATTTGCTGTTTACTATTGATTAAAAACAATTAAGTTAAGATTTTCTAATCCATTAGGAGCAATTATGTGTAATTATATATGTTAGAATAGCACTGTATTACCAGTACTGTACGTAGATGTATATACATTGTCGAGGTTCACATATAGAGTATGCGGGTAGACACGATTGAACTGAATGGTCCAAGTGACAAGTGCCATATCGTATTCATTTATTAACAGTAATCATGAATTAGCGCATCACTGTCTGTGCCAAAGCCTCTAAAATATGAAGCCCTCTTTTTTAAGAACACGTGCAGTATATCAAAAAGTTGATAAACTTTGATATGTATATATATATATATATATATATATATATATATATATATATATATATATATATATATATATATATATATATATATATATATTAATTTCAGTTTAAGAAATATTTAAATACAAATGTTGATATGGAACCTCTGTTTTATTTATAGCTAATAAATGGATCCTCTCTGGAGGAACCTAGTGCTGTGATAAGCAGATATTCTGGGACCAAAGGACCTTCTGTCACACGTTCACGTCAAGGTCATTTCAACATTTCTTTTACTTCAGATGACCTTGTATCAAGGCCAGGCTGGGGAGCAACCATATCATACGGTGATTATTGCAAATTAATTGTATTTGTTGCATTTAAACAAAAAAGCTATTGATTTTTTCTCTATTTATTATTTTTCAAGACCAATTTATAAATATCTTGTCATCTTCCATTAAGAGAGACAAATTTATTTTGTGTTTCAAAAGGAATATTTGAGACCAGACATTTATTTAAATGAACTTGCCTGGAAAAGAATTGATATGAAATGAATAAGTGAAAGTTTTAATACTTGTACTTTGTAAATTTGTAGACTGTCCTAAATTGGAGAACTTATCTAACCACTTGAATGTAAGTAGTCTGAGAGTGGAGTATGGTACTGCTGTGAAATTTACCTGTGATACTGGCTACCTGTTGGAAGGGGCCACAACTCTGATCTGTGATATAAATGGAACTTGGTCAGACTCACTGCCAACCTGTAGAGGTAAGTTCATTACTAAGGATTCTATTGATCTATAGCCTAAATTAGTCATTGTAGTACATGTAGTACTGCTTTTACTAATATTCACTGATTAGGATTTTTTGACAAAGGTGACCTTCAAATTGTTTTCACCTTCTACTTTCATTTTCTCATACAGGGTTATTTTTGAAATAAATTTTCTTATAATTTCAGAATATAAAGTAAACATCAAGTCATACACTGTTGTTTTTGAGTGGGTTTTTTTTTTTTTTTTTTTTGTAGAAATAAACTGTGGATCACCAACTGTCCCAGACCATGGTGTAATAGTTTGGTCTAATACCTCTTATTACACTGGACTGGTTCGCTATCAGTGTGATGTGGGGTATCATTCGCGTGATGCACTTTTTGCAATGTGTCAGGGGAATGGGCAGTGGAGTTCAGTTCCAAAGTGTGAAAGTAAGTCAACTTCGCAAGCACATTACCTTATAGTCAGACATAACTTAATGATGTGCTAAAATCTTACAATGGAATCGAGTAATTTGCTATTTCATAAAGAAGATTTTACACAGCATTGTGACCAGTTAAATGCCATTATGGATGGAGATAACTGTTGCTTTTGTTTACTTACTTCAGAAATTAGATGTCCAAAGTTAGACAGCCTGCAGAATGGATCAATTATCAATGACTTTGATCCCTCTTATGGCCAGAAAGTTTACTTCAAATGTAAAGAGAACTTCCGTCTTATTAATGCTTCAGAAATTGTTTGTAAAGGGGATGGGCAGTGGTCCTCACTAATGCCACAGTGTGCAGGTTAGTACAACATTATCAATTTTATTTATCAATGAAAAAATATTGTATCAATCTTCAAAACTACATTATAGACAATTTATATCCTAATTTTTTTTCCTCTTCAGCTCCCCTTTGTCCTTACCTCCCAATCAGTAATGGCCACACCAGTGTTGTACAGCCAGTGGGAGGTACCTCTGTCCAGGTGACCTGTAACCCTGGGTATCAACTCCAAGGTCCTCAGAATGTTAGGTGTTACTTGGACGGAACTTACCAGTCCAATCTACCCTCTTGTATAGGTAAAAACTTAGCTTTGATTTTAAGTGTACCACTATGAAGTTGTTTGAAACATGAACAACACACACTAACATTGGAATCTCAGACTAGGTCAAATAACCTATGTATTTCAAGTGAATTGAAGGTCTTGACCTGATAAGGCATACAAAATCCAGCTTGGAAATCTCAAACTCAGATGTTAGAAATTTTTAATTGTCCAGCTAATTTAAAATATGGAGCTTTAACTGTGTATGTATACAGCCACACATGTGTAACAGTGTGCTTTGTTTGTAGATGTAAATGAGTGTGAGGATAGAGACCTATGTCAGCCACACATGTGTCACAATGTGATGGGGAGTTATCAGTGTAGATGCTCACATGGTTATCAGAAACTAAATGAGACCTCCAACGATTGTCATGGTATGTAGGTCAAGTATGGTAATTCCAAGACTATAAAAATTTCAAGTTTTAAATATGATGATACAATTTAATTGTCTTTATAAATTGCCATTTGATTGGATGGAAAAATAAGTTCATATTGTATAATCTGTGTTGCCTACATCACAATATGACACGTCAAATATGTATCAATCCACTGAAATAACATTTAGATTCTGTGCAATTTTTCAAGTAAATTTTGAAGGGAAATTGTCTTATTTTTACACTTAATAATAGAAAATGAATTTAATAGCTACCCAAGTTACACTAGTGTAACTGTTGCTGGAACAATTTAAGCTTTATTTATAAACCTCTTTACAGCTTCACAGCACTGATTATACAATTTAACTGGGTAGCTACCGTATATACTCGCCTATAAGTTGGTCCGCCTATAAGTTGGTTGTATTTTTTAAGTTTAAATTAGAGGGATTGACCTGCTAAAATACCAATCTTTTTATAACTCCACATAAGTCGGATATAGAGTTTTGGACCAAAGTTTAACTCCCCAAAAAACCGACTTATAGGCGAGTATATACGGTGTTAGTCATTCCTTAAATACAAGAAAGATTATATGTATTACGTTTTTCTACTCTCTGTAAGATAAAAATGATTAATTTTCATTACATCTACTAGATATTATACAATTATGATAATGACATACATCATGCATGGTATTGTAGATATCAATGAGTGTGAAAGTGATGTCTGTGATCACCGGTGTAATAATACAGAGGGGAGCTATATCTGTGAATGTCAACCTGGCTATAAACTCTACAATGGAAATGATGTCATTGTCTTGAACCAAAGAGTGCTTATTCCCAACAAAACTTGTATAGGTATTACTTGCTCTTGTAAAGAAATAGATAGCAGACACAGAATTTTTAAAAGCTCTTAAGTTGGTTTTAATGAAAGAAATAACAGTTTTTATAATGGCCAATTTTTTGCAGAATTATGTTTTAATGAAAATATAAAAAATTAAAAAAGGAAGACTTTGATATATTAAATCAATCAATATACTACAACCAAATTTCCTTGCTAAACATTTATGAAAGTTTATATTCTTTGTCAGTGACATGCCCAGCCTTCAATGTGTCAAATGGAGGGAGAGGTTTTGCCAACACTACCAAGCTGCCTGACGATACTTATATCTACCCCACCTCAATCTTTATCTACTGTCCCTTTGGAACACTTCCCTCATGGAACACCACCACAATCTACTGCCAGGCTAATGGAACATGGTCTCATAATATCGATCGCTGTATAGGTAACAAAAATACACTGTTGTGAGTTCTGGATTTTGAAAGAAACCTATATATTTTTGAAATATGATTCAGTATGTAATATATAAACATCATAATAGCTAGGATATAATTTGTAATACTTTTAATCATAATTAAGAAGGCTGTTGAGACTTTACTCACTGTTGATATTTTCTTTTACTTAGATCAAGTGTGTGAAGGTCTTCCAACATTAGAGAATGGCTATGTTTTCTATGACCGTGATATGTTAAGGCTTGGCACGGTGGCTACCTATAACTGTTCGGAGGGCTACACTTTATATGGGACACCACAGAGACAGTGTGTGTCTGATAATAATAGAACAGCCCTATGGAGCCCAAGTGGTGACAACATAACAGTCTGTCTACGTATGGGCCTTCTGTTATCTTGGGTTAAAGAAGATCATGTTCGAAATATTATTATTAATTTATTACAGGATATTTTTTTGTATTTGAATAAATTTTGAAAGCTTAGAAGTTTGTATGAAAGAATAGTGTTTATTGGGGTAACTAGTGTTTTAAAATAAATAATTTATTATTGATTGTCATAGACTGAATAACTTTAATGCAGTATTCTGATTTTTATTTTAGCAAAGACATGTATAAAACCAGTAGAACCAGCCCATGGATTTGTGAATTACACTGGTCTTTCTTATGGGTCAGTCGCTACCTATAGCTGCCAGTGTGGGTACACTCTGATTGGGTCAAGGGTCAGACACTGTCAAGGAAATGGAGTCTGGAGTGGTAACAGCACCATATGTGTGGGTAAGTAGTTGAGAGAACTGTGTATTCAGTAGGATTAGAAAATAAGAATTTCATGATGTAATTAAGATTAAAAATGATGTATAAGTAATTGAGATAAAAGAATATATACATATAAATTTTTAACAGAGATGGAATGTTCTACACCCACTGCACCCGTCAACGGTGGTGTATATAGTTCAACCAGAATGTCTTACTTTGGCAGCAGAATTTCATATACCTGTCAGAAAGGTTACTCTCTCATAGGTAAATTTCCACTAAAACACTTCATAAACCTAGACTTCTTTTACCCTGTATTAGAATTCTGTAAAAAAAAAAAATGACTGATGATTTTTTCAGGGTCTACTCATTCCACTTGTGCCTTACCAGAGGAAACCAGTATTCCTGACCTCTTGCTGTTGTTAAAGGTCAAGTTCAAGGGAGACAACAACATCAACACTCAATGTGCCCGTAGATATGGTGTAGTGTTGGCAGCTAAATATAATGCAAGCATTCATAATCTGCCTGCCTGTTCCTCTGTACACATGAATGTGTTAGACTCAAGCACAGGAAATTTTTCTGGCTCTGAGGTAAAGCTATTTTGAAATGTTTTGCTCCTGAAAGTTTATCTTTTCATGCTATTTTTGGTGCAGCTTTCTTTTATTTTCAGATCATTCTGGGGACATCGATAACAATGAGTGGCTCTGCCTCTGTGGTGTGCAGTTGTTCATCAGACATCATACAGAACACACCAGCAAGTATAAACTGGAAAATAACTGAAACAGGTTGTCCAACACTTGCTAATAAAGACCGGGCAACACCAGAGAAAAAGTTCCTGGAGAAGATTCAGCATTGGAAATGTCCAGCAGACTTCACTCTGCAAGGTGGAACAGATGGCTGCCTAGTGGACTCCTTTGTTCCAACATGCCGGAAAGTTACTGGTAAGATTTACATGTATATATTGCTATATATTAAAAAAAATATCTTCTCTTTTGTGTCACTCTAGAAGTACTAATTGGTATTCTCTGTTACTAAATTGCTTGGCCTGGAATGAGAATTATATATGTATATGCATCCTTTCTTTTTCTCTGGCTGTGGTCTTTTTTTATCTGGTCATTCCCCTGTAGATTATAACTAATTGTTTATTTTGATATGGTGCCATTGTAAAGTTTTGCATGCTATTTGACATTTATTGTTTAACTTTTAAGAATGTTTAGATACAGAGGAGCCTGTTGAAATAACTTCTACCATTTCTACACTTCTTACATCTCAATCTACTGCAACCATGTTATCAACTACCACAGAGGAGGAACAAAGGACTGGAAGTACTCTTCCTACTGAAGAACCAGCAGATGTGGTTACAACTGTAACATTTACACAAGATTACACTTTGTCATCAAATAGTGCACCTACAGAACAGATAACTACTAAAACCACAGTTACAAATGCACCTATGGAACAGATAACAACTAAAACCACAACTACAAATGAACAAAATACTTCAACTAATGCAATAAGCAGCACATTGTTCTTTAACACAACTGACACAACTTCACTTTCATATTCTGACTCTGTTTCAAATATATCTACAAAAGCCCCACACACAGTACAAACAATTGTAGCAAGTACAGCAGAAAATCCTAAACCCACCACAACAAAATCAACAACAACCACAGAAGTTACTACAACATCAAAAGAAGTTCCTATAATGACCACAGTTTCAAGAGAATTCCCAGCATCAACTGCAACAATGTTACCTTCACAAACAGTTTCAACAACCACCTCTGCAGAGGCACCGTCTACCACTACAACGGAAACTACTACAACAGTGACAAAAACGGAAGCTGCTACAACATCAAAAGAGCCTTCTACAACAACCACAACAACACTGGATCATAAAACAACAATGTTAACAGGTACAACAGCAAGTAAATCAACAGAGACTCCTTCAACCACTGAGACAACAGAATCTTCTACAATAAAAATAACACAGGCTTTTATAACAACCACAACAAAAGCTCCGACGACAACCACAATAATCCCTGGTACATTTAGCACAAAAGAGGTTTCTATGACCACAGAAATAACAGGGGCATTTACAACAAGCAAAACAACAGAGGCACAAACTTCAAGTGAAATAAACAAAGTTCCAACAGCAATCACAACAACTACTTCAACAGCAATCACAACAACTACTTCAACAGCTCAAACATCTGAGGCATTAACAACAGGAACAGAAGCTATTTCAACAACCACAACAACAGAGATTCCTACAATTACCACAGTAACAGGATCTACAACAACCATTACAACAAAGTTGCCTTCAATAACAGAAGTTACATCAACAATCAAAGCAACTGAGGGTCCTTCCACCACTGCCAAAATAGAGATTTTTACTACTTCTCCTAAATCAGAAGCTCCTACTACAGCCAAAACAACAAAGCCTCCTACAACAATAGAGACACTTTCCACAACTCAAACAACAGAGTCTCCTACGACAACAGAGGATCTTTCAACAGCTAGAACATCTGAGATACCTACAGCAGGAACAGAGGCTTCTATAACAAGCACAATAACAGCAACTCCTACAACAACTAACAACTCTGAAACATTAACTCCTACAACAATGACAACAACAGAGGCTCAAAGAACAATCTCAACAATAGAGGCTCTAACTACAACCAAAGCAAAAGAGGCCCCAACAACAACTACAACAACAGAGGCTCCAACAACAACCTCAACTACAGAGGCTCCAACAACCACAACAACAGAGGTTCCTTCTACAACCACCACAACAGAGGCTCCAACATCAATCACAACAACAGAGACCCCACCAACAACCTCAACAGAGGCTCCAACAACAATCTCAACAACAGAAGCTTCTTTTTCAAGTACAACAGAAGATATAACAACAAATGCTCCAACAACAACCTCAACAGCAGAGGCTCCTACAACAACAGCAACAACAGAGGCTTCTACATCTACCACAACAGCAGAGGCTCCAACAACAACCTCAACAACAAAGGCTCCAACAACAATCACAACAACAAAGACACCAAAAACAACCTCAATATCAGAGGCTCCAGCAACAACCTCAACAAGAGAGTCTACTTCTACAACCACAACAGAAGCTCCAACAACAACCACAATGGCTCCAACTAAAACCTCAACAACAGAGGCTTTTACAATTACCACAATAGCAGAGGCTCAAGCAACCTCAACAACAAAAGCTCCAACAACAACCACAACATTAGAGGCTCCAACAACAACCACAACAACAGAGGTCCCAACAACAACCACCACAACAAAGGTCCCAACAACAACCACAACATTAGAGTCTACAACCACAACAACAGAGGTCCCAACAACAACCACAACAGAGCCTCCAACAACAACCTCAACAACAGAAGCTCCAACAATAACCACAACATTAATGGCTCCAACAACAACCACAACAACAGAGGTTCCTACTACAATCACAACAAAGGCTCTTACAAGAACCTCAACAACAGAGGCTCCAACAACAACCACAACAACAGATGTTCCTACAACAACCTCAGCAACAGACTTTCTAAAAACAACCACACTAGCAGAAGCTCCAACCACAACAGAGGCTTCAGGTTCAACCACAACAAAGGCTCCAACAATGACCTTAATAACAGAGGCTCCAACAACAACAGCAGCAACAGAGACAACAACCACAACTGAGGCTCCAACAACAACAACAATTGCTTCAACAATAACCTCAACAACAAAGGCTTCTATAACTACCATGACAAAGGCTCCAACAACAACCACATCAAAAGAGGTACCTCCAACAACTTCAGCAACAGAGGTTCCAACAACAGCAACAAAGGCTACAATCACAATGGGGACTCCAACAACAACAGTGGCTTCAACAATAACCTCAACAACAAAGGCTCCTATAACTACCACAACAAAGGCTCCAACAACAACCACATCAACAGAGGTTCCAACAACATTAACACTAACAGAAGCACCAACCACAACAGAGACTTTAAGCACAACCACAACAAAGGCACCAACAATGACCTCAGTAACAGAGGCTCCAACAACAACCTCAAAGTCAGAGGCTACTATTACAACCACAACTGAGGCTCCAACAGCAAGAACAACAATGGCTTCAACAACAACATCAATAACAAAGACTCCTACAACTACCACAACAACAAAACCTCCAACAAGAACCACTACATTAGTGGCTCCACCAGCAACCACAACAACAGAAGCTCCAACAACAGCCTCAGCAACAGAGGCTCCAACCACAACAACAGAGGTTCCTGTAACATACTCAACAACAGAGGTTCCAACAACAACCAAACTAAGAGAGGCTCCAACCACAACAGAGACTTCAACAACAACCCCAACAACAGAAGCTCCTACTTATACAACAACAACAGAGACTCAAATAACAACTACAGAGGTTCTAATTACAACCACAACAGAGGCTTCAACATCGAAGGCTCCAACAAAAACCAAAACAACAGAGGTTATTTCCACAACAGAGACTGCAGCAACAACAGAGGTTCCAACAATAACAGAGGTTTTAACAACAACAGATGCTCTTACAACAACAGAAGCTCCAACAACAACCACAATAAAAGAGGCTCAGACAACAACCATAAAAACAGAGATTCCACCAGCAATCTCAACAACAGATGCTATAAGTACATCCACAATGAAAGAGGCTCCAACAACAACAGAAATTCCAATGACAACAACAACAACAAAGGCTCCAACAACAGTCACAACAACAGAGACTCCAGTAACAACAAAAGAGGTTCCTACAACCACAACAATAGAGGCTACAACCACAACAGAGGCTACTAAAACGACCACAACAACAGAGGCTACTAAAACAACCACAAAAACAGAGGCTCCAACAACAACAGAGGCTACTAAAACTGCCACAACAACAGAGACTCCTGTAACAACAGAGGCTACTAAAACTACCACAACAGAGACTCCTACAACAACAGAGGCTTCTATAACAACCACAACAACAGAGTCTTCTACAACAACAGAGGCTACTAAAACTACCACAACAACAGAGGCTCCAACAAGATCCACAACAAAGAATCCTACAACTACCACAATAGCAGAGACTTCTACAACTACCACAACAACAGAGGCTTCAAATGCTTATTCATCTGTTTATACAACTACACTCACAAATACTTCTCAAACACCTACAAGTACACTTGTACCAATAACTTCTACCACTACTACTGCACAGACAACAACAACAGAACCATTGATAGCTGAAACGACAACACCAGGAACAACATTGGCTACCTGTAAGATTTTATGGTATTATCTAACATAGGTTTATGGTATTACGTAACATAGGTTAAAATAGTTCAGGAAGAAATAGAGAATCCCCTGTATAGTGTAGAGTCTTGAGGTTAAGCTGCATTATTTTCTCTGTCATATTCTAATGTATAACAAACATTAGGTCATTTCAATGACAAGTGAACAAGTTCAAAAATATGATAAAATTTAAAATTTACAAGTTGTTTGGTGATGAAGTGTATTTCAACCAAAGCTGATTTGATGTTTTAATTTCCCAGATGTGTTCTGATATTTTATATGTGTATCATATTTCTCCCAATTAAGCATGCATACAGTATGAAATGAACATTTAGCATGATTGACATGTACCAGAATTATGACAGAATGATAAGCATGAAGCCTGAATGTAGAGAAGAATCAGTGGATTATAGTGATTTATTGTAAGAGTGTAGTGTTCTTGTGTCATTGACAGGGAATAGGAAGCATGGCAGGGCTTTTCAACATGATAGTTTACATGTATTGTTTTTCTATAAATCTATTTTCATTTATAAAATATATATATATTTTTTTTTTGAAAATCATCACAATTTACCTTATTTTAGACTATAATAATTATTAACTTGTGAGTAAGTATGAAAAATACACATAATGTGAAGAAAGTTTGATTTCAATGCAGAATGTTTGTTTCCATAACAGACAATTTGTATGCATGTATTTTTTTAGCTCTTCCCCCAGTGCATTTTGGGATTTATTGGACATACAAATATCCAGCATACCCTACTGATACTAGCTGTCAGCAGAATTTGGAAAACCGTTATGTTTCCGAATTTGATAACAGCAAAAAAGCAATTGAGGATGCATTGGCAGCTAATAGGAAATCCTGTAAAGGGGTTACATTGTCAGTAACTCGAGAGAGACCCTACATCACTGATCCACACCAGGAGGTAAGAACAAACATCAAACACAGCATTGTAATGACACTGTCATACTTACAGCTTTTGAATTTCATTCAATTAAATTTGGATAGTTTAATGATACACACTACGCAATTGCTTGTTAAAGACTTGAAGCCTAGGCATGGATTATTGTTCATATTAAACCAATAATATTCTAAAAATATTAAGTTCTGTTGAATTCCAAGATCTCAATTACTGATTTTGTAAAGATAGATATTTTTACAGCAATAAATTTTGTGAAGCTTTTTTTAACGTTACAAAATTCATAAAAAAAAAAACTTTTCCCACACTAACATTTCTTTTTCACAGTATGTCTAAATTTCTCATTTTGCAATTTATTTCTTCTTCCAGTTCATATTTATTTTGAAAATTGGTTTCATGGGGGACCAAGGTCAGGTGGAAACTTGTGCTAAGAGTGTCAATGGCACCATCAACACAAAAGTAGAGAATGTATTTAATTCAATGGAGACCAATCAACCATGCCCATCTATTTATCCCTTTTCAAGTCGCACACTGTCCAAACAAAGTGCATGGATGTGTCTGAGTAATAGCTACCGCTATGATGCTAACCAGCATCTCTGTATACTGAATATCCAGAGCTTAGCAGCATCCTTCTTACGTCCAGCTTCCCGGGCCGACACTCAACCAGAGGTGGTGATACAGACGGTACCACGACTAGAACCCACCAGTACTATCAAGCCTATGGTGTCCACCACCACTGTTCCAAGTTCTACCAGTATTGTGACACCGATGTCCACCCCAGCCTCACCTGGTTAGCTAACAAATGGCTTCTTGTTTCATATCTGTATTGTCACATTTTTATTTCAATTTTTTTTAATTGCTGTTTATTTTTGTATTTCCGTACATATTATATACATGTTGTTTACATCTGTGTCTGTTTTATTTAGAATTCAGCAGACTGGAAGTAAATTTCAGTCTTTTTTCTTCCAGAAACTAGTGTACATGTATAATCAAGCATTTTAAAAATGTCATATACAGATTTAATACATAATTATTACATGTATTTCTATTCCACATTTCTTTCAAGTAGAATGATGCATGTTTTCTTTGTTTAAATTTCCTATGTCCCTCTTAGATATGCATGCTGCATGATATGCATCTAAATACGACAATTTAGAAATATACCTTGCTGTATTTTGACTCTCTCTCTCTCTCTCTCTCCATTCAAAGCAAGATTACTGAATTATAAACCATCCTTTCTTGTTTTAATCTGGTTTTGTAACCTACCCAGTAAGCAAATAAATAGTATACATATATACATGTGTATTTATTTTTCCTCAGTGTTCCTTTTGCTAATGTTTATTCCTTATTTGTTTCAGCTGAACCAGACCAAACTCCATTCTTTACCCTTGAGTATAACTTCACCCTGCAGAGTGAAGGATTAACACAGGAATGTGAGGAGAGATTGCGTGAAGATATAAAATATACAGTCCAACAAGCCAGCGAGGCCATTATACAGGTCTTCCCTCACCTACCTGACTGCGATCACATCACAGATGCCACATTACTTGACACCACGTCCATGCTCTCACATGACCCAACCACTAACCAGGTTTGTCTTTTTATAAGTGGCCTCAAATTTTAGGGGTTTTTTTTGGTCTTGTTGACATAATACTTGTTTGAAAAATACTAATTACTTCTTACTACTAAAGCATGCAAAGAAGAGAATAACAGTGTATAAAATAAGTAGGAAAAAGAGGCATTTGAAAATCATTCAAATAATGTTATATTCATCTGCATGCTCTGTGTCATGTAAAGGGTTGACTTTAGGTCATCATCTAGTAAGTAATGGCAGAGTTACTTTAGGGTTTTCATCAGTCTACTTTTCAACCGGGTTTTTTTTATTCCATAGCAGAACCAGAGTGTGATGTAGGTATAGACATAAACTTTTGGATTCACTTGTCCTTCAAGCAAGTAAACTTTGACCTGTCCCAATGATTAATTTTTATTGCCCAAATTTAGAAGGAAAATATCTTGTAATCCAATTTCTACTTCTTCTTTTTTTCAATAATTGAAGATACAGGATTGAGATATTGAAAGGGGATTAAAAATTGAAAAAGTTATTAAAGAAAATAGATAATGTCATTTATATTTTTGTTTATTTTCAGAAGGGTCTTCTGGTTTATTATAAATTTGTATCCCTCCTTTTGTACTACAAAGCCAATATACATGCATCTTCATTAGAATACGTCACATATCAAATATATTTGGTGTAAATCTTTCTGTAAGTAAGCAATATAAAGATCGACTCTTATTATTCATTGAACATTGATACAGCACATGATGTATGGAACAATGTATCTAGGAATAAAAGAGGAATATTCCAAAGCCCAAAAAATCTTGCAATCTGACAAAAATAAAGTGTTCAATTTATTACTGCATTTTCAAACTAATGTACATTTTGTAGGTAAAGTTTCTATCATATATTCACCTGCTTGATTGGACAAGCACACTGACAATTTCACTTGCCCGAACTGAGATATTACTTTTTCCGGGGGCACTCGGACAACTGTTAATGTCTATCCCTATATTGTGCTGTGCGTTTTGCACCATCTTCCGTTTGTCGGTAAAATCTTTTGAATATTTTCAATTTCTTCACTGGAACAGTTGTACAATATCAACCATTTTTGGTACATACAGTTGGCATCTGTAAGTAAATATCGAGGAACATAAATTGTGAATTTCATGGTCTCTGCCTACCTTGGATCTCAGGGGTGTGGCCACAACAGAAAAGATAATCCAGTTATCAAAAATCTTTCTTCCTGGACATAAAGTCAAACCATTAGCATGATTATTAAGCAGTGAGACCCTTTAACATGTTTAAAGAATTGTAAAATTCATGGGCTTAAAGCCTTTTATAGTAATACATTATGTTTTATAAATACCTAAAACTTCTTTCTGTCCCTTTAATTATTTTTTTCGGGGGGGGGGGGGGGGGGGGGGGGGGCTTTGTCTTATAAAGGACCTGTCTTAAAATTGCCTTTGTTCTAAGAGTTAAAATATTGGCTTTCTTAATCATTGTACCATAAATATATTGTACAACAGATTTTTTACATCCTTCAGCTTGTGTGACATTTGAAATTCTGGGTTCTTTGCATGCATGGTGCTTGCTTGCATCATTTAATCATAATTGACAAAGTACTGTGCACTGGGTAAATAAAAACTATTTAAACCAACCCAACAATGATAAGAAAATGCAAATATAACATGAAGAAGCCATCTTGACTTTTAAGTGCATAAATTCAGTTTTGCATTTTTCAAATTTTAGTGCAACATATCTTAATGCAAAAAGAATTTGATTTTTTTGTATTTATATCTCTTACGGACTTAAAATCTTGTCAAACTTTTCAAACCTCAAGATGCATCTTTTCCCAAAATTTCATTGAAATCTTATTTAAGAGATACTTCCTTGCCAAACAGACAGAAGGCAGACAAATAGAAAAAAAAAAAAATGTTTGAGTCTTGTTTAGAATGATATAGAAAATATTTTAGAGATTGTATGTTACCCAGTGTGCAGTATTTCATAAGATAAATGTAAAGATATGACAATTGACTGGATGCATTACCTTTGCAGTCTCTGCAGTATGATCTTAGGTTCTTGGAGAACGAGACGGTAAGCTATTCAGTGTATCCACCCTAAATACATCTCAATTTTGCTTGTAGATATCTTTTTAGTTACTATCTTGGAGAAAAAAATATTGGTATTATTAAAATGTTTTATTTTTATTGGATGATCCAATCAATGCAAGTGCTTTATGTGATACCTTAATGGGTGTGGATCACAAAGAATTCTATGGTAATGCTTTGTTATCCAAACTCAGACTTGGCATGTCATTCTTTGCAAAGCTTTCTGCTTGCTTTATACACCATTTCAGAAAATATATTTTTAGCAGTAGCATTAGTTGCCCATTTAAATCACATGATGCAGAATGTACTCCTAAACAAAAACAAGAAAGACATTGTTATTTATATCCTTTTCATCAAATTTATGTGGTATTTACTGGTTTCATGAAATCTATTATGGCTTCATGTTAGCATGTTTAAAATTCAGAAACTTTTCTGGAACAAATTGAAATTTATTTTTTACACGGCTTTATTTGTAGACGACCCCCACACCAAACAAGGTATAACTGGACTGCATGGCATGTCTTGGGCACATGTTTCTATGCATACTTGTAAAGACCTCATTTGTATAGGTCTTCTGCATAGATTAATCACTGAGTGCACCACAATTGACTGTGCATGGTTTTTATTTTAATAGTTTATGCTAACTTGAAAAATTTGAAGTTCATTGAATTAAAATTTTAACTTCTTTCATGTAAATTTTGGACTCTGACATTATTTGCTATTAATGATCCATCTTGGATTTTGAACACCTGTACCTTTTAAGCTCACTTGAACCAAAGGCTTAAGTGAGCTTTTCTGATTGAAGGCTGTCCCATGTTCATCTGTCGTGTGTCATCTGTAAACTTTTTATATTTTAGACTTCTCTTTGAGAATCACTTGGCTAATTTCAACCAAACTTGCCACAAAGCATGCTTTGGTAAACTGGGCTAGACAAATAGCATTGCCCAAAGCCCTAGACACTAATTTTCTTTGGCGGGTAAGTTATTTGATAAGTGGTACCTGCCTGCAAACAAGTGCTTTTCCAGTTAGCAAAAAATCAAATGTCGTTTGTTTTACCAATGTTAAAATATGATGAATTGCAGCAGAGCACCAGTTTTCGCTACTGTTAACCACTACATTGAATACTTGGTTGGAACTCCTTTAGAATTTACCTATTCATGTGTTGTTAAAATATACACAAGATGAACATGGCAGCTATCCATGTCATTTCAAAAAAGTTGTAGAGGATTTTAGACCTTTTTATTGTCAAAATTTAAAATCCATGCTGTGAGTACAGACATATGCTACTGCATGGTAATAAAATTAGAGCTGTTGACTTGTGTTCACACACATTCATGAAGTCAATGGCTCAGTTGGCATGCAGTAGTGTTTTTTTTATAATGAAATGTATATTTCATTTTTGGTTTTGTTTATATAAATACATATTAATACATTAAAAAAAAGCATTACCTTATTGAAAAAGAATTTTAAAGATAACAATGAAACTTTGATTTTACTAATATCCTAAAAATCTTAAACGTTATACTTAAACAGTCAAATAATGGACTTTGATCATGTGTGCATATTATGCAAGTAATGAAATGACTTCTATCAGCTGAGAAATTTTTAGGTTGACAATGTGCAATTTTATTCTAATGCTAGTTATTTATATTCCTTGCCATTGAAAAGATTTGACTTCAATTTTCTTGTCTTTTAGTATTTGGGATGTTAAAGTAATACTGAGAAATGTATATTTACATGTACATGTATATATATTGACATGACGTGTTTAAAATTTTAAGCTTAATAATCAGTGCACACTGACACACTGAGAAGTCTTCCTAGGATTAGAAATATCCCCTAAATTTTTCGCTAAGAGGACTAAGTGATTTTGGATCTAAAAGTTTATTCAAATTAAGCCCCTGGGTATACGGTTTGGCCATAATGGGGGATCAAAGATTCACATGGGAATATTTAGATCGAATATCTTGAGGGTATGTTGGGGCCACAATATGGGGTCTTTTTGTGGAATAAAGATCTTTTAAAAGATCTTTTAGATTCTTTTTTCTTCTGAAAAAAAGGAGGGCCAAGGTGACTCAGGTGAGCATTGTGGCCTATGGGCCTCTTGTTAATTTACATTGTAAGGAAGAGTGTTATGAGGCATGAGATAAACTAAACTTAACTTTGCGCAAGCAGATTTATGGTGCTAGCTTAAGAGGTCTTCTGATTGAAAAGCAGTTGTTTCTCACTTTGCATGAAAATCCTGATCATGCTGAGAACTGATTTTATATGCACAATATAGCAGTATTTACTCTCACAGATACCTGTGAATCTAATAAAGAATCATATAAATAAGGGTGCTGCTGTCATTTGAATGCACCTTATCACTCTCACCTGAATAGTGTCTCACATTAGTTCTAAATCTAGTTGCATTACTGATTCTATAATATAGGTCTCACATTAGTTCTAAATCTAGCAGCATTCTATAATGTAGGTGTAGCATCACTAGTAGAACACTTTGACTGGGAGATGCAGCATCTGTGATTCATCATTAAATGAAATATTCATGAAATTTTCTGATAAATATAGGATCTCCCATGATTTGTAGTTGGATATGATTTTTATCCAACGAGTTGTGTGTTTTTTATCCCCGAGCCTTGGCGAGGGGATAAAAACACACAACGAGTTGGATAAAAGTCATATCCAACTACAAATCATGGGAGATTCTTTTTATCCCATGTTAAATACTTCACAACCAATGTTTTACACTGTTTTATATAGGACTCCACTTTATTTTACTTCATCACGCTAACGCAAAAACCATTGTGACGTCACAACTGCACTTAACTGTGGATTATGAAAAAATTATCCAATGAGTCATATCCACGGGATAAAGGGGTAAACATGGGATAAATTCTGATTATTGAACATATGAACTTATTATGAAAAGTTTCACTGTAGAAGCAGGAATCTGTTAAGTAAAGGTCACATAAGTGATGGCCTGATGGAGGAAAGGCTTTCGTCTTTATAAATAAATTAATATATATATATATATATATATATATATATATATATATATATATATATATATATATATATATATATATATATGTATATATATATATATATCATGAAATGTTGTACATGTGTAGAATGTCAATGATTTTGTTGTTCTACCTAGATAATACTGAGGGTGCCCTTTGTGCTGCAATCAAGGAACTTCCCACTGGACATGGAGTCCTGCATTAACCATAGCCTTAGACAGTTACTAGATGACAACTTTCAGAATAACATATCAAATCTCGTGAAAGGAATCCCTAGCAATATTTGTCACAAAATAGATTATGTGAGTTCAGGTTATACAATGAACATCGGATGCCAAAGTCCTTTTCAATTCCATCACATAGCCCGGCGTTGCTATCGTACCCCTGTGCTTTATATGATAACTAGAGAATATAAAATGAAGGTGACCTTTTCAGTTGCTACAGCAAGCTTGCCTGAGTGTCGTTTGCATTTCCAAACATCAATTCGGAAACAACTGGAGAGGCAAGAAGTCTCAATTATAAAGGAACGCCTGTATGACATGTGTCTGGACCATGATGTGGTTGTAACAATTAACAAAAATATTGGTGAACTAGGATATCATTTAAGTGACAGTGTCAATAGTGAAGTATATGGTAATGTTAGTGTACTTTTGATGGCTACTTCAGAGCAAGCAAATTATGCGGGTTGTGCTTCAACAGTATTGCACAAACACCTTTGGGGTAAAGACTTCATTCCAGGAGCCCTTGTTGTGCCAACAGAAAACTCTAGAAAATGTGGTAACCTGACGTGGGAGAAAAATGATCCTCTGGATATGAAAGATCATTGTCTGGGTTCTTACCTCTACTATAAACAACTCCGACGATGTATTGATGGTACGTCAAAGCATTTAGTATTCAGTCTTTAGAACTTTTTGACATGAATTTGAAAGAAATGCAATTCTTACAATCTTTTCATTACAGACAGATCAGCAGTTCTAAGAGCTAACTTCTCCACCAATATAAGCTGGGTAGGTGTTCCCAGCCAGAATTGTATGATTAGCCTTAGACAACAGCTGAGGGGGTACATGATTGATGTAATAAAGAGTGAAGCCAACTCTAGTCAGTGCAGGCAGATGTCTAAAGGAATTGAAGCTAACATTGCTGGGAATCAGGTGTGTAAATGATCTGTGTTACACTTCCTGACATAGCTCATCAGAACCTTCATTATACATACATATTTGTCACAGAGAACATGATTTGCCTGCTTTTTCCTATTCCTTTCTTTTAATAAATAATAATAATAATAAAAAATCAAGCTACAAAGATTTTGTAATACAGAGTCTTTTGAATACTTGTCAAAAAGTTTCAAGTGCATGTGTATCAATTGTCAGGAATTTTATTTTCTTCAGTTTCTTTTTTTTTCTTCTCATAAATAAAGGTTCAAGGGATATTTGTGGATTTACCAATGTAAAGGTTTTCAAGTTGAAATAAGGTGCCACATTTTGTAATTGTGAGCATAGAAATGCAAGATTTTACATCACTTTCAATATTTATTTTATAAATTTTAAAAAAGATATAGAAATGAGCTTCCTAGGGACAAATAAAATTGCTCTTTTTTTTCATTACACTGTGTTCGTCCTGAAACTTGTGGTAGCCCATAATGTATTGCAACTCATTCAACTGATTTGTCAGTTGGTAAAGTAAACAACTAATCTAACATGCAAATTTATGCTGAGGTCAGGAAATCTAGTGACCTGCTAAAGTGTCTTCAATCCATACACCCCAGAAAATCTATTTTAATTGATTTTACAAGAAAAGTCTAGCATTTTAATTGCATGATTACTGCATGAGTTTCTATTGTCTCTTTTAAATGTGATCAGCAGGATTTGGTACATGTATCCGTCTTTATTTCAACATTTTTCTTGGGGTAGTCTTCAATTATGTTACTTTTTTCTTGTTTCTTCAAGAGTGTATGAGCTTCTGTCAGAAGCTAGATTATTGATACAAGAAAACAAGGAGCAAATCTAAGTTATCACCCACTAGCCCTGTAAAGTACCAATCTAGAAAAGTTAGCATCTGCTTCTGTGAGTTCTGGGTGGAATGAAAGTCATTTGATTAGATAGAGGAGTAATATTGTTGTAATGTGTTTTGGTTTGGATTGTAGGTTGAACTGACTTTGAGCATTTTACCATATGAGTGGGACATAAATCGTACTTTGATGTGCCTAAGACTGTTGTATAAAGAGAACTTCAGTTCTGTGTATCAGAGATTCCAACAAGATATGGGCTCAGCTTGTCCAGTCAGTCAATCAAGGAGATTCAACACTCCAGACTTCAGCTTTCTTTGCATGGCACCAAACTATACTTGGAATGAAAATGCTTATGTCTGTGTTAAAGGTATGTAAAAGTATATTTAGAATTTTTTTGTTTCTATTTTAAAGTATATTTCTATGAAAACTTTATTATACCCCCCTCAAATAAAAAAAAATTGGGTTTACATATATATATATATATATATATATATATATATATATATATATATATATATATATATATATATATATATATATGTTGTATGTCAGTCTGTCCGTCTGTCTGTCCATGCAATTGTGCGCTTTATAGCTTCTTAATGGAAAAACATGGGAAGTTTATATTTCACACAAATATAACTTATGTCCTCAAGATGTGTCATGACCTTGACACAAGGTCACTCTGCCAAGTTCAAGGTCACTGGCAGAAAAAAAGTATAAATTAGTTACTTGTTCATTACTCTCAAATAGATAAGTATTTGAAATTGAATTGTATTTGAATTTTTTAAAGATTATTTTTGAGCTAGAGGTATATCATAACCTTTACCCAAGATCATTGTGGCAAGTTCAAGGTCGCTGGCAGAAAAAGTGTACAATTCATGTCAGGTCCATAGAAGTCTAATGGAGAAACATATGTTTGCCTTTCACTCAAAGATTATGTATGACCTGAGGATATGTAAGTCTTTAATTTTAACCAAGGTTACTTTGAGAAGTTCAAGGTCTTATTTAGATAATTGTATTTGGGTGTTTGAAAAAAAATTGCAGCAGGGGGAACAATTTTGTGAGCTCACTCACAATACCTCTAGTTATTGGGGTCTGCTGTGTTTGTAGATATATAATAAGATAGGTCAAACAACAATTTCCACCTAAGGAATTAATTGTTGCCATTTAAAATGATGTGCTTCACAAATACACTTGGTAGAATGATAAAAAACAGTGAAAATCACTTGTAAAATGTATATAAAACAAACACTTTTACAACAAATTCATATCTGTTGCATAAAAGTCATTAACCACAATAAATGATGTTGTACAAAAAATTGTTAAATTTACTTGACTGTATCATGAGTGTGTTAAATATACAAAGGGACCTAGGCAGAACATTCATGTTGTATGAACATTTTTCTAGTTAGTTATAAACATACAATTTAAAAAAAGTCATGAAAGCAATTTAATTGCAGGTATTACAATTAGTAAATGAAGTTCCTGCTTGCTTATTAATAAAAGTAAAGTTATGAAGTGTATAACAAAAGACTTCTTGCTATAGTATATGGGATACTAACTATTGTAGGAAGTGCCAGGGGAAGAAGAAGTGTTTACCAGAGATCTTTGGTAAAGAGAACATCTACACAGCTTAGGGGAGGTAACTTGGACCAAGATGGTAGGAATAATCGACAGAAACGTAGTGTAGCACAAAATGCTGCCAGTGAAGTGATTGCTTCCTGGCTACCTGCAGCACCAGAATGTCAAGGTTAGTTGTAGATCAGTGCTAAGGACATACATGTATAACTGTAGTGATGTCAGCTTAATTTTTTCAAACAATAACATTGTAGAAAAGTATTGACAAGAGTAATGGATTAATTAATTTACCTTTATCCATTTATAGAGTTCACTGTATTAATGTCAGTAATAATTGTGCACAATTGACATAGATTCATTATTTTTATTTTACATGCATACATGGCCAAATTTTTTTCTGGAATTTTTTAGATCAACAATCTCCAGTGTTTGGACCTTGTCCTTCCATTCTCAAAGTTCCTATGGGAAGAACAGATTCCAAACCAATCAATGTCTCCCTGCCCAGTGTCACTGATAACTCTGGAGTCCCTCCTGTCATGGAGTACTACCCAGCAGACATACTGAAACAACCCTATCTGTTTGAAGGACAGGTAATAAATCTACTGTCCTGCAGTATGTTTATTTTGAAACGAGTACAATTCCTTCAGACTCATTTAACCTGATACATTACTTCTTTCAACTGCTCATAGAAATATTACAAGCAATACATATATGTCTGTGAAGATTGTTAAAGATCTGATTAAAGTAATTTTCTTATCTTAAGAACAAAAAAAAATCCATGGATGCATGGATTGGTATATTTCTGGACCTATTTTGGTTTTATATGATGTAAATATTCAAATTTCTAAAATATTAAAAAAAAATTGTAGACTTTCTATGATGTTCAAAATTCTTCCTTTTTGCCATCATCATTATTAATTTATAAAACTTTTCATTACTTTATAGAAAACTTTGAATGAAAAATTAAAAATTATGCAGCCAATCATATTCATTTTTCTCATATAGGCATGACTTTAGTTGTTATTTTGAATTTTAAAAAAAAATTATAGCATCTGTCCTTAAATGACTATATTTTATACATAATTTTTTTTAAACAGCAAAATGTCACAGTTACAGCCACTGACCAGAGTAATAACACAGCCAGCTGTACAATCCCACTACTCTACGGTATTCTCTTCCTACACAACATAGCCTTTATTCACTTCGATCTATTAATTCCAAGGGATATTGTTTGTCAAATACTTTTATAGATGGATATTAGAGAATTAGGTTAACCTGTTGTAAAATAATTAAATGTACATCATGTGGATAAAATTTTTGAAGACAGTGTAAAAAAGGAAATGTATGTACATTTGTTGTTGATTTTTGTAGAGGACACCACTCCCCCTGATGTGACATGTCCTGATACAGTAGTGGTGGAGAAGTACAATACAATCTACAATCAGACCAACATCACGCTCTCTAACCTGGTCACCGCCTGGGACCGCAGTGGTATCCTAAACAATCAGATCAGTTACAGTGTTAATTTAGAACGTTTTAGTGATGCTGCTATGCCCGGTGTAATACCTGTGAGACATTTCGTCAACATTACTGCGAAAGCTAATGACACTTATGGCAATGAAGGGTCATGTGACTTTCTTTATGAAGCGAAGAGTGAGTGCTTTTCTATTTGTATTGTTATCCTAAAAAATAAGGCTACATAAATTTAATTCTCTGGTTCTTAGGCCAATTTTCTCCAAAACAGGTATAAAGTAGATGAGGTAGGTATTTTTTTTATACCCAAATTTTCTATAAAATAATGGTAAAAATTCTTTGTTCATAAATATACTTTCCATGTCTGATCAATAGGTTTGCATTATCCATTGCTTATCAACGTGTGAACATCGTAAGCATTATCTTCGTATGTATTTTTAAACGAAGTATCCAAATCTCTTTGAAAATGGCTACTGGGAGTGATATTCAAGTACTGAACTACCAGAAAATAACTTTTTTTAGTGGATTGGTCTCTGCATTACCAACTTTTCATTTTATCAAAAATATGTTAAAATTTGGAATGCGGCTACCTCAAAATGGTTGCGCGCAGGCCTGAGAACCATAATTTCAATTTTATGTGGCCTATGTACATGGATAAACCCATTTGAATTTGGTGTGCAGTACATATTGTAAATCTTTTTTTTTTCTTTTGCAAGACCATCTGCTTATGAAAATTCTTTTGTACCGTATATTTGTTGTATTATAGATTGTATACATCAAAAATCACAGTTCGTGAAAATTTTGTCTCACATCTGTAAATACCAAATAACTATCTCACGAAAAAATTGTGTTGCGAAAATTTGGTGATTAGTATTTAACATAGTTGAGGTGAATGTCTTGGAGCTTTCAACATAGAATTACTGTACCTTATCTAATCCTGGTATCTGTATTTGGTACATGAATTAAAGTACATGACTTAGAAATAGGAAATTAAATTTGTAAGGTAAGAGTAACTGTTGGTTCATTTTCAGGGGCTGATATGAATGCACATGGAAATGTAGTGTTGAATTTTTCCGTGGACATTACTGATCCTAGGAAAGCCTGTACAGATAATATTTCCCGCTTAATCAGCTTAGATGTGCTTAGTTTTGCCAACAACAGCTGTATAGAGAATGCAGAGATATATCTTGGATACCTTCTCTATGGCCAAGTCGTATCATTGGTAAGAATCTTGTTAAGCTGTCTCAAGTGCTATATTAATTTTGTAGATCTTTGCATCATATGTATTCAGTCTTTGAATTCATTCTCATATCATTCTGTTTTGTCTGTTTTTCAATTGTAGCCTTTTAAAGTAAATCATGGCTAAAATGTTATCATTGTCTTCTATACATGTACATATACTTCCTTTAAGTAATGATGTGTTAAAGTAGGAGGTGTATGATTTACTAGTGTAAAGTTTATATTCATTCCTGGAATAGGATTTTATTCTGTGTAAATCACATGTCAGACTTTGATAGGATTAGAATACTCTAATAGAAATAAGTGCCTAATTCAGCGAATTCTTGTGTACTTCAAAACCTGTATAGTAATTTCCATAATCTCGGTCTTTATTGTGAAGAATCTGTTTCTCTTATTTAAAATGTTAAATACATGTATAACCATTTCTTAAGTATGTGTACATGTGACATGTTCTCATTGAATCACATAAAATAATAATACATGAACTAGAAAGATCAATGTGCTTATCATTAATGCAGCAGATGGATAATGTGAGTACATGCATGCACATTTAAACATTGTTTTTATTACTTTAAGCTTGAGCAATCAATTTTATATACTGTTAAAGTATATGAGAAACAGTCGAAGAAAGGCAGAGAGTTCAAACAGGTATATCTGCACTGTTGCAAGTGGCCGCTAATTAATAACACAGCTTTTTTGAATCTTACACTTTGATTAAACCATCACAATTGATTTTTTAATGCAGAATGCAAATTTTACACAAAACAATTCTCAGAAATTAAATACATTCATCTGCTACACCTACATGTATTAATTACTGGATATATCTATTCTTATTAGGATGTAGTATTTGTATATAAATGTACACAAAGGCTTGAGGAACTTTTGGGGTTTTTTGTATTGTTTAGTAGTTTATTCTGTTTTATTTGTTTTTTTTTCCCCTGAAATGCTTTTGCCTATTGTATGAGAAAATGAAAGCAGTTTACATAAAATAGACGAGAGCTGTTAAAACATTAAGCAGACTCTGCCTTTATTTACTCTTATAGACGTCATATAGTGATGAAATTTCACAGAAACTTATTTCTTAAAGATTCCAGTATATTTTTTGTACATGTATTTTTTAAAAATTTTAATTAATTTCTAGTAAAATTATTGCTGTTTTGATATTGCTGAAGACTTGTTGAAAACCATCGGTTCTGTCGGCAAGGACAGTATAAAAATTGTCTGGACTGGCAAAAAAATTCAGCCCAATTTTACATTTTTTTTAAAAATCAGGCATGATGCAAATTATGAAAAGATCAAGATCAGGATGCGCAGGTTAAGGTCACAAAAACAGCAGAAATGGTGTGTGGTGATGGTGTTCAATCCAGTTGTCATAATCATGTTATTTATGCCTCTGATTAAAGACTCTCTATCCTATAAGCAAAGAAAATTGTGAGATCAGATGAGATTGAAAAAAATAAAAGCATTTTGGTGCAATTACATGTACTTATTTTCTGTTTTGTACAAAATAATGTTTCTGGTCAGACAAAACTTTGTACTGTCCCCTAGACTCTTTGATTCGTCAGACCAAAAGTCTGACAGTGATTTAAAGAATTTGACACTCTGTGCTGATGACATTGTACAGAGCATGACAAAAATTTGAAAAAACAATTGTGCCGAGTCCAAAATTTTACTCATTTATTTTCTGTAATTCGTGATATTATTCAACAGTTTTCTCTTAAGTTTCTTTTTATTGTTATATTATTATGCATTTAGATTTCTGACAGAATGTTTGAAATACTTACAGAAAAATTGTGATTTTTCTCCGACGCCATTTCTTTGAAACAACTGCAAAAATAAAGTCTTGTGATTTGCAGAGCAGCGCACTTTTATCAAAATATGTGTAATGCTCAAGAAAATGCCAACATATACCCAAATACATTTGATTAAACTGAGTAAACCAGTGGTATTTCCAACATGTCTACAAATAGCATAAGAGAATTTTACAAGTTAAACCTCAGGAAAAGGCAATCTGGGAAGGGATGAAAGAAGATCAATAATGAAAACTTGATTTGTAGGGGTTGAGATATACGGTAGCCTGGGGCTAGATATTTTAAGACTTGGGCTAGCTAATTCAAATGTAACGATAGTCCGTTGGACTAGCAGAATGAAAAAAAAATTCTCGATCCTCAGCTTATATACGTTTGCTTTTCTATGTAGACTGGTTTCTTTTGATTGAGAACTAGTTTAATTTGTTCCTCTCACCAAAGCCTTTGAAACTTTAACTTGTTAAGTTTTCCTTTTGCATAAAAAATAGTTGGGCTAGTTAGTTTGAGGTTTGGACTAGTAATTTTTTACTGATCAGTAGCCCCTTGGCTAGTTGGTTTTCCAGGAAAATTTCATACCCTAAATCTGGTCTGATTGAGACTGACCGATGTCGCAGAATATTTCAGAAATATCAGCAGTTTTGGGGTTTTAAAACAAACTAAACTTTACTATTTTAGTTTTAAAGATTTTAAGCAGGATAAGAATTGGTATATAGATGTTTATGCTGAGTGGAAAAGATAACCAAAACTGTACAGTATCAAAACACCATTGGAAAGGTTGATAAATGAAAGCTCACATTTTTTTATAATGCCTGTGACATCGAAGATTTTACTGCACGATGACTTCATATATCTCCTGTTAAACCACCCAAAATTTCTATCAATTTCAGGATTTTGATATGAAATTTTTAGGGCCATATAAGTATAGATTCTTTTATATTATGTAAGACTTTTTGCTTGATTATGTTGTAAAATATTTTTTTTCTGTGCAACAAGTCTGCATAATTTTTGAATGGCCCTCATAAAACACCATCATTGTTAATGCCTAAATTGTTTGATATTTTGTGCATTTTGTGGAAATTGCTATTATTACAAATTAAATGTTCAATAATTATACATTTATTTAAAATTTCTCTTTTGTAATTTATTGTATTCTTGGATCACTAAGTGTTTCTTCTTTTATTGAAATACATGATATAACACTGATGTCTCAAACTTGATAATTCACTGAAAAAAAATCAATTAGTTCCAGTGTTTGTATTTCTTGGAAATGAATTTCATGTCTTACCACTGGTAGATGTATACGCTGCAGTATATTATATAGTATGACTATTATTATGAGGAGTTACGTCCCTTTACAGGATTCTCTGGTGCTTACTCTGGTCGTGACCCAGCTGAAAGTTCACAGACAGAAGTTCTTTGAGTGCATGGATAACTTCACACAACAAATAGTGAACAAATACCAGAATGGATCTTCAGTGAATGACCCGGTCTGTGGGAATGTGAATATCTCACTTAATGCCACCAAAACTGCAATTACATGTGCTGCAGATAGTGTGTTAAATGAGACCAGTTTGAAATGTGGTAAGGCTTGCTTTTTAAAACCTTGAGAGTACTAACAGTAATAGGGATATTTTTGGTTTTGATTTCAAATTGCCATTTTTTTCTGTTGACAGTTCAATGTGACCTTGGTTACTATGCCAACCAGACCAGCCATACGTGTGAGAGGTGCCCCAGTATAGATGGAATACCGATAGCATGGGATTGTCAGCTGTGTGACAGTGATCACCAAGTCTCCTGTCTCAGTAAGTTTGTCAGTGAACACCAAGTCTCCTAATCTTGGTAGAGATTCGGCTGGGCTAGATATTTGGTCTGACGCCCACCGAATCTCGGGACAGTCCTTCATAATTCATGTCTGGGAATTCAGCCCCAACTTCGGCCGGCTATATCAAGAATTATTCACCTAGGCGACACTGTCGTTCGCTTCAATTAAGTCATTTAGGTATGTAAATCCCACCATAAAAACATTCACTAAAAGCTCCATTCAAAATATGGCTCCCCTGACGTAATTGTTTATCTCCTCGCACTAAAGAGTTCCTACAGTCTGTTTTCTTTTATGTGATACTGAATCTCTACTGTGGCTTTTAAGTATTTTTCATAGAAATGAAAACAGACCATAGAGGAACTATTTAGTGTGCGGAGATAAACAATTACGTCAGGGGAGCCATATTTTGAACGGAGATTTTAGTGAATGTTTTTATGGTGGGATTTACATGCCTAGACGGTAAGCAATGTGAAAGTAATAGTGACAGAGAGTTAATTAAACAACTAAATGACTTAATTGAAGCAAATGACAGTGTCGCCTAGGTGAATAATTCTTGATGTAGCCGGCCGAAGTTGGGGCTGAATTCCCAGACATGAATTATGAAGAACTGTCCCGAGATTCGGTGGGCGTCAGACCAAATATCTAGCCCAGCCGAATCTCCACCGCGATTACAAGTCTCCATATCTCAGTAAGTCTGTCAGTGAACACAAGTCTCCTGTCTCAGTAAGTCTGTCAATGAACACCAAGTCCCCTGTCTCAGTAGGTCTGTCAGTGAACACCAAGTCTCCTGTCTCAGTAAGTCTGTCAGTGAACACCAAGTCTCCTGTCTCAGTAAGTCTGTCAGTGAACACCAAGTCTCCTTTTCTCAGTAAGTCTGTCAGTGAACACAAGTCTCCTGTCTCAGTAAGTCTGTCAATGAACACCAAGTCCCCTGTCTCAGTAGGTCTGTCAGTGAACACCAAGTCTCCTATCTCAGTAAGTCTGTCAGTGAACACAAGTCTCCTGTCTCAGTAAGTCTTTCAGTAAACACCAAGTCTCCTGCCTCAGTAAGTCTGTCAGTGAACACCAAGTCTCCTGTCTCAGTAAGTCTGTCAGTGAACACCAAGTCGCCTGTCTCAGTAAGTCTGTCAATAAACACCAAGTCGCCTGTCTCAGAAAGTCTGTCAGTGAACACCAAGTCTCCTGTCTCAGTAAGTCTGTCAGTGAACACCAAGTCTCCTGTCTCGGTAAGTCTGTTTGACAGTGAACACCAAGTCTCCTGACTCAGTAAGTCTTTCAGTAAACACCAAGTCTCCTGTCTCAGTAAGTCTGTCAGTGAACACCAAGTCTCCTGTCTCAGTAAGTCTGTCAGTGAACACCAAGTCCCCTGTCTCAGTAAGTCTTACACTGTGACAGTGAACACTTAACACTCCTATCTTGGTTAAGTCCCAGAAAAACAAATAATTTCCTTGTATTGGAGTTGTTTTTTTTTTGCAGAAAATATCCATACTTTATTCATCAACATGATCAAGGAGAAAAAGGGAGAACCATATGTTTTTTTTTTCAACTAGAAAATGATTATGATAGTGTTTGTATTTTGGACATCAGGATTTTTAGCTCACCTGAGCCGAAGGCTCAAGTGAGCTTTTCTGATCACATTTTGTCTGTAGTCCATCTGTCCGTCTGTCTGTCCGTCTGTCCGTCTGTAAACTTTTCACATTTTCGACTTCTTCTCAAGAACCACTGGGCCAATTTCAACCAAACTTGCCACAAAGTATCCTTGGGTAAAGAGGATTCAAGTTTGTTCAAATGAAGGGCCACGCCTTCTTCCAAGGGGAGATAATTAAGAATTTGTGAAAAATTAATGGCATCATTAAAAAATCTTCAAAAATCTTCTTCTCAAGAACAGCAAAGCCAAGATTGGTCATATTTACTTGGAAGCATCCTCAGGTAGTGTAGATTCAAGTTTGTTCAAATCATGACCCCCGGGGGTAGGGTGGGGCCGCAATGGGCGATCAAAGTTTTACATAGGAAATATACAGGAAAAATCTTTAAAAATCTTCTTCTCAAGAACAGCAAAGCCATGATTGGTCATATTTATGTGGTAGCATCCTCAGGTAGTGTAGATTCAAGTTTCTTCAAATCATGACCCCCGGGGGTCGGTTGGGGCCACAATGGGCGATCAAAGTTTTACATAGGAATATATGGGAAAATCTTCAAAAATCTTCTTCTCAAGAACAGCAAAGCCAAGATTGGTCATATTTACTTGGAAGCATCCTCAGGTAGTGTAGATTCAAGTTTGTTCAAATCATGACCCCCGGGGGTCGGGTGGGGCCACAATGGGCGATCAAAGTTTTACATAGGAATATATAGGAAAAAATCTTTAAAAATCTTCTTCTCAAGAACAGCAAAGCCATAATTGGTCATATTTACATGGAAGCATCCTCAGGTAGTGTAGATTCAAGTTTCTTCAACTCGTGACCCCCGGGGGTCTGGTGGGGCCACAATGGGCGATCAAAGTTTTACATGGGAATATATGGGAAAATCTTCAAAAATCTTCTTCTCAAGAACAGCAAAGCCATGATTGGTCACATTTACATGGAAGCATCCTCAGATAGTGTACATTCAAATTTGTTCAAATCATGACCCCCGGGGGTCGGGTGGGTCCACAATGGGCGATCAAAGTTTTACATGGGAATATATGGGAAAATCTTAAAAAATCTTCTTCTCAAGAACAGCAAAGCCATGATTGGTCAGATTTACATGGAAGCATCCTCAGATAGTGTACATTCAAATTTGTTCAAATCATGACCCCCGAGGGTCAGGTGGGTCCACAATGGGCGATCAAAGTTTTACATGGGAATATATGGGAAAATCTTCAAAAATCTTCTTGTCAAGAACAGCAAAGCCATGATTGGTCAGATTTACATGGAAGCATCCTCAGATAGTGTACATTCAAATTTGTTCAAATCATGACCCCCGGGGGTCGGGTGGGTCCACAATGGGCGATCAAAGTTTTACATGGGAATATATGGGAAAATCTTCAAAAATCTTCTTGTCAAGAACAGCAAAGCCATGATTGGTCAGATTTACATGGAAGCATCCTCAGATAGTGTACATTCAAATTTGTTCAAATCATGACCCCCGGGGGTCGGGTGGGTCCACAATGGGCGATCAAATTTTACATAGGAACACATAGTAAAAATCTTTAAAAAAAACTATTTGTTAAGAACAGCAGAGCCATGATCGGTCATATTTATATGGTAGCATCCTCAGATAGCGTACATACAAATTTGTTCGAATCATGACCCCCGGGGGTCGGGTGGGGCCACAATGGGCGATCAAAGTTTTACATAGGAACACATAGTAAAAATCTTTAAAAAAAACTATTTGTGAAGAATAGCAAAGCCATGATTGGTCATATTTATATGGAAGCATTCTTAGATAGTGTACATTCAAGTTTGTTCAAACATGACCCCTGGGGGTCGGATGGGGCCACAATGGGTGATCAAAGTTTTACATAGGAATACATAGGTTAAATCTTTAAAAATCTTCTACTCAAGAACAGCAAAGCCATGATTGGTCATATTTAAATGGAAGCATCCTCAGATAATGTAGATTCAAATTTGTTCAATTCATGACACCCTCCCCCCCCCCCCCCCCCCCCCCCCCAACCACTTTTATATTTAAACTTTTCAACCTTTCAAGATTGAAGTGATTTCTGCTTTTTCCTAGCCATAGTGCTCAGGTGAGCGATGTGGCCCCTGGGCCTCTTGTTACAAACATGTATACATGTTGTTGTGAAGCTGTTGAGTGAAATTAAATTAAGGACATTGGCAAGGTTCCTGGCTATTGTATAGAATTTTTCAAGAACTTTTGAGTAGGTTTAAATGTACTAAATAGGCTATATTCTGGATCAATTTACCTACCAATCCAGCATTCTTTTTTTAGATTTTGTCAAAGTAGTGTTTTTACAATTCTTAATGCATTTCCTATGTAAAATGTTGATAAAAGGGACCTACATAATTTTTCACCATAATATTTCTTCAAAACACATTTATTTCATACAGTTTTTGTATTATATACATTATTGTAACTTCATTTCCTATGACTTCTAGATATTTTGGTTGAAAATGTAGATGTAGAAACAAGACAAGGATATACCGGCACCGATCATCATTTTTGAGTTGCGTCCCTTAACAGCTAAAATTGGTCAAGAGACTGGTTGATTGTTCTTATCATGTAATTGACTGAATTGATTGAAACACATTGTCATAAAAATATTGGCATGGATTTATCTTTAACTTTTATTCGTAATTACTAAATGCTGATTCCTTCACACGACCTAAGAACTGTTCTCAGTCGGCATGGTCGACCTACCTCTCAGCATATGTCACATCTTTGCCCTTCCCAGCATACTGAGCATAACTATGGTAAATGACGACCTTTTTGCTCTTTGTCCCTGAATACAATGTACAACAAAGCCATTACTACTTTTCTTTCTTGCTGTATAGATGATTCTACCCGTTGAAGGAAGTACACGTGCTTTTGTTTACCTCTATAACATACGCTTTATTGGTTGTCACCGCTTAGAGAATTCTACACGGGAGATCACTCTCAATCACTATTTTACAAATTTAAAAAACCCATGTATTAAACCTTTTTTCTCCGGAAAGCCCTGACCTGCCAATGTCCTTAATGTTACAAATTAGTTACAGCCAAGTAATTACTGTTGTAGAACCTTGTCAGCCGGGTGAATACTCAGAGAATGGACTACAGCCCTGTATTAAGTGTCCACAGGGAAAGTACACTGACCAGCAGGGAGCTAAATCTTGTATTCCTTGTAGTAATGGGTCATCCACTGAAAAATCAGGGGCAACAACCTCAAATCAGTGTAAAAGTAAGTTCCATAGTTAAATTGATTGACATGTAATTTTTCACTAATTTTCACTGTAAAGGATGATTGTTATTCTATATTGATCACTTTACATTTGGCAACCTTGAATTTGTTTCTATTTCCTATCATGGTATTCCTTCGAAACCTTGAGATGATCGGATTTCTTTTTAGCTGTATGTCGGCCAGGACAGTATAGTGACACTGGATTAGAACCGTGTATTAACTGTTCATGGAACCACTACTCCAGCTCAGAAATGTCCAGCCAGTGTATAGCATGTCCTGGTAACACTGCTACTGATGGCACAGGGAAATCCAGTCCAACAGATTGCAAAGGTAGAAACTCAGGGAAAAGTTTTTTTCATGCAGTATAAAAGAAGTTATAAATAACATTTAGGTCTACTGTTAGAAGTGTCCTTGAGCTGGAATGGTGGTAAACAAATGTGATACTGGATTAACTTCTCATAAGAGTTATATCACAGATACAGATATACTTAGTGTTGTAAATGTATTAAATTAATCATTAATTTCAGAAACAAAGTGATACAGATTTGGGGAAAAAATCAGGATTTGGAAAAGATATCACAATCTAGTGAATCTACTGTACAGCAGGTTAAAATCGCGATCGGAAAAGATTGCGATTTGTTCAACTTGCAGCAAATCGCAGTCGTTTGAATTTGCGGAAAGGATAAATTATTCAGATTTTTTTTCAGTACTGCAAATATTTTCTTTGCGTATTTTGTCGATTCTGAACCCGATTAAATAGAACGAAACACCGTACTGACCCCGATTAGAAGACAAATGTTACGCATTCAAATAAACTTTCTTCTTTCTTTCTCGTGTTTTCTTTCTTTTTATTAAATATTTTTGTAATACATATGAGTATAATTTATTCAAGTGATTTCAAGTCGTGTCCAAAACATTCATGTAAAAAAAAGAAGCCCTTCGGTAGGTGTTCTTTCATAGTGTGTTTTGAGTAGAGTACCGAGTAGTATTTACTGCAGTATATTTAAATCCCCCTGAATCTAAATCAGTTGTCAGTACCGATAGTCAAAATGTTGAACTGTTAATAAAATTGAATTAATGTGTAACAGTGTTGTCTTTACTACGTAAGTGCTCTTGATATCAGATAATAAGACTGAGTGATACGCACAGGTGAAATCTAACAATACATGTTTTATAGATAATTACATCGCACCTCTACTGGGTGGCAGAATTAAATGTTAGTTATAGATGTTAATTTATCAATTAAGCTTTAAAAAACCCAACAACTACGTGTTAGTAATTAATCCATACACCCGCATAATTAGGAAGACAGTCTACATCTCCACTATATATTAATTACTGCTTTTATGTTTGCAAGGAAACACAAATGAGTTAACGAAACTTATCACAGATATCAGTGATATTTCAATGTATCCTTATCAATTTTTGAAGAATTATTCACTGTCTGTTGAATTCGCAGAGTTTTTATTTCTGCGAATATAGCAAATATTAACTCCGCGAGTTAATTTCCTGCTGTACAGTATTATAAAGAAACAATGATAGGGATATGAATGAGTTTTTACTTGTAATTTATTTTGACATTGCAGTCATAGACTTCTGTAGCAAGGGTCCTTGTCTAAATGGTGGGACATGTAGGTCGAACCTTATAGACCATTGGTACAGCTGTACTTGTGCTCCAGGACACTATGGTAAGGCCAGCTTATATCTGAAGACCTTATAGTTACTGAGTCTGATAATAGTATAGAGGTAGTGGTTGTGAGTAGTCGTAAATAAAGACCTGCTCATATCTGAAGACCTGATAGCAAATAAAACTGGTCATACATGTAAATAAGACCTGATTGTAACTAACATTAGAAGTAAAAACTATAAACGTAGTCTGATAGTAATTGAAGACCATATTGTAATTCAGCTCCATAAGTAAAGTCCTTGTTGAAAAGATCAGATATCCACTGAATTTTAATATATTACATACTTGACATCTACTGATTTGATACCAGTTTTATGGATATAGATTTCTGTGTGGTGTTTTAGGTTATAACTGTGAACACAACTACAGCGTCTGTGACAGTGAACCTTGTATGAATGGAGGAACTTGTAGTGTGTTGTACAACAGACCTATCTGCCACTGTCCTGCAGGTCAGTATACCTATGGCTAAGTTCTTGGACAGACACACAAAAGAATAACAGAATAAGTTATTACTTGTATACATCCTGGTGGAAAGATGCGTGGTTCCATCTTCAGGTGGATCCTCCTTCATCAGCTGTTTCGGCGCTGTCCACTACAGCCTCCAGAGGTGCGCCGACTGGGGTGATCAGGTCCCAGCCCGGAACCACTTGGCTTAACATCACTGCTGTTCTGTTTTAATGTCTATATCACTGCTGTATCTTAACTGTCTTTCCACTTACATGTATCTGCCCTTCTTCTCCACAACCACATAGATGCTGACTCTGCCTCCCTACACAGACTCCCTATCAGTCTCCTTCTCTCTGCTCCAGTAATGCCAATGACTCTCAGTGCCCTCCACGTAGACTGTCTCACAAATCCTCTACATCCCACTTCTACTGCGAAAAACCAGACCTTCCATCCATTTTGTTGACAATCCGCCACTAGGTCTTGGTGCTTTAGGTTCTTCCTCTCATATGCATCCTCCATTCTGCCTTCCCATGGTACTGTTAATTCCATAAGAATTGTCTGTTTTGTTGCCACTGACGAGATAACTATGTCAGGCCTCTTGTTTGTAGCTGTTATCTCAGGTGGAAATTCTAATCTTTTCTTGAGGTCTGTCCGCATCTGCCAATCTGTTGTTGTTCCCAGCAGACCACTTCCTTCCACACTAACTTTATGTCCTTTTTCACCTTCTTTCACAAAGTTGACAAATCTCAGGCCCTCTCTGTTTTTCCTTGGTTTTTTGATACTTTTCTCCAAGGTGTCAGCTATACTGGCTAGAACTTTATCATGTCTCCAAGTGTATCTACCATCTTTCAAAGCCTGTGAGCATGCTGATAATATGTGCTCCAAGAACATATATATGAAAAAAGACTTTAGTCAAAATTTTAAATTTAGTATAACTTTTCAAATAATGAAACATTTTTTATGACATGTTTGTATTTGAATATGATATAAACTTGCAACTTTTTAAATATGTGAAATAAATAACAAGATATTGAAAATCTAAATTTTGACTTTTAAAGTCTGTTGTGAGTTAATGGTTTTGGGGCTGATACATTTATCTCTACATTGATTTCATAGATTTTAAAACAGAAAATCGTTGACTTTGAGCAGGGTAGAGAATGTTTGACTTTTTCTGTAGGTTGATGGAGGTTTTCTATGTTACAGGTTACACTGGAGATTTCTGTGAAGTCCCTCAGTCTCCCTGTTCTTGTGTACATGGAACTTGTAAAACCAATACAAGTGGATATTACTGCCAATGTTTTGAAGGATTTGCAGGCCAAAGGTTAATTTTTATTATGTATACCTCAAATTGATTGAAGATCATTTACATGTATGCATTAAATTGAATTATTATTCTAAAGAAAGATATGAACTTCTTTCATATATGTAAATAGAAGGATTACATTTCCACTAGATAATCACTTGAGTGAATCTAATTCATGCATTGTTGTTCCACATTTAAAAGAATTTCTCTATTTTCTTTTACATAAATGTGTTACCTTGGTCACATCTCCCAACTCCATCTGTACAATGTATTCTTCACTGGGACCCTCACTGTCTAGTTTAATTAGAATAATAAAATACCTAAGTTTTACATAATTAGTACATTCAGTAACACTGTGTACCTATTCTAATTTTAGCTGTTCCCAGGACATTGATGAGTGCTCACCCAATCCATGTCTCCATGGCGGCAGATGCATAAATCTGATTGGTCAATATCAGTGTGATTGTTCTGTAAGAATTTCTGAGGTTTACCAAAACAAGACCTTGCACTCAAAACTGTATTTAATTTTGATATACTTTTAATTTTCCATAACAGATAAAGGTTTTGTTTCAGAGTTTAGATAAAGTATTTGACTTTGTTGACAGGAGACTGGATACAGAGGAATTAACTGCACAGAACCTGAAAATGAAGCAACCAAAATCTGCTTCAATGGAGGAGTAAAGCACTCAGCATTTAGCAGCTGTTCCTGTAAGCCAGGTAATGCATAATACATAAGAAACTGATCATATGGGTATGGAAGTCCAGGTTCAGAATGACTGTACTGATTCATTTAGTAGTGGTGTAATGGCAGTATAGTGTCCTGTTTTCTTTGTAGGGTACACAGGGAATCAGTGTGAAGTGTTGATAGACGAGTGTACATTGAATTTCTGTGGAGATAATGGATACTGTATTGATGACATCAACAGCTTCACCTGTATATGCAAGGTTAGCATATTAAATTTGTTGTGTGAAACTCTTACAGAAAAAAAATAAAACAACAGAAAGCAGTGAGAAGGGGGTATAATACTGTTAAAATAGGGAACAGATTTATGACTGTTGGGAGGATATAGTAGAGATAAATGTAATAGTTTTACATTATATATCTATCAACACGGGTACTTTTCCTTAGAAGAGAGTGTCAAATATCATTCTCATAAATTTGATTTCTTTTTAAGTGAGCTGATAGTTAGTACCTTGTATTGTAGGGGATAAGATTTAACTTAAATTAAGGTAGTGGTGGGGGCTGAATAAAATATTTAACGGGTGGTTATAGGGTAATCAAAACCTGCCTATCTCTCCCCAGAAATTCAATAATGGAACCAACACCTGCAATCTGTTTTAAGTTTATGGTATTATAAACAAAAAAATCTATAAAGTTAACTTTAAATAATAATGTGTAAACTAAATTTTTTTATAAGTAAGTCCTGCTGCATTTTATCTCTTAAAATGGCAGAGAACATTTGCTAAACAGTATTTTAAATTAATAATTATGCTCTACATTTCAAAAAAATAGTTCAAAATAGTAGAAGTTGATCATTTTAAATCATTTCTTTTTAGCCTGGTTTCACTGGAAAGTACTGTAACATAAATATCAATGAGTGTTTAGCCAACCCCTGTCTGAACTCAGCTAGATGTGAGCCTGGAGAGAATGATTTCAAATGTATCTGTCCTCCAGGTAAGAGAAAAAAGTATTATCATGTACATCTATAAAGCCCCATCTTAGTTTTCTAAGGAATTTAGTGTAATGTTCATGATAATAATGTTGGACTCTGTATCACAGGCTTTCAAGGGAAGCGATGCGAGATCAATCGAGATGAGTGCTCTCCCTTTCCCTGTAACCTGACCTCAGCTATTGACTGTATTGATGGAGACAATGACTACACCTGTGTTTGTAGGAATGGTTGGACAGGTAGGTTGTCAAAAAAAAATGGAACCAGGCAGTCTTTTTCAGGTGGTTTATGTTTATAAGAATTTATTTGATTGAATATGTGAAGTAACAGGGAAACATATGTTTGTGTTGAATTTTGCAGGGAAGTGGTGTGAGACTCGTACCCATAGTTGTCCTTTCCAGTGCCAGAATGATGGATCGTGTAATATCAGTTTGGGAAGATGTGACTGTTTGGCTGGATACACAGGGCCTTACTGTGAGGTAAAAGAGGTTTTTAATGACCATTAATCACACCTGTTTTCACTAATTAAAATTACTTGTACACAATTCCCCTTAATTTGGACTTAAATTATTTTCACTGTACACATTAAAGAAGTTTGGATGTAAAGGTTAAATATTCATACAGGTGCAACTTGATGAGTGTGCATCCCAACCTTGTTTAAATGGAGGAAAATGTACGGACCTTGTCGATGGATTTAATTGCAGCTGTCCTCAAGGATTTAAAAATGAAACCTGTAATGTCAATATTGATGACTGCAGCCCAAATCCGTGTAGAAATGGGGGTACCTGTTTTGATCTGGTTAATAGGTTTACCTGCAGGTTGGTTGCTTTAAGTAATATGAATGATATTTATTATTTATATTTTTGTCTATATTCTGTTCTGTAATTCTGTTTACATTATCTTCCATTGCCCAATTTCTTTATATGTACATACAGAAGGGGACAGTCATAATAGTTCTATTTGTACATGTATAAATAGATTTTAAAATTAAGGAAAATAAGATGGAAAATGTTCATAGCTACTGGGGGGGGGGGGGGGTGAACAATAAATGAAATGGGAATTTGCTTTGCTCTACTTGTTTCCGCTTCATACTTAATGATGTATCCATTTCATTGCAGCTGCCCCTCTGAGTGGACAGGGCTCACATGTGAAAACAAAATAAGTCCCTGTCTGTCTCTGCCCTGTCAGAATAGTGGAGAATGTGTTGATTCTTCTCAAAGTGGAAAATACTTTTGTGCTTGTCCAGATGGTAAGTGTTATAATCCTGATTTATCCATTTAAGAATAGGTAGTGGAAATGTCATTTCAAGGGACAATTTTGTGGGGTTGACATTTAGTCAAACTGAATTTAGAAGGATAATTTCGGATAATATCAAGTAATGTATTTATTGTTTGACTTTGATGCTTATTTTAGGCTTTTTTGGAGACAACTGCTCAGAAAAGACTGTTACTTGTGAATCTTCACCTTGTAAAAATGGAGGTTCATGTGTTAATGATGAGACTGGCTTTATGTGTAACTGTACAGCAGGATATGAAGGGAAGAAGTGTGAAGTTAAAGTGGATCCCTGCCTCAGCCATAATGTGTGTAAAAATGGGGCAACTTGTCAGAATGGTACCTGTCTATGTTCTCCATTTTTCACTGGATTTGACTGTGGAAAAGGTAACCTATATAATATTTTTTTTCTTTGAATCATGATCATTTTTATGGTTTAAAGTGATGCTACCCCAAATTTTTGCAGAAGTCTCTCAATTTAAACAATTGTTTTGTAATCTGTAAAAAAAAAAGTTTTTTCAAAGTATTTGTTTTATCTGGACAGCAGCTTGTCTTGTTGACTACCAGTAGATACTAGTTTATGACCATTTTCTGCTTTTATGTTTTGTACTTATATATCTGCAATTGCATTTTAATATCTTACAGAGAAATCCTCAAATTTTGATTTGTTCTTCCGTGGCTTGAATGGATCATCAAGTCAAACTTGGATCACTGTGGAAGAAGAAATGTCCATGTGTCTTTGGGTTCGATCCTTTAACACTGGCCAAAATAAGACCATTCTAACCTTAGCAATGTAAGATGTCTTTATGAATGTTTAATTAGATATACACAGCAGCATTTTAGCTTTTGGTCAATGTGTTGGTCACCTCCTTTGTTCAATCTTCCAGAAATAACACCAACAGGATTGTGGAGATTCGTGAAAATAGTTTTTCGGTTACATATACTGCCAAGCAGTGGTTCAGTCCCTGGAACCTTAACAATGGCCTCTGGAACCATGTCTGCTTTGTTTGGACAAAGAAAAATTTGGGTTCTTGGTCTATGTACCTAAATGGAACAAGACTGGTGGGAGATAATCAGATGAACTTACCCAATAGGTATATATCAGAATAGTTTCAGAGTACTGTATGTAAGCATTAATTGACATATTCAAATTTTAGTGCAATCACTGGGTATTGAGCTGTTGGCACAATCATGAATAAGTGATACACACATCTGGGCCTTGTACTGTATTGAAGAGTGAATTATTAACAACATGAATTAGTGCATTGTTGCCCATGCCAAAACCCGCTAAAATATGAAGCCCACTTTTTAAATATTAACTGGAAAAGGTTGTCATCAGTGTGTTAAGTAATTTTAAATATTTCCATTGTTTTTTATTTACAAGCATTTTCTTACAAATGTTCAGTTGTTATTCTAAAATATATGGTTGGTAAAGACTGGTCAAAATTTCAAACTGTGTAATACGTCATTAAAATGAAATGACACCACATACAGTACAGGCAACGTGGATCCCGTATTAGACCGCGTCCCCTCGGCAGTGTGTTAATCCTTTCCGCGTTTCACCGTCGCGGGTTTTGATCGCGGTATTACCTGCGACCGTGTTTACACCGCGGCGGGGCCAGGTACCGTTTTTCTGCAGCTTAGATTTATTACCTGTAAAGTGTTGTCGATTTTTAATCGCGACGAAAAAAAGGGGGGTTATTTTATTAAAGATCATGGCCTGCATTATATGGTGAATATCATTAAATGAATTTTTGATATAATTTTCAGTATTATCAAATTGTATAATATTTATTTATTTCCTATGTTTTTATCAATAGTCAAAATTTATTATTTCTTAAATTAAAAAAGGCATATAATTGCCAGTACTTGCGGTAAAATTGGATGAAATATGATCGTCAGCTCATTAACCGTATAGTATTTATTTAAAATCAATAATTCAACCATAAATTATCTTGAAATTGCTAAAAAAAAAAAATCCGCCTTATAACAGTATCAGTAGATTTTTTTTAAAAATGCCAACGTTTCTTAATTGTCCACGATTAGGCCGTGAAGTTTCGTTCTCAGTTACATGTAGCTAATGCGTTTATTTTTTCTGCGAGATTCGATCACAGTCTTTGGTTTCTTAAAAAAAAATATGCCTTTGTATATATATATATATATATATATATATATATATATATATATATATATATATATATATATATATATATATATATATGTATGTATTTATATATATCTGATATAAATATTAGAATGAAAAACGATGATAGATGGAGATGGTAACAGTATTAAGCAGTGTACATTTAGGAAGATTTAGGAACCATTAACTGCTAATACTATGCGCTAAACAGCTAAACATGTAAGACTGTAGAAGTAATATCAACATGATCTCTCTTTTTTTTTGGTTATTGTTGTTAATAAAATCATTACATACATATCCTATATATTCAGGATAATTTCATAGCTAGTTTTTCCATTTTATTTCTTTTTGAAATTAATATGATCATGATCATCAATATTTTCATTTACACGCATCGTCAAATCGGAAAAACCCTCTTTTATTGGCTGATTTTGGGCCCTAAAATAATTTGTACAATACAAAAATAAACTTATTATATTAAGAGACAAAATGTGTTAGAGCGATAGGCTACGAGTTTTCAGGTGCCTATAACTAGCTAAATAAATACTCTAACGAGATACCTGCAATACCTTCAGATTGCGTAATCTTACATCGTGAAGCAATATGGCGATCTTAGAAATACATGTAAATGTCTTGGAAGCAGTAACTAAAGTTAGTTTAGTAAATAGTGTCTGTGGCTGTTACTGTTTCTGTGTTTTTCAGAAACTCGATCGTAGAATTAGACGAAGTCCACAACTGGTCAATAAACTGATAAATTGGCTACAGTATATGATCTTTTCACAGAAACGACTTATATTGAAACTGAAACAAAAATTAATCCATAAGCAAATCATTTCATTGAAATTTTATCATGAATATTTTGTTTTAATCGATGAACTCGATAAATCAATATACTGAATGAAGGAAAAAAGATGCACGTGCCGTAACATTCTGTACGTTTTTTTCTTTACTTTCCTTTTTGATATTCTACTTACATAATACATTTTCATGCACATGTACATATATAAACAGAAACAAATATCGAGCCCCGTGGGCATATACAGAAAATATTAATAAAAACATCATTTGATTTGATTTATTTTATTTCATTCAAACTTTATTAATTTATTTTAAATGTATGATTGACCCTTTTCCTCTTAATATACGTCACTCAGGGTAAAAAAAAAAATTATAGCAAGTATATATTGACTCGCGTAGATTTCATGGTTGTAATTTCATTTGAAAATGAAGAAATAATGAAACATTGAAGGGACTGGTGTGTTGTATGGCTAGACAACGCCTTGCACATGCAGAGAAATTTACCTCAGGTACAGTAACTCTACGACAGGTGTGAAACCCTCAGGGCATGCCGTTTCCTGCTCTTGGTCTGCTAATCCCTATACACAGGAAATGATTGCCACTAATACTTAAGGGGGACCGACCCTCTGATAAGAGAGATAACTTTCCAAGTAAAATATCCTAGTATTACTCATAGTTTACTTTATCAGAGTTTAATTATCGAGACCTTTGAACAGTCAATTCGATCAAACTCAACACATGAAGAAAACATTAGCTTATATTTCCTTTGACTGTACTTTTCAAATTGTTTTATTATGTTTGACAAAAAAACATTTAAATCCAGTTTTAAAAACCTTAAAAATTGAATAAGTTCTATCTTTTTAACGATCATTTTAAAAATGGTTTAATGTATCAAGCACCAAATGTAGATTTTTTATTGCCTGACGCCACGTGCGTCAGGCAGTATAAGGATTAATTTTTCAGGGATCCGAAACTAAGCGATCATTCTTAATGAACTAGATTTTGTGCAAGCTGATTTACATCGGAATTTGTTACCTGCATTTAAACAAATACAGCTTGCAGAAAAAAGAGTCATATAACTGATGCAAAATAATAATATGTTTAATTCCTTCAGTTTTTGTTGCATGCACATGTTTATTCTTTGCTATTCTTTGTACGGACATGTCCGTGTAACGTTTTTTCTGCGTTTCTAAACTACTGGATCAGTCCATTTGCCTTCTACGAAAGGGGTGACACAATCATTTCGCGCCAAATGTCACATGTAAATTATCTTCGCGCCTTTTTCTTGGGTTGTTCTATTGAATGGGTGTGATAATTCTATGGAAATAAATAAAGTTTATTATTTTAACTTGATTCTTAAGCTTCAGATTTTTTATTAACAGTAAATTTTATCTCATTTTTTAAGAGAACATATTGTATATGGACAGGCAACACTAAAACAATGGATTTGCTGATTATTCTTACTATTTATCCCATAAGTGGACTAGTCTCTCCACCTAGTAAATGGGACATCCCTTCTTGATTCATTCTGTTTTCCACCTAGCCTTTCTTTCAATATTACATTTATTAATAATGTACGTTACAAGGTTAGGTTTTTAAAAAAAGCTTAGAAAGTCAGCGAGTGGCATATTATTTCATGCTTTGTGATGAACAAGGGTTTCCTTTTATACAGTGACAAGAGTGTAGGTCAGTACCCGTAGGGGAATGGGCTTCACTCCCGTAAGGTTCTAAGTAAAGAATCGGCAAAATGAAGAAGACATCATGATCTGTACTGGTTTTCATTTCATAAAAAGTACGTTATTATAATTTTGAGAAAGGTCCTAAAATCGATTGAAAAGAAAAACTAAACAATTTAAAACTCATTTATAATACATGTACATGTATATGGTAAGACCATCATCGTGAGTTTTTTGTCCGGGGGGGGGGGGGGGGGGGGCGCACGCCCGGCGCGCCGGTGCTAGATCCGCCTTTGATTATAATCTACGCTAGCGCACTTGCAGTTTCATCCCAAAGTAACTAGTCAGCCCGCGGGCTAACTAATGAATGCCCAAATAGTCGCATGTCTTAGATAATCGTTAACCTGCAGTATTTGGTTATGACATTTGAGAAAGTCAATTGTACATCTTGTGAAATGAAGTATCGCAACTATGTCGCTCCTTGATGACGGAAACATTTAGCACCCCTCTTGCATATACGTTCCATAGATATTGATTGATTAGTCAGGCAAGCTTTTTGAAAAGCTATTACTTGTTAGTATTACATTTTTTTCCAATGAAAAAATATTTATAAGAAAGATAACTCTTGCTAACAGATGTATTGTTTTCTTAAAACCACATATAACATTGTGATATTCTGACTTAGGAAGCAGCGCTTCATTATGATTTCTAATATGAATTTAGTAGGTATGACACTAAATATTATTTTCATATACACTGCATATTTCTAATTTTATGTTCTGATAATAAATTATTACTCTTCCTAATCTCTTTGTTAAAATTTCTTCATATTATGATCTGACATAAAAATTATTTCTGAAAAAATAAGCAGCGCTTCATACCTCATACTATTTTTCATTTGATTTTGATGCTATAGCTCTTGATGAAAATCAATGTTGGGAAGTTTAAAAAAAATTCGTGAAATTTGGAGCAGAGGGTCATTAGTCCTTAATACACAAAGAAAAGAATATGTTCAAGTAAACGTGGCATTTGATTTTTTTTCTTGAGTATTATTGAGAATAACTTTTAGTGATATAACACCCCCCCCCCCTCCCCCCCGGGCCGTTTTAATTGTTTTATGGAGTTCATCACCATGCACATCCTACCTTCTGTAATTAGAGAAATAATAAAATTAAAAACAAAACACTGTTTTCCAAAGAAGTAAATACATGTATCGAGGAAAAGAAAAATTATATTGATATCTTGTATAAAGTTCACGCGCTCACTCACTGCAAACTCTCACCATTCAATATATTAATTACAGCTTTCCGGTCATTTGACAATTTCAGAGAAATGCTTGTACATTTATACAATAACGTGAAATTAATTAAATGAATTATACTGTTCTAAATTTGGTAAAAATACAAAAACATAAACAGTATAAAGATGTACTCTTTTCCTCATAGGAATGTTGAAAACTGTTAGTTGGAACTCGCACTGACTATTGTTTAGCACGTGCATGTACATGTAACATTATTGTAGTTCGCATATAATTTGAAAAGAAGTTTTTAGAACTTATATTTCCGACATTAAAATTTGTCATGTTAAACTCTCAAATGACGCGGCTTATAAATAGTTTTCTTAACACTATCTAAAACAAAAGATGTCGCTTTAGTATTGATCTATAATTCAAAAATAATAATAATAATAATAATTTTAAAAAAAACAAAAAAACTTCAAAATATCTTCTGCTTTGCAAATTCTTTTTTGGAGTATATGCATTATTTTCACCTCATTGTTGCAAAATAAAAGAAAATAATTTCATAAATATACATACACTGAAGATCTTTAATTTTTTAAAGAGGGAATTTTGCTACTGTTCATAAATTTATTGACGAAACATGTAGATTCTCTTGTTGATATGCTATTTTTAAAATTACTTTTTCACTTGTACTAACTGTATTATTTTTCTTTTAATTTGCATGACATATTGTAAAATATAAGGAGAGGAACCTAGTAAGTTGGATAAAACTTGTTTCCAATCCTTTTTATGAACTCAGTAAAATATGTTCAAAACAGGGAATTTCGCAAAATACTTGTTCGGGGAGATAACTCCCGTTTGTTTACGATACTAGTTGATCGATGATTTAACCGCGGCGGGGACAGGTAGGTGATGAATTTCCCGCGGTGGCAACGCGGTTTACCTGTCTCACCTGGCCAAATCCCGCGTTGTGTTTACACCGCGACGGGGCGCGGGAAATACGGGATCCGCGTTGCCTGTACTGTATGTACCTACGATGAAAAAAAAAATTATTTTTAAATACATTGTCATGATTTTGAAGATTACTTTATATTGAGAAACAAACACTTTTTTTTCAGAGTAATGATTTTATTGGGACAGTCATTACAACCAGTGCCAGGTCAGGTGCAGTTTCATGGTGAAATGAGCCAGCTTCATGTATTCCCAAACCAGTTAGAGCCAAACTACATATCCACATTATCCAAGTCATGCTACTCCTTGTCAGAAAGCAGCGGTCCGTGGATGGAGTTACAAGCTAACATCAAAGGTGATCTGAAAGTGATTGAACCCTCAACCTGTGGTGACAAGCGGTGTCCTGCTGGGTTCAAGGGACATAACTGCAGCATTCAGATCGATAAAAGTCCCCCACTAGTGATAAACTGTCCAAGTGATTTCAGAGTGGTCAGTTCTCAACGCTTGAGTCTGGTCAACTGGACAGAGCCTGACTTTTATGATGATATGGGTGTTGTGAATATCATCCAAACACACAGATCAGGTAATAGTACAGATAGCTCAGATCTTATAGAATTCAAGTGACTAAAACCATAGAAAGCTTATACAGTAAAACTCAGCTATAAGGAAGTCTCTAGGATCTCAAAGTTTGCTCCCTTATAAATGAGATTCTTTGTATCCATATAAGTACAGAGTGAAAAGTCTTCTACTGGATTTGTAAAAAGTTCTTTATAACTTAGATTTCCTTATAAGTGAGTTCCCTATAACCAAGTTTAACTGTATTTCATTTATTTATTCAAGATGTGAGTTTTCTGAAACAAGGAGTCCTTTTGTTTTTGGGGAGATGTTTTTGTTTGTTTGTTTTTTTTATGAAGACAAATATTGATTAGATTAAATGTAGTTTATTATAAACTGACTGACTTTTGATTTTAGGGGAAGTCCTGGCCTATGGGGAGTATGTTGTCATGTATGTGGCATTTGATGCAGCCAACAATACAGCAAACTGTACCTTTCGTGTTGCAGTCTCTCGTAAGTCATTCCATTTTGGAGTGTATAAATTGTTGGAGAACTTAAGAAGGATGTTAATAATCTTAAAAGAATCTTCTTTAATATTAAGTTACAGTAAGAATAAGGAAATATTGTAAGGATTGAGATGTGATGTTTAATATAGAAGGATTAAAATATTTAACTTAAGTGATATATTAAAATTTGTTTACAGCATTTGACTGTGAAGTCCCAGCAGTCCCAGAGAGTGTAAACCACAGCTGTAGGACTGTAGGGAGTAAAAGGTACTGCTGGCTAAGTTGTGACAGTCCAGACACCCATGCATTCAGTGAACCAGTCCCAGAGTTCTACAGGTGTGGACTGACAGGACAATGGGACCCTGCCAGGGGAGAGAACTTCACCTTTCCTGCTTGTGCAGGTAAATTTTCAATTTCTTTGACAGTTAAATTAATAGTTATTAACCTATCTTTGATATATATGTACTTGCATATTTAAATGTTTCATAATGAAATAAAAATAAGTATATTAATATTTCTAAAATGGTTTGAATATATTTTCTAAACTTTAGTTTCAAAGGTAATATTTACAGTTATTTACAAAATAGGATTAGTAAATATCTTTTCTGTTTATTCAGCTTTTTCTCCCCCTGCTGCTGGAGTGACAGGAACCATTAGTTTTGCTGGGCCCACATGTACAGAAGACCTAACACAGAAACTGAAGCTGATCTTTAACCAAACAATGGCCAAGTGGAACCAAGAGTTTGGACTGTGTCCAGACAATGTCTGTAACATGTATGTCAAAATTCACTGCTCTGGGGACATCAGTCATAGAAGAAAACGCAGACAGGCAGTGGATACCTCATATCTTGTTAGATTCAACTTTCCTGTTAACAAGTAAGTTAAATTTCTTCTGATTATATTGTATCTACTCTCTTTATGTATGCATATTGAGGGATTTTCATGTGTTTCAGATGATGATAATAATACAGTATATACCAATATTTTTTTATAGGACATCCTTGGAAACAACAAATTCACAACCACTTGACAGCATCAAGACTTATGTGAAGAAAGGAGCCTTCAACAGTGAAGATTTTGTTGCCAAAAATGACTCTGTGATTGTAACTGCTCAGTGTAACTGTTTAGAGGGCCAGGAGCTCAAACACACAGAGATGACAGAGTATTGTGGTATGTGGCATTTTGGAAAACCAACATGAAAACCTTTTTGTCATTGATATAGACTAATTACTGATATCAATTTTGCTGTACTTGCAGTGAACTGTGCCATAGGTAGCTTCCATAATCAGTCTGTGAGTCCAGGAACATGTGACTTGTGTCCTCTTGGCTCTTATAATGATCAGGAACGACAAACTCAATGTATTCCATGTCCAGAGGGACAGACAACTCAAGATCCAGGGGCCACACAACCCTCTCAATGCTACAGTAAGCATTCTATATTTTGAAAGCAAGGAATTAAACTTTCACATATGTTTGCCAAAAATAGATATGGAATTACTATGAAAATCGAGTAGTAAAAATAATAAATACAAGGTTTAATTATACTTGGCTTTGTTAGTTTATGATCATGATTTTGTTTAGAGAATTGGGTTTTGAGAATAATTAATTTGATTATTTTGATAAATATAATTAATTTACTACAGCTATCTGTCCAGCTGGTCAATATGCAGAGGATATAACTAATGTGTGTAAGAAATGTCCACGTGGTTACTACCAGACCACGTCAGGAAGAAGGATGTGTCAGTCATGTCCTAATGGTCAGATGACTCTAGATGAGGGCTCCACTTCATTGGAAAACTGTACAGGTAGTTCATAATGTGTACATAATACTTTTATGATGGCGTATGATTTTGTTCTTTTAGAATCAATTTATAATTTGAATGAATTGGAAGCTATTTATTTCGAAGGAGAGTCATAATTTGCCATTTATTGAAGAGATAAGTGGGTAAGAATTTGTGTAGACAAAAAGATGAAATCCTTGTATGACTATGAGGATACAATATCAGAGATTTATAGGTTGACTTATATTCTACAGCTGGTTGTCTGGCCGGTGAGGAGTTATCAGTGAGAGGTGTCTGTGTGTTGTGTAGACGGGGCTTCTATAAGGAAGGGTCCACTCAGGCATCCTGTCAGTCCTGTCCCTATGGAACTACTACATCAAATCTAGGAAGCAAGTCTGTAGACCAGTGTAATATTAGTAAGTGGTCAAGACAATCTAGAGCTCTAATTTTAACTCACTATAAGATGAATTCTATTTCTTCTTGACAAAGTTTGTATTGGAAGCAGCTAAACTGTTCAGTTTATAAAATTTGATCTGTTGACTTGAGCTAATTCTTATTTTAGTTGTGTGCCCTGCTGGATCCTATACCTCTAACAACAATTGTGTTCCCTGTCCCCTGGGTCAGTACCAGCCTGCCCGGGGTCAGGTCCAATGTCTGAAGTGTGCTCAAGGGCAGACTACTCTCCTGAAGGGAAGTCGCAGTCCCTCTGACTGCGTGAAGGGAAACGTCAATGAATGTGATACTGATGTGGCAGAGTGTGCAGCCTATGAGGATTGTGTTGACACACCAGACTACTATCAATGTGTCTGTAAGCAGGGATATGAAAGTGTCAATGGAACTTGTTTAGGTATTTGTTGATCATTGTACTAGCTAGAACAGAATATGGATTTTTTTAAAACTTAATTTTTCCAACTGATTGCATTAATAATTTCAATTCACTATTTCTTTTATCTCTTTTTAGCAATCCAAACACCTCTTAAAAAAGGTAACTTTTTTAAACTATAAAAGTTGAAAACCATGTGTAGATATCTATTTTTTAATTATCTACAGTAAATAAGTGGATAATGTTATGAAATTATGAATTAAACTCAACATACAAAGGACCTTATCTGATAAGTGTCAATTTTGGCCCCTCAAAATCAACATTTTAGATTTGATTCTGATATGTATAACTGTTTTCTGTTTTGTAGAAGAGATTATATTAAGAGATTTTTCAAAACATTTTTCAAATTTATATGCACTCACAGGCTTTAAATGATGTCATAAATGAGGAAATTTTTTGCAATCTAATCAAAATAAGACAAGAATAAGCATTTTTCTTGATCTTTTTATTATTGAAAACATAGAGCACAGCTTTGAACATGAAAAATTTTTCTGTCAATTATTAGTCTCGGATAGGCCATAAAAAATTCATTAGTAGTTTCTCGGGCCAAAAATTTCAAAATTCAATATGGCAGGCAGTGTTTTTTTTTTCTAGGTGTTACCTATTTTTCATGTCATTTGTTGCACAAAATAATGATATTAACTGATTCTTACTTTTTTTGTTCCCTCATTAATTATAATATGCTTTCAACTTTAAATAATAATATTCCAAACAAAGTTAATTCATAAAATACTGTATTAACAAGAAATGTATTGTTTATTTAATAAAAATGTATCTATTAGCATTTATGAAAAGGGGAATTACTCAATTTTCTTTTTCAACTTGAAAAAATAGAAAATTGAGTTACTTCCCTTTTCAATATGTCAATAAAATTGATCAATGCGGCAGTGTTTGACCTGATGCGGCGGTGCCTGAGAAACTATTGATTAATTTTTTTTTTTTTTTGGCCATAGATAAAACTTTGGTAAAAATATAAAGTTTGTTCAAGTCTGCACTCAGTATTTTTTGGAAGAAAAACTGCTTGAATATAAGCAGTTTTATACAAAATATGCTAAAATGGCAGGAAAAGGTTTAATGATGTCATATTTCTAAATTAATGGCATTTTGATCAAATTGAAAATTAAAAGTAAAGGTCACATGTATACTGTGCAAAGTAGAGCTATATATAAAGTAAAATTAAGATATTCATTTTAAGGGGCCATTTGATACACTTATACATTGCTCTTTTAAAAATGTGTATCCTTTTTTTTTTTTTACCTTCAGCTGACAGTACATTAATCATAGTCGGGGCCACAGTTGGGGTAGGAGTTGTCATTCTTGTTGTGATGGGAATCTATCTGGGCCTTCGCTGCAGGTCATTCTTCTTAATAAGTACAACTTTGAGATAATCTAAACAAATCTTCAGGCTTTTTTTTTTTAAAAAAATCAATAACAACAGTTCTAAAAATCATGTTTTAGTAAAATTCAATATTCCCTGGAAAGGGGCCTGGACACATACTTGAAGTTATCATTTTTTTTCACATTTTCTATATAATATCATGAGTTACATGTTGCTATAGCATTTCACACAGAATTATAATAAAAATGTGGTCAGAAACTTTTTTTATCTGGCAATTATTGAAACTACAAATTTCGGACGCGTTTGATTGACACATCATTGCACTTTCACAAAGTAAACTTTAACCTTAATACTGAAGAAAAAGTATAAATTTTGTTGTGTATTAATGAAAAATATTAAAACTATAATGAAGAAAATTCAGAGTGGAAATGTGAGAAAGCAAAACCAACTCACCAGTATTGTCAGTCTGTGCTCAGTGATGTGTGCAGAGTTTAACAAATTGAACACACCTGGTGAAATGTAAACATTAACAATAACAGAGCTCATGCCCTGTTTACAAAAACAGATGTTTTATGTGATGTAAAGAAGAATGTCTTTATCATTGAATTCAAAGAATATTCATGTAATTTCAATTCATTTAACTGGTTTTATTTTTTTAATTAGCTTAGAAATTTAAAATGTAAACATAGCGACTGTGTCCAGGCAAAATATTTAATAGCACTATTTTTTTCAAATAAAAAATGTTCAGATTATTGATACAAACATTGTGTGCAAGCATGTTTGACCTTATTAGTTTTCTAATTGATTTATATTTTGTGCATTAATATGTCCTTAATTGAATACCTCATGCTTTTTAACAAGTAAAATAAAATGAATTGATTTCATCTAAATAGGGGAAATAAGGATTCAATAGAACACAAGGCGAGAGTACATCGTGATTTACCTGTGGTCTATCTACCTGGAGGGCCAGCTACTGCTTACCAGAACCGCATATACAACTCCAGTCGTTCCAGCAGTGTGATGTCACTTCCTGGCTCAGACATCGAGCTGAGACCGGTAATGTCTCCTATTCGCTGGCATCCAAGTTTTTTTCCAGAGGTAGTTTCTTTGTTAAGTAATATGCCCAAGTATGCACAGATGCTTCTAATCGATGTATCCAGCAAGTATCACTAAATTAGATGCTTCTTATTGATGTAACCACAAAGTATCACCATTAATGATGCCTTCTTATCCATATTCCACAAGTATAACTGCAGAATCAGGATTTGCACATGTCAAAACTATCGTAAATATGTATACATGTGTAAATATTTATTAATATATATAATACATGTACATGTACTGTTATAAAGGCTTGTATATTAATTTTGATTTAATGAATGATATATATATATATATATATATATATATATATATATATATATATATATCTCAAATTGATATACTTGATAACTTGATTAGTTTAACATTTCATTGGATTTTTTAATACTCTCAATATATACAGGCAGTGGAGTTGACAACATAAAATTTATTTAAGGAATGTTTTTAAGTTTTGTGCGAGTTATTGGTGTGTAAATCACACAGACTTGTCACGTAGGCATATTTCATGAAGCGCGCTAGCGCTTCATGAAAAATATGCCTACGTGCAAGTCTGTGTGATTTACACACCAATAATTCACACAAAACTTAAAGACATTCCTTATATTTACATTTTACATGTTTAAATGCACAAAAAATATACTCAATGTTTGAATTTCTCGCTGCCCTATATGTCATATTTTTATTAACGTCTCTGTAGCCTCATTGTGACGTCACTTTAGCGCGAGTTTCTTCGTGTATATTTCTACGCGTGAGTATACACAAAAATGGTTTTCAAATCAATTTCACAGTTGGCTTAGTAGAAAAACTGAGCAAATGTAAATATTTTCTTTTACCCAGAAATTTACAGTACATACCAGTGCATAAAATGTGTTGTTTCTAAAGGGGGGGGGGGGGGGGGGTTGTAGTAAAATGTAAATTTTGAGAATTCTTCATATCATAATATGTGCTCATATCAAAATTGCATTAAAGTTAGTTTTTTCTTTAAATCCCAGTGTTGCAATTTTCAATTTATGGTTCTGGAATTTAAAGATGATTTTATATTTAAGTATTTTTTGTGCAATTGAAAGCATACAAATGTTTGATCTGAACCTCTGGGATTAAACTAATTGTCCATGCTACCTGAAGAACATATTTCATAAGAGTACTTTCTTAACAACAAGCAGGGTTTTTATGATATGCATATATCACAGTAACTTATTATTTTAATTGCAGTCGGATGATGATATACTGCCGTCTTTCTATGAATCGCCCAACATCTCAGACATCTCGGAAAATGGTTCCTCAGAAGGAGGGCGGAGCTCAGGCAGTGGCTTTGATGTGGACTCAGACTCTTATTTCTGATTGGGTGGAACATGATATACTGCCGTCTTTCTATGAATAGCCCAACATCTCAGAAAATGGTTCCTCAGAAGGAGGGCGGAGCTCAGGCAGTGGCTTTGATGTAGACTCAGACTCTTATTTCTGATTGGGTGGAACATGATATACTGCCGTCTTTCTATGAATCGCCCAACATCTCAGAAAATGGTTCCTCAGAAGGAGGGTGGAGCTCAGGCAGTGGCTTTGATGTGGACTCAGACTCTTACTTCTGATTGGGTGGAATACCACCATTCCACTCCACAGAGAACTCGGATGGAAATTCAGTCCCAGCGTAGTTGTGCACAAGCCCCTAGGATATAAATGTTATACAGCGTTTATAATCAAGGGGGCAAATTATACCTCAATTATGTGTCTAGAAAATTCCAGAAAAAGGTCATGATACAAACTTAAATATTTGTAAAACTTAAAAAAAAAAATGAATACCATCAAAGATGAAGCATTATTTTACTTCATATTACCTAAGTTGTTGAAATATTTTTTTTTGGAAAAGCATTTATCAGAAGAGCTGTTGAATAACATAAATTTCTCCACTACTGACAGACAGGAAGGTTGGGGAAATTGTGCCATAAAGTCTCATACATACCTGTGAATCTGTGAACTAGTCAGTGAACATTGGAACTAGTCATATGTAGATGCTGTGAAAGGGAGTCAAATGAATATAAAACAGAGAAAAAACAGTATGAATGTCCCATTTATTGAATTCATCAATATTTATGTTTATATACTTTATCATCAAGTCATACATTTTGTTTATTCTCCACATTTCACATTCATATACATTCCTATCATAGGAATGTAAATGTTCAAGTTCAGACTTGATGAACTTTTGGTTGATATTGGAGTGAGGGTAATCTCGTGTGAACAAGAAATAGCTTTCATTCAGTGGCATTTTGTGTTCAGAAGAAATTGTGGTGGCAGAAGGAGAAGCAGAAAAAAAGGATTGACATTGAGACAATTTAACATGATGCATTGTTTGCATAACTGTAGGGAAAAAACTTTTGTGTCCAGAATGGATCAAAGACCTTTTAATCAAAGCTAGTGAAATATTTCATTACTGCACTTGATTGCATATAAATGGTGCAATAATATTCAAGAATTTTTTACAAAACATTCAGTGATTGCACAGTAAATATGTTTTGTATGTGTGATATTAATGTCCCTATTGGTTAACTTATTTAGTTGTGTAGTCTCTGATGTATATTTTATACTTTGTATATACATGTACTAATAACACAAGTTAGAGATGGGAAAAAATCTTATCCGTTTTCAAAATGGCAGGTCCAAATGTGTGTATATGTCTAATAAGTGCTCAAAGTGTTTGTGTAAATATTTATGTATTATTATAAATTTACTTGTTATTGTATGGAAGAACAAATACAGCTTATAGAGAGCTAACTATCCTTGGAAAAAAAAACCCTTCCCGGTACTATATAGATTGTTTACCTTTTTGTCCAGTTTTTATCATTCTGAATTTGTTAAAACTAGATTTTTCTTATTCCTTAAATAACATTAGGTTTTAATTAGTTGGTTTAAACTGTTAATTCTCATAGAAACAAATGTCCTCATTTTACATATGAACTTCTGAATGTGGAATGTTTCTTACTTAAATCTGATTTTACTGAATCCTCTGTTAATTTTTAGAATTTTTAGAGAGTATAATTTGAGGTCAAGGTGAATATACTTGTACATGTATCGTGAGTGCCTTATTATTTATATGGACTTGTTCTTCATATCTGTATTTGATTTTATGATTATCAGTTGAATTTTTTTCTTTAGATATTAGTTGTCCACTTTGCAGGTGCTACTAATTGATTTTAATTCATTTCATGTCACTTTGTTTATATAGCACTAAACACACCACATGTAATGTCAAATAACATTCCAGTTCTGTTAATAATCATTGTCTACAATACCATGTATCAATACAACATAGCAATGCATATTGTGCTGAAGTTCAAGCCATACCTGTATTAGTGTGTGATAATACTTGTATCTTATAGTAGATCAATTGAAATGGTGCAAATTTTTAAAATAATATGAATTTAAAATGTTTATCATGAATATTGTTACAGCCATATAGTGCACTAGTTGTATACACATAGTACTGTGGATGTGCCAAAGTTCAACATATTTTGCCCATTGGTTTACATAACATTCATTAAAAGTTTTATGTTGAAGCCAGCAGTCTAGTCCTACTGTTTCTTACTTTAAATTCACTTGCTCGAAAACCTTGTGATTATCCTTCAGATTATTTTAATTAATACGTAAACTGAACAGTATCAATTGCATTGAAAATTCTATTTGATAACAAGACAGAAGAAAAAAGTAGCTATATAGTTAGCAATATTTTGAATGATAATATATTCTTAATTGTTTTGCATCTTAATTTTAGAATTTTAAGTAATAATTTTAATTATTCAATTGATTTTAAAACTTTTTGATTAAACTTGTCATAATTTTAGCGCGTTTTCAGATATAGAGCACTGGTGTTCGTTACATTATTACAATCAGATGCCTCATCGCACACAATCAAAATATCAGGGTGTCATCACCCACTACTGCATCAACTCCTTGTATTATGTAGAACAAATTGTGATATGTTTTACTTTGTGCCATAATGATGAAAATAAATTTAAATACTAAAATATTTGTTGTTTATTCATATAAGAGTTTGTGAAGATTATTTAGGAAGAGTACTGTTTGAATGTTTGTGCCTGTTTGATAATTCTGTAATAGAGAGACATCTGAAGATCAGACTTCACTGAAAGGTTATGATCATAGGATAGGTAGTGATCCAAAGTTAAGACCAAGCAAGTTCTAATCCCCTTCCCAAAATACTTTGATGTCTGGGCCATATGTTTGTAACTGGGAAACTGTGGTAAATACCTGTAAGTATAGCCTCATACCACTAGGGTTGAAAGGATGAAGTGAGGGTATTTGTGAACCTTTCAAGATATTTACTTCATTCAAGTCCTTTAAGATCTTGACTTTTATTCAAACATAAGAGGCTTATTAATACATAGTGATCCTGTTGTTCTTACTGTGGTGTATCCGCAGTCACAATATCTGTTTCTAAGGATTTTGTTCTGTAAAGACACATCTGCCAAGTAATAATTTGCAAACTTCTAAACATTCTACCAAAATATAAACAATTCATTGTTTGCTTTTGAAGAGAAGGGAAAAATAGATGGTGACAAAAAAATGATACACAAATAAATGGCCAGTTGTATTTGTCTTGGGATTTTCACAAATTCAAGTAAGAATCTTTTGTACACAATATTTTTTGCCCGACTGAGCCAAAGGCTCGAGTGACCTATATTCTGATTAAAAAGTGTCCTGCGTCCGTCTGTCGTGTGTTGTCGTAAAACTTTTCACATTTTCGACTTCAGAACCACTAGACCAATTTCAACCAAACATGACACAGCATTTCTTGGGTAAAGGGAATTAAAGTTTATTCGCCCAATGGGCTACACCGTCTCTCAAGGGGAGATAATTAAGAATTGGTGAAAATTTGATGGCATCTTTTAAGAATCTTTTTTTCAAGAATCACAGGGCCAGAAAAAGTGAAACTAATGTGAAAACTTTAGTACATAGTGTAGATTCAAATCTTGACCACCGGGGGTAGGGCAGGGCCATAACAGGGGATCAGAGCTATACATAGAATATAAAGGAACATCTTTTTAAAAGTCTTCTCAAGAACAGCAAAGCCATGATTAGTCATAATAAAGAAGCATCCTCAGCTAATGTAGATTCAAGTTTGTTCAAATCCCCGTCGGGGGGGGGGGGGGGGGGTAGTAGGTTGGAACCACTTATATATTTAAACTTTTCAATAACAGATGTGGTCCATGGGCCTCTTGTCATATTTATTCCGTCCTGTCCTCAATTTCACATATTTCGATTTCTTCGCCCTTGTTACATTGTTTAAAGAAAGTGCGTGCACACAAACATTGTTTTTCTATACTAGAAGTTCTACACACTGGTGGACAGATCTCAACAAGATGTCTTTGCTCACAAAGATCAATTAGATTTACTTTTTCTGGCTGTCATTTTTTTTCTTCCCTTACCAGACCCCTTGCACCGCACGACTTTAGTCATTTATTGACTTGTGCTATTCGGAGTTTGTAGCTCGCAAATATGATTCGACATTGAAATTTAACTGTTTTAGATTATGTCAGAGCTTGTCTACCTTAGTAAAAAACAAAGTTCAGATTTTAAAAAAAATCTTTATCAAGAAATTTTGTTGTGTGTGTCGAGATACGTGCATCATGATTGCTATATATCCTAGCAGGTTCTGGGTCAACATAATTCAGAAAACTGATTGGTTTGTTCATTTATCTTTTATACATAGATCATGGCCGTAGGAATTTTTGCTTGGTAGAGCCCACCACAACTGACAATGTTTGGTTGTGGACCCCCCCCCCCTCTTTTCCGCCATGATACTGCATTCTGCGGGTCTTTAGATCCTTATTTTGACAAGTTTTATCATCTGCCTATCAAGACTTCAGTTTTCAAAGTTCGTGAATAATCCTGATTTAACACCATCCTTGTAACCTGCACGTCTTAAATATACTCAGAATATTCATGTCTTTCTTTCAAGCTTAAGGTTATTTAGGTTTAACTGACTTCAGATTTAACTATGCATGGTTTTAGAAATAGATACATTTACATGTCGACAAATCTCTTTATACTAAAAATTACACAATACATCAACCATGCAAGTATAAACAAAAGATGTCATTAATTAAGTTTTTAGATTCATTAATTTTTGTCAGTGAGAATTAAACAAAGAATTCCAAAAAATATTTTATTCGAAAGTTACTGGAATCTACATAAAGGTTTAACATCTAAATAAAACTTATTACTACAGTGCGATGACCATTATATTTCATTGAATTCTTTGAAACCAGCCGGATGGCTGATTTTACTGTAATAGGTCATATCAATTTCTATCATTCTTTATTTATTTCATATTATAGTTTGTAGTAGAAATCCACAATGTATTTGACAAATTCTGTTGAATTTATAAAAGAAAGTAACGTATGTACATCAGTAAATTATGCTTTTAAAATACCCTTTGCATAAGATTTACATACCCCCAGTATTTTTGAATATTATGATTAAATGTACTTGTGTATCAATTTTGATAATACGAACATTTTCTTATATGATCATATGAAAAATTTACACAAATTTTACAAAGTCATATCAAAATAAATTGATATCGGTTAAAAAAGTGAATTAATATGGAAAGAAATCGTGCATAATCAAGGTATTGAAAGGGGAGACAGAGATTATATAGTTGGAATGATATCTAAAGGTAACTTAAGTTCTGTTGCATATATAAGACGTGGATATGTACAAATATCCAACGTGCAAGACCAACAAAAAACAAAACCATGAACACACATGGTTTGCCAGAGAAGACCAGCAATAATATAAAATTCATTATTGGCGAATAAACCGAGAGAACCCTTAAAGTCAGATGTTTCAAATTGTGTTTTGGATAAACAGTGTATACAATTGGCTTGACAAATAAAATTTTGAAAAAGAAATCTCATAACATAAATTTTCTTTGATACAATATATATATATATATATATATATATATATATATATATATATATATATATATATATATATATATATATATATATATATATATATATATATATATTGGGGGGGGGGTAAGTATATCTTCAAAATACTAACTAGTATGAGTTAAAATATAAATTTCCGGTTAACAAAACATGAAGATTTATAACACAAACTTTTTTTTTCTCATAAATCAGCAACATATCTAATAGAGGGGACTTGAATAATGTTTGTCAGAGAAAGTGTGGAAATTATGTAAGTTATTAAACATGTGCAAAATTTCGTCTAGATTTATATTAAGGAGAATGTCACAAAGCTGTATATTTCAGCCAAAGAAAATCTACGATTTCTTTATGTTTATTAAGGGATTTATTATTTATGTCACTTCTATCCCAAATCTGTCGAAAAAATAATTCTATATCAATCCATGCATTTTTTTACTTGTGTTATTTATCCTTAAAAAATATACTTTTATGACGTAACATTTGTAGCTTTCCTAGAAATATTTAATGGTTTCATCAGCCTCAATAGGAACACATATGCTCAGGATTATTGTTTGGACCACAGAATCCGCATATTTTCTTTCTTTTAAACCATAGAAACTTTTTTTTTTTTTGCTGTGAGAATTTTCAGCAAAATGTATTGTATGTAAAATCTTGTATTATCAATAATAAGAACTTTGTCCTAAACATTAAGTTCACAAATGGAATTTGATTTTTTATACACACGAAGCTATAAGCTGGACAAAGCTAAGCTAATGTAAAGATGAAGTAAAAATCAAAAGAGTAGAACGGTATGAATTGGACTGGAGGGTGCAAAGAGAGAGAGAGAGAGAGAGAGAGAGAGAGAGAGAGTAACCGATAATAAGAAACTATAATGGATCCATATAACATACCTATGTATACAAATAAAAATCATATCAAATGCTGAATATCACGATGCATATGTAAAACTAGTTCGGGTTTTCACCAAAAACATATACTTGTCTTATTATACACATTCTGTGTTTAATCAAAGATAGTAAATACAACGTTACAAGACAACAGTTGGCTTCATTTAAACTGAAGATATCAAACAACAACAACAATAATAATGATGATAATAATACTAATAAACTGATAATGACTTTTTGACAAAATTTAAGGTTTTTGCAAAGTATTGCTTAACCAAGAGTGGATTTGTTGAAATAAAACATGTGTTGAAATATTAAAGGCTTAAAGCCTGTCACTGTAAAGTTAAATGTATCTACATATTAACATGACATTCAGAATATTGACATGTAATTTTGATTTGGTATAAAATACCACAGTGATACTTTACACCGTATATAAACTCTTACCATCTGTTTCATGCACGAAAATCTCTCCTCAGATCCAAAGAGGCACATCTTGAACAGGTTTGAATGTATCAAGTATTTTTATTTTTTAAATTTTATTTATTATTGAAATTTCATTATTGATTAATCGATTTATTATATTCAAATTTAAATTTCTTTATTCATTCATTTATTATCTATTTATTTATTCATTGGAATCGAATAGTAAAACAGTGAAATATATGTGTACCTATAATGGTGAGATATCGCTCGAATTATTAAAATATTTACCAAGTCAAATAACATTTAAAAAATAAATGCTCCAAGCAATATCAAATATTTAACTGTTTTTAAAATAATGTTTTCTCGATTTCATAAACAATCAAATAAGGATCACAATTAGAAATCCTTAAGGGCATCTGTTCTGCAGACAGATATGGTCTGTTTGATGCGTCACATTTTTGTCCCCCGCTTTCATCGAAAGTGGGGGATACTAATTTGTTTCTGTCCGTCCGTCTGTCATTCTGTCTGTGTGAAACACTCGTTTCTGGGCGATATATTAATAAGCCTTTGAGCTTTTGCAATGAAAATTTATATCACAACTCCTTATGACCTAAAAAAGACCCCTATCGATTTTGAGTTCAAAAGATCAAAGATCAAGGTCAGAAATTCAAACATTGCAAATAACAGTTTCCAGATGATAACTTCAGTTTTCTTTGAGCTTTTATTAATGAACATAATAACTTCTTATGACCTTTGAAGACCACTATTGATCTTGAGGTCAAGGTCAGAAATTTATATGGTGCAAGAAAAATCCATATGATAACTTTAGTTTTCTTTTAGCTTTTTTAATTAAGTCATGTATCATAACTCCCAGTGACTTAAAAAAGATCCCTTTTTATTTTTAGGTTAAAACTCAAGGTTATACAATGCAAAGAATGGTTTTCAAATGAGAGCTTTAGTTTTCCTTGAACCATTTTCTGTGAAATTTTATATCAAAACTCCCAATGACTTAAAGAAAATCCCCTTTAATTTTTGAGGTCAAAAGATCAAGGTAAAAAATTCAAGGTAAAAATAAATTATATCTTGCATAACCCTATTTCTTTTTAAGGTTTTGTAATGGAATTTTAATTTTTTAGTCAATATGACATTCAAAAAAGACTGCTATTGATTTTGATCTCAAAAGGTCCAAGACCAAGTTCAGAATTTTATACATGTATATCGCATACATAGTTAAGTTCCCTGTAATCTTTTTCAATGAAATTTAAGGTCAAGAATTTATTTAACCTAAAATAGACCCCTATTGACCTTAAGTTTAAAAGCTGAAAGGTCAAGGTTGGCCTTTTTTTTTCATCTGCATATCTTTTTTTAGTTCTTCTACCCTCTTTTTTCTTAAAAGGGGGAGGGGGCACATTCTTTGAATTAGCTTATAAATAGAGATGCATTTATTCCTTTCGTACAACGCATGGCCCAGTTTCTGGGGGTGGGTGGATTTTCTGTTACTATTTTGATATATCTATTTCTTCCTGGCAAGTGACGGGCCTTTTTCTGGCTAATATAAGCAATAATACAGCATTGTATATATTTCAAATGCTCCTTTCATTCCAGTTCCAACTGGAAACTCATGGTGAAAGGGGGCATTTAGAATAGAGCAGCGCATACAATTTTGATATTAATGAGACACAATGTTAATGCTATATGTATATCATAATGTTTCTCCTTTTTTGTAAAGTTAATGGTAAATAAATACTTCAAATAAAATTTTTTTTAAAAATCATTATATAAAACAATTTGAGATGTCACAAGTTTTTGCATTTCTGTTAAACAGGGAGTAATCAGATCCCCACTCTCTCTCTCTCTCTGTCTCTCTCTCTCTCTCTCTCTCTCACACAACAGATTCAAAACATTCGTAAACACCTTTTCTGTATTTGTTTTCCGATTTCTGCAGTATTCAGGCAATATGGGACCTGTACCACTGGTTCTTCTTCTGTGGTTGTTCTCTGTGATGCTGTATTCACCTGGAACTGATGCTTACTCCTGTAGTTACAGAGCTAATGGCTGTTCCATTCCTGGAAACCTGCCTTTTTTCTACAAAAGAACTTTTAAACCAGCTTGTTATAAGCATGACCAGTGCTACATGTGTGTAAGTACTTGTTTAAAAACACCCCCCCCCAAAAAAAAAACAAAAACAAAACAAAACAAAACAAAAACAAAAACATAGTTGATGAAATAAGTTTCATGATATACATACGCCAATCCTGGACAGTTAGTGAAAGATGTAGACCGAGTATTTTAGCTGAGACATGTAATGTATGCAGAAATGTTACTGTACGTGTGAATATTGTAAAATATTTGCAAGACTTACATGCCAGTCATAGAGGTGCATATATGAGGGTAAATATTTAAAGAATTCGAATATATATTTAAATGAAACTGAAACATGTCTTTCTTCTTTAAGCGGACTTTTTTATTCTTTCTGTTGAATTGGGGGGGGGGGTGTCTTATTATTCGGCTTTGTTCAAAATTCTAAGTTTATTTTACAGAAATGTTAATAATCTTATAGCTCGAAATTAACATCTACAATCTTAAAGCTATTACGTATTTTAAGAGTTTTCTGTTCCTTGCCTGTAGGGTTCCTCTCACCAATATCGCGTATCCCGTCATAGCTGTGACAGAAAATTCCGGCGGAATATGCAGAGAATTTGCTCCAGACGATCCTGGTGGACTCGGCGCCATTGTTTAAAGTACGCAAGGGTATATTACTGGGCTGTTCGGTTGTTTGGGAAGTCCCATTACAAAAAAAGACCAGAGAATCACTGCAGCTGGGTATCGCACTGCATGAAGTAAAGATACTATTAAATATGTCATTGAAAAAAAAAAATTATTAAATAAGTAACAGAAAAATTGCATGGTGTTGACTCATTCTATTGTTTTTCCCTTTCATTTTACCATTTATTGATACTGATGTGTAACTCAGATGACTTTAATAATTGATGGTATAGCCTCTCATGATTCTCCAGAAAAAAATATTTATAATAGCTATACAGACTGCAAAGCTTCCTTTTTGTGACAAATTTATAAAATTATACATTTTATATATCATATTAGGGTATCAGACCAGCGTGCAAAAATGCATAACAAACCGAAAAAAAAGTTAATTGACATCATTTTATTGAAATATGCAGGAATAACAATTTACGTACTATTCGTTTGTTAACTTTATAAGTTTTATAAAGATCTGCAAGTTACTCTACTTACTTTTAAAGAAAGAGGTACAAATATGTATACATCCACTAAGCATATATACATGTTATACGTTATAACGCGCCTTTTAATTTTTTTTTCTTCATAGATTGATCCTAATAGGCTTTCGTATATTTGTGACGTCTCTATGTGAGTGAAAAAAAATCGAATGGGACGTAAAACAACATACAATAAATCAATCATTTACTTATTTATTTATTTTTATTTATTTATTTGTTTGGTTTTTCATAAGCAAAAACATTTCACGGAAAAAGACCTTTTTTTCTTAAAAGCTACTATTACATAATAATTTAAATCACTCAACATTTAAAAAAAAATCTAAAGAAATGTTTGAAAAGTATGACTTTATACGATGTGTAATGTAAAGAATCGTCTGTACATTTAAAACAGGATGCTCAAGTAAATCTTTAAGATATTTTTATATTGAGGGGCGTTTACAAAATAATCCGACAAATTCCATATTTCAAAAGACCATGTTAATTATGTAATGCATCAAGCACGCAAGAAGTCAGATGATGTATTTCTTGTATCCTTGGATGGCTTTATTTTTTGTAAATAATATATATAACGCCTTCTAAATATTTTACTCTTAATTTACTTGGATGAAATGAAAGGTGAGGATTGATTTTATCACTCTTTGGCAAATTATGATAATTTTATTACATATTAGACACGAAAGAAAACTATATTAGATAATATGTTATACTTTTTTTATCCGAAACTATGTATTGATGAGGGTATCCGTACGTTTGTCCGTCTGTCCGTTACGCTTCTTTTATCCGAAACTGAATAAAAATAAATGAGACTTATACAGAATCTTTACTGCAGGGGACCGATGTGCACCTCCTATATTTTACGTTTTGATCAAACAAATTTCGGCCTTTCCCATGGCAAAATATGGACACTGCCATTCTTTCTATAATATTGAAGGATACCCATCTCTTACCCGCAACTCCTCCTATACATCACTGAAAAAAATTAATGAGACTTTCACAGAATCTTCATCGGGTCATTGTGCACCTTCTATTTTACAAGAACATATTTTGGGGTTCCTTAGCAAAACATAGACACTGCTATTTTTTCTATAGTTGGTGTGCCTAACTCTTATCCTCAACACTTTCCCTTCCACTGAATAAAATTTAATTAGACTTTCCCAGATTTTGTATTACAAAGTGCCATCTCCTATTTTACATTTCATGGACAGATATTTGAGGTTTCACATAGCAAAACTTAATGGACTTTGCCATTATACTCAAGTGGGAGCAGGGGTATCATTTTGTGAGTTCATTTCTTGCGGTACATCCAGTTTTAAATCGTTTTTGAAAGGTTCTTTTGTTTAAAGTTATATATTTTTATTATTTTGTAATACAAGTTAACAACAATAAATGCTTCAAAGTTTTCAAGCTTTAAAAATGCCAACTTCGACGACTTTTTTTGTTTAAAAAATTCAAAAATTGATTAAATTTATAACTACTAGAAAATTAAGAGTGTGTCTACCATGCAAAATGTGGTGGGAACAAGGCTCTCTGATCAACCCCATATTTTGTATGTGTACCCCCCCCCCTTCCAATGGAAATTGTGTTCATAGTAAATCGGGTTCTGCGACTTAAACAACATTTTTCTTCTTAAATAGGGGAAAGCTATGTGATTTTTTTTTTTTAGATAATACTTATAGAAGGCATTTACATAAAACCGAATACACCTTGATGACGCCTGCTTAGCACCGTGGATAAAGCGATTTTATTTTACTTACCAAAAGTAAATTGTAAAATGACTGATTGTTTATGATATATGTACACCCCAAAGTTTCAGAAAGCCTACAACAGTCTTATCTTAAATGTAAAGACTTGTAGCATCTGAATTAATAGAATATATTCACGTATTTTTTTCTGTTAGAAGCCAAGAAACTGAAATAACGAGAAAGCATCCAAATTTGGACACTTTCTCCTGCAAAAATTTATCTATCTATCTCTCTCTCTCTCTCATTGCCTAGTAGCAAGGCGTTCGTTTCTTGATCGGGGGGCCCGGGTTCGATTCCCGCTGCCTCAAACTTAAAACATAAACATAGGTAGTGACTGTACCTTCGCCAAGCGCTCGACATTAGAAGTGAAGTCAAGGGTCCTTCGGATGAGACCTTGAAAATCGCGTAACGTCGCAACAATGCGCAATGGTTCTGAGTGCCGAGTATATATCTAAATTTGAATCTCTTTACCGGTATATGGTGACCTCTCTATATGAGTTAAAAATTCTCGAATTGGGCGTAAAACAACATAAAAATCAATCAATCAATCAATCTCATTGTAATAATTTAAACATTTAATATAGATTACATTTAATTGATTTTTTTTTATTTTCATTTATAATCCATTCAGGCAGTATAGGTCCAGTGCCCTTATTCCTTCTTCTGGGACTGTTCTCTGTGGTGCTGCATTCACCTGGCACTGATGCAAACTTACCCTGTGGCTACAGAGCTAATGGCTGCTCCATCCCTCTTAAGCTGCCTTTCCCCTATAAGTCCACTTTCAGATCAGCATGCAACAAGCATGACCAGTGCTACAAGTGTGTAAGTGATACTGATTTTCGAAATTTTTAAAATTTCTAATTTAAAGCTTTCTTTTCTCTGAATGCTTTAATAAATCCTGAAAATGCTTTAAAGATATAAACTGAATACTCCTTCTGCTATGTGAACGGTTTTACGTGAACGAATAAAACAATTTGTTGTTTGTTTGGTTTGTTGTTGTTGTTGTTGTTGTTTTTAAATATCGCTTATTGTCTTAATGTAATATAAGCGTTTTTTTTTTCTTCACAATTGTCGATATGTGTTGAAGGAAGGGGTATTCATTTTATTTTTTATTTTATTTTTTCTTTATTATTATTATTATTATTATTATTATTTGGCAGAGGTGTCCTTCTTAGTTCTATTTACAAATACCAATTCTGCTTTGTGATAAAAATTCACATCTTAAGTAAATATAAGCAAGGCTTTTTCCAAGGAATATTGAGGGCTAAAAGTTCCTAGTTTTTCTGAGAGCTACTATAGTATTAATCAAAAACAACTCTTTCTCAATAAAATTTACTTTTTTCCCTCTAGGGAACCTATTATCGCATATCCCGAAGAAGCTGCGACAGAAGATTCCATACAAATATGAAGAGAATATGTAGACGACAGAAATGGTTTCTACGGCTTCGTTGTTTAAGATTCGCACTTGTTTACTTTTCGGCCGTTCGAGTTGGAGGGAAGTCTGGATATGAAAAAGGTCCGTATCGACACTGTAGATTGGTACAACACTGCCTGAAGTAAATAAATATGGTGATTATACTGGGTGTCGAACAGTTCTTAATTGTTTTGTTTTGAACATATTTTATTGAATAAATCAAGAATTTTCAGTCTTTGACATTACTAATTAATTTGTTACAGAAAATAATTGTACTTGTATAAAATTCTGTATAAGGAGAAGACTAACCTAAGTTGTAGAACTTGTGTCTTAACCTTTTGACGATGTCAATAAAATATGCTCAATTCAATTTAAAAAAAAAAACAGGTCCGTATCGACACTGTAGATTGGTACAACACTGCCTGAAGTAAATAAACATGGTGATTATAGTGGGTGTCGAGCATTTCTTAAATGTAATTGTTTTGTTTTGAACATATTTTATTGAATAAATCAAAGGGATTGAAAAAAGCTCTTACAACTTGCTGGTTCCTAAGACTCTCCCTAAATATTACAATATATCATGCAAAATAACTGATAAAACTGAATTTTACAAGAAAAAAGTGGAATTATGTTAGATAACATAACAAATCTAGAAGTTTCATCAATAAACTTATGGACAGCAGCAAATATAGTATTGTTAATCTGTAACGGTAAATTGACATCTCCCAGTAATAATAGATTTGTATCAATAGTGTCCTATTTATCAATAAAAAAAAAAAAAAGGCGATTAAAAATATTATTTATAGCGGAAGAATATTTTTTTTTTCAAGCAAAAAAGGAGTGATATACATCTTCAAATTTACCACATGAATATTGGATTATATTAGTTAAGCATTTTCCAAACGAAAAGTACGCTGGAGGATTTCTGACTTTTGTAATCAAGGTCTTTCGGAATGCATTGATTGAGATGGCTTCTCTCGTCTCTACATTTAACAGATTCCATTGTTTCACAGCATCTGGTATGAAAGATCTTTTGAATAATTCTAATCTGCATATTGGGACAGTGAATTGTTCTTTATTACGGGTATTTTTATCTAAGAGAGAAATTTTTAAAAAGTATTATTATAACAAGCTTAGTGTCTTTAAATTAATTCAACTATTAAGTTCTATTAATACTAAAGATTTGTTAAATTTGGGCAAATTTTTGAATGCTGCCACATTGTTAAGAAAAAATAATATCCATGTATAAGACTATTTTCATCTATGTATTTTTACGTTCACTCTCTCTGTGTGATTTTGTTTTCTTTTCTCCTTAATAACATGATTGTATTATTATTCTGATGAGCCAGTTGGCTTAAGGAAATAAGAAACTTGAAACTTGAAAACTTGGGTATTGTATTTTGATACATTTTAAGAGATATCAAATTACACAACTATTATTTTAGATTTTCTTTATTAAATAGTTTACAACAAGCATTGAATTCTTAGTTTTAAACTAACTGATCAAAAATGCTCAACATAAATATACAAGATTTTCAGATTTGACAATTTGGGATCAGTTTTTTTATTATTTTTGGATATGATCATTTCATTTGAACAATTCAACAATTCAATCAAAGAATTCCTCAAATTATTAATAACATCTTAAGTTCTGAATTGATACCAGCATTATCTCAGTTGGCGATAATTTGCCGAATCTATTCGCACGATAATTAAATAATTGAATTATAGCTCTCTCCAATTAAATTAAAGATATCATTAATTCAATTAATGCGTGCATAAATTCTGGTAAGGAAGGCAACTATTAAATTAGTGACATCTTCAATTCCACATATCCATAATTTAAATAAAGACCTCTTTCACTGAATTATAAGTTGTTCTCTTCAAAAGAACTGATTACTCTAATAAAATTGTCGTAAAAAATAATAAAATACCTTCAATTAAATTAAAGAGATCAAAATATCATTTGTAACAAAGTCCAAATTAATTTTTTACAAACAATAATTCCATCACATCTTTTAACAAATGATTTGATGCGCGAATTAAATGAATTGACGAGACCAGTAATTAACAACATACTTTTTTCTGATTTATATATCAAATACGTAACTTTAACGTACAAGATTTAGTCAAATTTGACAGTTTTGCAACATTTTGTATTCTGATAACCCACTCTACACGATTTGCTTTTTCAGATTATTATAAAAATATTTCATTCACAACTTCTGTTCTTGGAGTTGTTACAAATTCTGAGCTGTACATTAAGAAATTTTCTAGCGTTATCTAGCAGTTTTGTACCCTAGGAAAGTATATCAAGAGCTTTGAAACATTTTGCTTTGCAAGTTTGCTTCTTTTCTTCTCACCGAAATATGGCAGAGATACTGCTTACTCGGTGTTAAACGTGTACATGAAGAAACTAAAAACTTTTTTATTTTTTTTCTGTTCGAATTAATTGAAATGTTGTATTGCTTCTCCTTAGTATTTTAGGATGAAAAAAGTTTTTGATGTCTATCAAATCTATCAATCCTGAAATCCATTCATATGTGTAAGCAATTCATTCGTACTTACTGATACTCTCTAATGAATATGTTTTTTTTACAAGTGAGACTAAAAGTCAATAAGGTTATGGTTCTGTTCCAAAAATTAATCTTGGTGACGATTACAGAAAATATAGATTAGGAACAATTGTATGAATTCTTAATTCCATCAGTGATACAATCTTAGTCCAGGTAATATAAATGGACTGGTAAGTAGGACTGACTGTTACTTGACAGTGGACTTGGTTTCCATCTGTATCAGAGGCACACTTATTCTTTAACACATTATATCGAACACTGTTCGTTATCTTCACCTTTTTCATTCATAAAAACTGGTAAAAGTAGGATTTATATTAACCATAAATTGACCTGAAAATTTAGCTTGAGACAACTACGACTTTGCCTGGGTGTTATGGTTATATACCAAACACACCTCAGTTTTTTAGACTTTGTCAAGCTTTAGGTATATAACAAAGACAAGGACCGTGAAAATATTCCTATCATGTTTTTAGAGTATCTTATTTTTTTTTAAAAAATCTTCCAAGAAACCAAAATTCATTCTTATTAAAATTAGCAAAAGAAAGAATTTAGAATATTGTTTTCGAAACTTAAGAATAAAAAAATTTCGTATTTCATGTTGCATTTATTGTGTTCTCCATAAAGCTTAAAGAAATCACTATAAATCACATATGCATGAAATGAAGGGAAAAAAAACAAATATGCAATAAAGAAATAAAAACATAAAATTGTTATTAATGTACAAATCAATGTTTGTCTAAGCAGGCGTTGACTATTCCAAGCTGATGCCGTATATTGTAGGCAGTACTAATTTACTATAATAAAATTCTAACTTGAGAAAATATGTTGCAAACTAAAAAAAATTTAAAAAATCGCTCACTAAACAATATATATATAGACAGCATTCTGTCAAAATCTAACGGGGCAGTAAACCGCTAAATACCATTGAGGTAACTTTCTCTCTCTCTCTCTCTCTCTCTCTCTCTCTCTGTGTGTGTGTGTGTGTGTGTGTGTTATCAAGATTCAATTTAAAAATTTGATATTGTAAATTTTAAGGTCAAGTATTCGAGTTGCAGCGCTAGATTTTTGCTTTTCATTTCCTTTGTTTATTTATGACATTCAAAATTTTTGATTGATCCTAGTAAGAGACATGGCGTCCCCAAAAAATTGACAATTTTTTGTTCATGTCGTGACCTTGTATATTTTTATATCATAAATGGGTCACAAAAGGATATACTAGTACGAGAGAGAGAGAGATCCAAGAAAAATCAAATTGGTCCTTGATAAATATGAAATATATTCAAATTTATAGAACATATATAATTTGCTTCTCGGCAGTCTTAGTAGTTGTTTATACTGGGAGGATGGGTCCAGTACCTGTGGTCCTTCTTCTGTGGTTGTTCTCTGTGATGCTGTATTCATCTGGCACTGATGCTCACCCATGTAGCTATAAAGCTAATGGCTGTTCCATTCCCGGAAACCTGCCTTTTTTCTACAAAAGAACTTTTAAACCAGCTTGCAATATGCATGACCAGTGCTATAAATGTGTAAGTGATAATTCTAAACTCATAATTTTTAAGTAGGAAATTAAATGTTTGTGACATTATTAAACACATAAGACAATCATAAACGATTGGTTTAAGATAATGATGATATACTTAAGTAACCTAGATCTGCAAGTAATCATACGAGCTTTTTTTAAACGTCATATATTTGAATAATACCTGAATAATGTATTTGTTAAACAACATTTTTTAACAAATAGTCCGAAAGTAAATTGCTTTTAGCAATTTGCCAGCAACATCTTGCTATAACACATGATAGTTTAGGATTTCAATTTCTCACCCCCCAAAAAAAAAATCGCACAAGCAGTATCAATCGGCTATTGCCATTAAGCAATTTGTCATTTTAAATAGTTGTACGATTGAAGGTTGGGACACTTTTGATTGCTAGTAATCATTTGAATTAAAGCATCTGATACATGACCAAAATCAGCAGGGACTTGATAAATGACAATTGTCATGTCTTTTACAGGGAATTTATCGACTGTATCGTGTCATGTGTTTTATAGGGATCATATCAACTGTATCGTGTCATGTCTCTTATAGGGATCCTATCGACTGTATCGCATATCCCGGGCAGGTTGTGACAAACGGTTCCACAAGAACATGCTGAAAATCTGCCGTAGACGAGGCTGGTGGAGCCGATCTCGCTGTTCGAGGTTCGCAAGAATTTACTACTGGGCTGTTAGAATTGGAGGGAAATCTCGTTACAAGAAAAGCCCAGAAGGTCATTGTGGACGTGTTGCACACTGCATGACATGAAGAAGATGGTGTTATTACACTCAGTGCATAAATGTAATTTATTAAACTTCTAATATTTAAAAATTTCTTGCTAAAATCAACATATTTTTTAAGACATGATAAATCTTCAAAAATGAACGACGAAATTGTAAAAAGGAAAAATTAAAAAGACATGGGAATTTAGAAAATTTAGAAGACACGATAATTTGAAAACTGCTCCAATTTGGTTTATCGAAGAAACTTTTTTCAAACATGCATGTCATGTTATATGGTAATCATGCATGTCAAATAATAGGGAATCTTGTGAGTTTGTTTGCCAAGTGTTACTATACCGTTCCAAATTTTCGGGACGCCCTGACCCTCGGTTAATTTATCTATGCCTAAAAATTTGTCCAATTATTCAAATACATTTGTAATATTCTTTGTATTAACCTACAAAGGGACTTCATCTGTAGAACTTTTTTGTATATCATAATAGAGCAACCTCTTGGTTAACATAGGTGTGGTTGTGTGCTTTAACTTTCAAAGTTTTTAAACCATTGATTTGAAGTTCTATAAAACAACATACACAAAACAATGTAGGCAAAATTGACAACTTTCATGAACTATAAGAAAATGGTTCCGTATGAGTGAACACTGAAATACACTCGGAGCTCCTCGGGTGGTCCGTACCTAGCACACTAACCTCAGGTGTTGTACCATTTTGCTGATACAGGCATGTGATCTTATTTGAAATTCTTCTGAATGTTATACCTTTGAAATCTGAGTTACTTTTGGCACCCCCAACAATATGTTTTAGCCTTCAAAGACTACTAACACAAGGTTAATTGTAATCAAAACCAATATACAAGGAAGAATTAGACAAGTTTAAAAAAAAAAAACTTTCTGCAAAATTTTATGCAGAGCGAAATACGAAATGAGTTATAAGGCAGTTTCCAGTGGAGAAATGTATCGATTTGATGCATATTCCTCTACCAATCATGTAGTAGTGGCCTTTAGTGAAGAATAACACACCACTTATGGGTTCATCATTTATTATTAAATACTTCAGTGTTGATATGGATGGACTCAATGATAATATAATAGTTGTAGTTATAGTTTTAAGCCCTGTAATAGGAATAAACAATATTGAGCATAAAAATCAACAATAAACTTGCAAGGGAATATGTATAATACAAGAAGGATAACTCTTGCTATCTTCTTAAAGTTTAAAGTACTTTACAAGTTATTTCCCTTGACTGCATTAAAAATATATTAAAAACATTAATTCTGATAATGAATATTATGCATATACAATATTACTCCATAAATATATACATTTCAATGCAACTATTTCACATTACATTTATCTATGATAAAAGTATTATATTTCATATGCTTATCAATTAATCACCTGTTTATGGAACAAGGCTTAAACTCAATTAGCTGCCTGAATCAAGTCTCGGGTATACTACATATCAACTGTAAATAATAATTTAACTATATAACTTCAGAATCAATAATCAGATTCCATCAATGAAATTGATAACTGATATTTATAAATTACTAAGGTCGAATGATAAAAGTAAAAGAAATAAACTTGATGATCAAATCAATTGAATTTACTCATGAATGATAGAAAATGCATAAATTAGATAATTTACAGAAATATTAAATCAGATATTAATCAAGATAATAAAATATAGAGTGCACTTACTATCTGTCAGTACATCTTTCAGGTTAGTCAGGATAATTCAAATATGGCAGACTTCACATAGATACAGTCACTACATAATTATATATTATAAGAACTTTCCTCTAAGGAATCTAACTTTCTAATGAACAAAGGCAGTTCACCAAAAGCGGGAAAATATATATAGTAAATCTATTGGTTCTTCAAACCACATGACATGTATCACATGTCTGAAAATGACCACCTAGGTAAAATAGCCATAGGCATTAAATACCAAAAAGTCATTAATTGAAGAAGTCAACTAATGATCAATGAATAGCACAATAAAAGAACCAAGGGAGAATAGGGCAATACAGGAATGTGTATCCAATTGTGTTTCAGCTAAATATATATAAAATGATGATGATGATGTAGATGATGATCAAGTGAAATAATCATAAAACAACAAGATACACAATATGCTTTTAGTATAGTATCATTTATTAATCATAATTATATTGAAAATATCACCCTATTACAATCACATCCGAGGTTTGTATGGAGCGTAGCGGAGTCAGCCGAGGATAAACCCAGAACAATTATAGCAGCTGTAAATAAAGGAAACATTTGAAGTTCTGACATGAGAAAAATACAAAACACATGTTTAAACTGATCATATAAGCTAAGGTGATGATCGCAGCTAACTAGGTATGAGCCAAGAATAACAAAACAGAAAGTTCCCTGATACAATAAACAAATTTTTGGAACACTTCTTCAAGTTCATACTCTTGTATAATTGTAAAATTAGTATTTACGGGACAAGAAACGTCTTAAATCAATAGATTGTACTCTTACCTTCATTTGCTTTGCATGGAACTTTGCTTAATTCATTGAATGAATTGAACTCTGGTAAAGACAAACACAAATATACCAAGGGTTGTAATAAAAACAAGTTTCCTTTTAAATAATTAATAATTACTAGAGCCGAGCTCGTTGCAATGCAACGAATAGGTCTTCCGTCGGAGCTCCAGACAGGACAGAGCGACCTTGAGTCAAGGTCATGCAACATTTTAAGGTTATAAACAATCCTATAAGGGGCATCAACTTTCAATGTTTCAACAGTAGAAAGACAGTAAAGGAATGTAAAATTCCCCTGTCAGTGAACTTGAACTTGTCCAAATAACCTTGCGTTAAGCCATAACACATTCTGCAGCTTGTTAAGAGCAAACACCATCTTTATGTCACCGACATAAAAAAAATTCACAGTCACGTATTCTTTCAGACTATTCATCCAAAACATCATATTCTAAGTGACCTCGAATTTAAGCCAAGGCCATTATACACTCTGGATGATATATTTATCATCTTTTCAGTGAAATGCAAATGCATGCAATTTTTTCTATTACAAAATTATAGACATTTTTGTTTATTTGTTTGTATGTTGTTTAACGTCCCTTTCGAGAATTTTTCAATCATATGGAGACGCCACCATTTGCCGATGGAGATCTGCAAATTTTGACCTATACTTAGCACACATGGCCATTGAGCAGTGAGGGATCTTTTTCGTGCCAGCACCTACTGCCAAACGGGACCTCAGTTTGTACGGTCTCATCCGAAGGATCAGTCTCTGCGTCCCTCAGTGGGATTCGAACCTGCGACGTAAGGATCAACTCCTTAATCCACGACTCTAGAGCAGACACTCTTACCACTGCGCCACTTGGGCGACTAGACCTTTTTGAATTTTACACTTATTATATCAGTGACCTTGAACTTGCCTAAATGACCTATGTTAAGGTCAAAAACAACCTTTGAACAAATTATAAGCTTCCAGTGATACTCAATGACAAAGATATACCTGAAAAAGAATATTGCACTTTTCTGTCAGTGACCTTGAACTTGCCAGAAAGACCTTGGATCAAGGTCAAAACACATTCTTGGATCATAAGCAATCTCTGTATCAAGTAAAAGCTTCCAGTGATTTTATATTACAATGTTATAGCATGGAAAAAAGTTAATATTTATCTGCCAGTGACCTTGAACTTGCCGGAAAAACCTTTGTTCAAGATCAGGACAAACCCATCTCAAGCAATCTGAGAAAAAATTTCCTTTGTTCATCCCACCCCTTATAAATTTATAATCCAGGCACGAATTTTGCCACCTCTTCTGCCAGTCTAGTACTATGTTATCTCAAACCGGTGGATCATAAGCAATCTTTGTTCCAAGTATAAGCTTCCAAAATTATAGCACATACAGTAATCTTACATTTTTCTGTCAGTGACCTTGAACTTACAGGAATGACCTTGGATGAAGGTCGTGTCAAACCCTTTAATTTTGTCATAAGTAATTCCTGTATCAAGTATGATACTTCCTATTTTTTTTCCAGTGACCTTGAACTTGCCGGAATGATGTTGGATCAAAATTATGACACACCTTCGGATCATTAGTAATCTTTGTACCAAGTATGACCTTCCAGTTTCTTCATAACAAAGTTATAATATCCTTGGCAAACTATCACGTACAGACAGACAGCTAGGCAGACGGACAGTGTGATTCCAAAAGACTCAAAACACCCCCACCCCAAACCCACACACTTCGTTTGGGGGGATATATAAATTCCTATGTAAAATTATGAACACTCTTTCCGGCCCAAACTTTCTCCCTGGAATCAATATTTGAAAAAAAAAATGAATGTATGCTATGTTGGAAATTTTCTCATTCTAGTCCAGGGATTCTTGAGAATACTATTTTCAAATGACCCCATGTGCGGATCTAGAGGGGGTTGGGGGGCAGTTAAATGTATATACTAAACAAGTAAAAGTGACCATGCTCCCCCCCCCCCCCGAAAATCCGGACCCTTCCTCGAAAACGCGGATCTGTGTTAAAATGGTATGAAAAGTATTAGGTATGAAGCTTTAAAAGTCATCGACCCCCCCCCCCCATACACACACACAAACACACACACGAAATAGGTTTTTCACGTTTTGGAAAAGAGTTTCTTTTTTTTTTTTTTGGCTCGTCAAGAAATTTCTGGGTTGAAATATTTTTTTTATTGGCATCCCCCCCCCCCTCTCCGTGGAAAAAAAATTCCTTGATCTGCGCCTGGACCCATCTAATTTTTACTACATGTATCCGTTAAAAGAGGATGTGACCCTTCATTTGAACAAAACTTTACCAAAAATATTCTGTGTTAATTTTCGTTGTTATGGTCCAGTGGTTCTTGATAAGATAAAAATGAGAAAAATTTACGAGTAGCTTTAGAACAACAACGACGATAATGCTTATATACACCAAGATAGCAAACAAAGATGAAAAATTATGAACAGCAAAAGCTTACTTCTGTCTTTGGCTTGGGAGATGAGATACTTATTAAAAATTGAAATTATTTTGTTATTTTTTTTTTACAATCGACGGGCCTGCATTTCAGAGAGAGAGAGAGAGAGAGAGAGGGAGAGGGAGAGAGAGAGAGAAAGAGAGAGAGAGAATTTCT